ACTCTAGAAGACGCTATTTTTTCATTCGATTTAACCAAATCACATACTACATGCGCATACGTACATCCATGGTTATATTTTTAATCAACACTACACTTTCTTTACCCACATATATCTTAACTTTTTCAAATCAAATCAGTGTATTTGGGACAAATGGCATAAAGGATTGAAATGTCCATCTAAAAAATAAAAGTCCTCACGAAGGGCAAATACGTTGCAAAACTTTACAGGTAATTTTAGCTTGCGAAATGCGTAGGGTTGATAGTGACACAGTAGGGCTCAAAACCTAATGAATTTGCTAAGTAAGAACAAAGAACATACTTACATCATCTACATTTTTGGCAACGATAAGGTATATGGCCGCAGCCAGGAAAATATAAAGGTTTAAACGTACCTTACGGGAATGGTGGTGGTATAAATTATACGGCTGGGGCCTTAAAAAGAGGATTTAGGGAACCCTGGGAAGGTTAATGAGAAGAAAATTCAAAAATAATCAAGGTTTCTTGCAAGCGGAATTCTTCGCACAAACAAGGAATGCATGTTCAGATGTTCGAGAACAAGAGCATATCCTGACCCATGAACTCTACCCGCTTCTGCACCTACCAGATCTGCTTTCATGACCTCAACTACGGAATTATGAACTGTCTAGACTATAGTCAGTCAGGCTGGTCGCCATTGTCGCCGTTCTGAGTCAAAAGGTCTGAAGGCGTGTGCTGCGCCAATATTAGCAAACCATGGTCCTCTCGGCCTGGTATGCACTGGCAGTTCCCTATCACCCGATTTCCTGCCGGTAGATGCGCTTGCACCGCCGCTGGATATACAGGTGGTGGGTACGGCTGCCCAGTCATCCTCGTCCTTCTGCCCCCTATTGGGATGTTGTTGTTGTTGCTGCTAAAGATTTCTGATCAAGTTTGTGTTGTGTACCAGGTGTGGTAGTTCGCCTAGGTATGGGTCCGGCCATGCCAGCCATTTGCGCCCTCCCCCGTCTCCGGTCTTCTTTACTCTGTCTTGACACCGAGTCCAGGTAGGGAGTGGGGAAGAGAGAGTGCGGTAGATGCTGCGAAAGTCTACTATCGTTATAAACTAATTCACGCGAAAGTCACCGTGCCTGCCGCAACTTGGTGTATAGCACACGGTGGACATTGTCGGAATCGACGGTCAAACTGTCAGGCCGACAAATATTTACAACGGTGGCCAACTACTTATGTATATGTATATGTATGTATGTATATTGAAGGGTTACAGGCAGAGCCCTTGATGACCCTATTTATGTACAGTGCTTTCGCAGATTCATACTCAAAAATAAAATTAAATTGCAGGCATTTAAAATGTGATTGGGTCACAGTTCAATCGAAATCATAAGGTAGTGCATAGGATCACTGTAAATTAGTGCGGAAGATTGTTATGACAGATTTTACAAAACTGGCTGTGCATAGTCACGTTTTACCAGCCGATTTCTGTCGAAAACTAGACGAGCAAGTTTTCTTTTAAACACACAAACTGTGGCAACCGTCACCATCTCGCTTGGAAGCGAGTTCCACGGCCTGACAACCCGCTGGCTGAATGAAAATTTACGTCGGTCTAAACGCGTGCGCTCATTCCCGACTTTTTATGCATGGCCGCGTAGTTGGTTTGTTCGGGCGAACTCAAAGAAGTCCTCTGCTCTTAATGAGCAACCCTGGCCGCGGACAATCCGGAACGTCCAGAGTAGACTGCAGTTTATTTGTCTATAAGAGAGAGGGAATAGACCAAGCAAATGCAGCCTCTCCTGATAAGACAAATGCTTTAAACCGTCGACCATCTTTGTCGCTCTGCGTTGCACTTGTTCGAGTAAGTTGATATCCTTCCTCATCCATGGTGAAGCTGCTGGCATTCCATACTCTAGATGAGGTCTTACAAAGACACCAAAGAGTCTTTCGAAACGTTCGGGAGGAAATATTTTAAATGCACGTCTGATCCAGTGTAGAGTACTAGTAGCCTTCTGGACCATCTTTCTGCAGTGTTCTGATGGCGATAGATTTGTGGTCGTCCATACACCCAGATCTCTGTGTCTTTCCACAGTTTCTAACCTCGTCCCGTCAATATAGTACTGGTGTTTGGGAGAGGCATTGCGGCCGGTGTTCAGGTGCAAAACCACGCATTTGGACAAGTTAAACTTCAAAAGCCATCTGTTCGACCAAGCACACAGTTTGTTGATGTTCGACTGCAACTTCTCTGCGTCATCATCGCACTTGACTTTACTCCATATTTTTATGTCATCCGCGAACATGAGAGCCTCGCAATTCACTTCGCTGATGCAGTCATTAACATAAATCAGGAAGAGTACTGGGCCTAAGACAGAACCCTGTGGGACACCACTTTCAACCTTTACCCATTCCGAGGTAGAATTACTAACGACGACTCTTTGTAGTCTGGAGGACAGAAAACTCCTGATCCACTTAAACATTCTCCCTTGAATCCCTACATCCCAGATCTTTTGTAAAAGAAGCCTGTGTGGGACACTGTCAAAGGCCTTCTTGAAGTCAAAAAATATGACATCAACTGGGAAACCCTTATCGGTAGCTCGTGTCCATTTCTCGTGCGAGTAAAGAACACTCGTTAGGCAGGAGCGCCCTGGACGAAAGCCGTGTTCGGCATCGCACAATATTTTGTTCTGTTACACGTATTTCATAAGTGTCTTTTGATAATGCGTTCCATTATTTTACACGCGATACAAGTAGGACTGACAGGACGATAATTTCCGCAGTCAAGTCTTGAGCCTCTTTTATGGATCAGAGTAATGAGTGCGCACTTCCATTCTTCCGGGAGCTCGCCGTCTTCAAATGACTTTTGAAATATTACGGATAAGGGTTTGCACAGTTCATTAGCAAGTTCACGAAGTGCTAGGGCGGGAATTCTATCTGGGCCAGGCGATTTGGCAGATTTCAGCCGGAGTAGCTCGGCCCTAATGGAAGAGCGACTGTTCAGCTGCGCTTGGATGGTTTAGTGGTATGTAAATCGTCAGGAAGTCTATGTATTGTGGACTACTATTCTTTATCTTTATTCACACTTAGTCATATTTAAGGGGAGGGTGTGATCTCATTCAGCTGTCGAAATTCCTCTTCTTATATATACGACTACCCCACCACCCTGTCTATTTTGACGATGTGTGGAAAAGAACTGTTATTCTCGCATTGGAATTTTGGTATCCGCTATCTCGAATTTGAGACAAGGTTCTGTTATAACATCGACATCGCGGTTTCGTTCAGAAACTAGCGTCCTGAGTTCGTTGATTTTCTTAACGAGACTTTGAGCACAAACATGCAAAAAACCGAATGTGGCCAGAGTAACTCTGGCAAACAGACGTCTACCCATTTTTTGCAATCGAGTGCAAGAGCGTGCTGGTGTTGGTCGGGACCAGCTGGTGGTCATCGCGTCTAAGCTGTCAGAGTTGGAAGCGTTCATCAGAGAAATAGCCTCTGAGCATATATAATTTCCCAGTTCAGTATTTTAAGATTAGTTTCGAACAGACTGGATTTCTATAGCAGTTCCGTTTTGAGACATCACAAAATGGGATCGAGTGCGAAAGCGAGTCAATGTTGATCGGCACCCGCTGGTATTCATCACGCCTAAGCTGTTAGTGTTGTGAGCGTTACCCATAGAAATGGCTTCTGGGCCTATGTTATTTTCCATCTCAGTTCTTTGAGACTGGTCCCGTTCAAGCTGGATTTGCGCAGAAGTTTTCTCTTGAGACCTCGCCATTTCTCTTTCCCTTGTGTGAAAATGACGCTGTAAAATGTGGCTGGGTGGACATTTCTCAGTGCGGATTTCCTGCTCGGCAGTAACTACCCTTGTTCCTCATTCTGGAAGGCAATTTTTTTCGGTCGCTGTCTGCTCGCTTGGGGTGTGGCAAGAAGAAACAGGTATGCCCTTTTTGACAATGCATTTATTAGGATCACTTTGAGGATCCTATGGTTTATTATTACGTGCAAATATATCCTTACGGATATCCCAGTCTCCGTCTTCCGAGTTGGAGGGTTTGGCGTGAAGCGGCGAAGGCATGGTTCCTCGCATACTAAGGCTTCTTGGTCATTCGCGACTTTTGGCAGCACGGTTTTTTCCTGTAGTGCATATAATTTCACTTCCCTAACCTGGCTTTCTTTGTCTTTATGGGGTACTCTGATACATTTTTCGTTTACTGGAATCCCTTCTGACTGCCCTTTTCTCGCACCAGATACTGATTCTCATTTATACTGAACTCCACAGATGCACTTTTTGATTTTTTATCGGTAGACTCAAATAAGAAAGGCATGTTTGCGTACGCTCCTTTCTCTGAGTAAAGAGCGAGGGAAATTTCTCGACCAATTCATCTCTGTTTCAAGTCATTTATCCCATTCTGCATTTCTGAAAATTTTTGAAGGGGCCTGAAGCATATCGTACGGAGTTCGTTTTCGTATTTGACATTCTTATTCGTTTGGCGCGATGTGACTTGATAGCGAAATATTCGAAATTGCAATCATTTTTACTTTGACTAATGCATATTTGCTTATTTATTTTAGCCCCTCCACCTCGCGTCGATAGCATTATTGGACCTATACTGCGTTGTGTTTTATTCGATCTCACTTTTCCTCCAGGAAAGTTATAATTCTTTAACCACATAATTTTATTACCGTTGACAAGCAGTTGCCGGAATCTCATTAAAACCCATCTTAACTTCATGCGGTAGACTTCAGTGTTCGTGTCGATGTCAGTTAGTTTGGAAATTCTCATATGATGAACTTACAATCCCAAATAATTTGCATATTTTCGCATAACTAGTAAGCCTTAACGCCAACTAAAAAATAATGAAGAGGTTTTAGCAGTACGAAGCTTGCTAAAACTCTGACAATCAAACAAGATTGCTTTGTTTTATTCGGCTACTGGTATAAATAAAAACATTGCCACTGTTTATGAAATTCGGTTTTGCACAATAACTGGATAAAGCCGGGGGAATAACAAACTCCTTGCCATTTTCGTGAAAGATGTGGGAGACACAGGAAGAGATGCGGGATATTATAAACCGCATTGAAAATTGGAACGAGGAGTCTGAGGAGTTATTTAAAATCAGTATGCCGAACGAGGTGAGACGAAAGCATATGGGCGCATTTAAATATTAATCTAGACAATAGATTATGTAGTTTTCGGGTACTTTTGTTTACTGCTCAAATAAACTATAAAAGGACTTAAATATCGTCTATTATGAACTATTATGTCTCTTTTTGTTCATATTTACTTTGGGACCCCTTAGGCATTAACGTATGGACCCGAATAACAGAAACTGAATAAGCATCTTATGATGGCAAACACCCCATCGATTTCTTTTTACCTCGGCTGTATTGTTGTCTTCTGTCGTGGAGTCATTTTTTCGTTATCTTCCTCTGGGAGACTGTTTCATCCGCGTGCATTTTGGCCGCACAAGGCGATTTGGGACTGAGTCGTGCAGTGTAAACAACAACTAAAACTATCAAAAATATTATAGTCAGAAAAATTAAAATTGACGGGAGGATTAAGCGTTTGATCTGCAAGTAATAAGGACAAAAACTAATTGAATGACCACGAAGATGAAAATCTGTAAGTCTTAACCTGTATCAATTGATACAGTGACTTAAGTCACTAACTTAAAAACGATTTGGTCACCTAACTATGGCTTGTGATGCATCAGCACTAAGCGGTAGAGAAGAGTAAGCTAAAACATACGATCACACATACGCTACCAGCACCTCCAAAATTGACTTATACCTACAACTACTAAAAGCGTTGTAGGTAATTTTACTACCGCCCTTCTTTTGTTTCATTTCGCTTGAACAAATTATGGCTATTTCCTCGTTTAAAAGGGACTACGCGGTCAAATTTTTGTTAACGAGATGCTAAGATCAGCTCCATTGGTACGAAAAATGTGTGTGACTTTGTTTTGTAGTTGTTTAAACTTTTTTTTCAAAATTGGGCTTTCGGTGTGAAACCTACCCGCCCGTTTGTCGAATATCGTCGGATACTCTGAGTCATCAGTAATCATGGTGTATTTTCTGATTGCGTAGACGGATGTCCCACCATTGCATCGAAATTTATAAGCATAAAATTTTGGTTATCCTTGCAGTCAGCAAGCAGTTTTCTATAGCCCAAGGGAGAGAAAATTTGAACGGCTGTTGGACGGACTTCAAGTCTCGACGACAATTTTATCCTCTCTGACTTTCCAGTCCGTTCGATTTTTTTAGCGAAAACCCCTTTTAGTAACCACATAAATCATACTACCAGAAATATTTAATAGATTTTTGAATCAACGTTTTGATCGTTTTTATTTGGCGAATAGAAGACAAAAACATCTCTTTATGGAACCCAGGTACTTCGTCTCATGTCCAAATAAAATGAAATAGTCATAGGATGAATTTTGTTGCTTCAGATGCCGGCAATAAAAAACTCACGAAATTACTGTTAATCTAAATCCGTTAGAGTATATCGGCATTTTCAACGTGTGCCCCACATAATTATACAATTCTATGTTTTAGTTTGAAATGCGATTTATTCCGCTGTTACCAGGCTTCATGAAAGTTGTAGGGTTATTATTTTTATTTAGTTAGTTTTCACCTCCTAAATGTTGATAAATATATTCCACACGAAACAGTAACCAGTTCAAATCTCCCTACTCTGTAAATTAAAACTAAGGAATTTGATTGCCTTTATTTACGTCGAAACGTAAAACCCTTATATACAGTGCGTGATCGATCTCATGAAATGTTGACCGAAATTCTGGTATGCGTTTTTGATTAAGAAGGATTACTTAGGTGATTTTGTAATATTTCTTGGTTTGCATCGTAGTCCTATAGCATTTCAGACTTATCAAGATGTCGGCTTTTGACTGCATTTCTCTTTGTCCTCCTGCAGAAACCACACTTGGTACCAAATGACTACATAAGTAGCATGCATTTCTCACATTGTTTTTCGGTGGTCTTATAAATTCAGATACATTGTGTAGAAAACATTTATAAAAATATGCTTTTGTTAATCATTTGGTAGAAAATCAGACTTTTTCATATTTTATGCCCAAAGGAATTGTATATATAAGTTTTTAAAAAGTTTCTTACTATGGAATTTTTAAGACCGTGCGATGTCAATGCATACAAGACCGCACATGTCCGTTTATCAATGCTCCTCATCAAATTTACAACACAGTCCGGATCCATTGTAAAATTTCATGAACTGTTTATAGTATCTTTTTGAAGGCATAAAGAAATATGTGATTCTCCCTACGCGTAAAGCATGCACCTTGCGGACGGAAATCGCCAAAATGATAATGCAATGGCAGATCAGACTTCAAATTGTTCGGGAAATGGAAAGCTTTTTTAAAACCTAAATATAAAGTTTATTCGCGTATAAAATATAAAGATAATGTGATTTTATACTAAAAAAGCAAAATACACAATATTTTGTACATGCTTTCTATAAAATATACTTGAATTTATAAGACCACCGAAAATCAATAAAAAATGCATGCTACTTTAGTAGTCATATGATACCAAGTGTGGTTTCTGCGGGAATTTATATGACCACCGAAAATGAATAGGAAAAATGCATGATATTTAAGCAGTCCTTTTTTCCCGAGTGTGGTTTCTGCAGGAGGCCAAAAAGAAGCGCATTCAAAATCCGACATCCTGATGAGTCCGACAGGTTATAGGGTTATGCTGCATGCTAATCGGTATTACAGCTCCACCTAAGTGGTCCATCCAAATCGAATAGGGTGCCAACACGAGTTGATAGCTTTTCTAGTAAATTTAGTGCGTTTCATACTATGACTATATAATTAAAAAATAACATAATGGGGCATCTTTTAGAATTCTTTCTGCTCTTTCTCTTAAACCGATCTCTTTTTTAAAATGAGCAGTTGTATGAAGCCAAAATGACCAATTTTTCCTGAATTCCCTTTGTTTTATAATATCTAAGTCTATTAATAAGAACTTTTTAATCTGCCTTAATTCACTTGTACTTATGAAGCCAGTAAAACTTCTGCGTCAAATGCTCCTCTTAATGCACGTCGACAAGTGCTGACGCCGGGTTGGTCCAACCCCTAAAGTTTTCCTATTGGCCGACGCCCAAAACCGTACTCTTTTCTTGTCTGTTTGGGCGTTGCCTAGCCGTCAATTGTGATGAGACTCTTGATGTTTGCGACAAAGATCCCGCTGAGTAGCGCCCACCAAGACTAACAAGATAGGCTTCAAAAGGCCCACAGCATATTCTCCCTCATTTGGGTCCAGAGTAGCATGACTGTGCGAGACCATTCCTTGAGGGACTTTTAAAAGGAGAGTGCGGCACTCTCTTTAGTTAGTCTGAATAAGTTCAACGCATGCCTACCCAAGTTGACAACAGGAAATTTTTCTATCCAGGAATTAATGAGATATTATGCTGCCACGTTTTGGTTATCTGTATCGATTCATCCTTATCGCAGGACAAAATGTGGCTTGCGAATTTTATTTTTGAGAGGAGAGTCTGCAAAATGAGCGGGCGACCAAATGCACATTTTTCTAACCACAACGGACCCAAGAACCATCATTGATAACATTGTTCCTGAGCTGGCAGACGGCAAAACCAATTCAGGGCAACGATCTGGTGACCGACCCCAAACACACACTGGAAAGGTGGTAATAGGCGTTTTACGTGCAGAGCCTGTGTATACATAGAGGAATGGCAAAATAAGTATAGCTGATTGGTAAATTCGCCTTTCGAGCAAAGGTTTAATGCATCGACATATAGCAACCGAAATCAAGCAGGACAATTAAAAAAGCAAACATTAAGTGTCTACAACGGTCACTTCTCGACTCTTTGAGCTGAGGTCATTCTAGATAATCCACCAGATCGTCTACAACGGACTACCCAATTTTTTTACGAGAAAACACCAAACCGAGATAATCGTGTCGGACAAAAACCTACTTAAATAAATATATTAGGTATTCTTTGTACGCCAGAGATGCATGGGATCCTTCGTTCGATCCCTGCCCAATTCAGAATAACTATTTTGGTGTCCCATAGTAGATTATTTTAAATTATCTTTTCGTGGCCATTCGACAGTAGACACTTTGTTTATTTCTAGAGCATTTTTTGGGGATTTGACGCAAATAGACATTATTCTACCAAAATGAAGTCTGCAGCAATCTGACCTATCGTTATTTCCAGCGGGCAACAATTATGTGTTAAGTGATTCGAAAAGAATTACTTCCAGCCAATTTAAACTTAATTTGAGACCATCTTCAGCCCCTTTGGTCAACAACCTATCTCAGACATCTAAAACTCTGCAGTATTTAGTTTCCTTTGAAGCCATGAACTTCGGCTTTAGGTCTTTGATGCTGAGTCCCTCTGTGTTTCAGATAAGTTTGTTGGAGGTAAAAGTGACGATGATCGCTTTATCTGAACTCTACCATCCCCATCACAAGCGGATTTTACGAAGTGATCGGCCATTCTTTCCTCCTGGTTCACCAGCTGGCATTTCTATGTTTAACACAGAAAACTGATAGTTCGGCAGGCTGAATTCGAATTCTGTTTTTTGTCGACTCGTAAAAATTTACTATATCATTTTTGGAGAAAATAAGGTCCTTGCATTGGCTGCTGAGTTCGCCAATGCTGGCATTCGAATTGTTCGCTTGCACCGCCCAATGGTACCCTAGGAAGTTTTTCTAAAAATCCTACCTGTCTAAAGGAAGTGTGTTCGTCTTTTTGTTTTAGATGTTTGCAGTCCCGTCATGAAATTTAGATAGATGTAATGATTATTAACCTCCTTTTTAAAGTCCCTGCAAAGTATACTCCCGTTTGTCCCACTATTGCCATAATACTGTCTTTCCCTCCTCTTCGGGCTGTTATTGGAAACTTGAAATTATGTACTTCTAAGTGGATCTCTGAGATAGTAGCTCTCTTTGGCTGTCTGTCAGTTCTTCCGTCAAACACGTCAAGGTCGATCATTACATGATTTTTAGAGTTTGCGAATAACACACTTTGGTTCTTTCGTGAGTTAATTTCCCACCACTCGCACGTGACTGGCAACAAAACACGCTGGTGGCCCTCATGAAACATTACTAGCTTTTGTATTTGAAGTCCTTCGATCATTCGGAAAGCTTCCACTATCGGGGATCATTAAATGGCATAAAGTTTGCTGTCTTTGCACACAAACTGTGTGTTGAAAGGTTTAAAGCCAGTGAATTATGGGTTTAGATTACCCCCCCCCCCATAGTGTTTCGTCCCGGAACCTTCAGCAAGTCATAACCCGCTCTCCCAGCCCGTCAGCGGCCGCGGACCCTTTTTTCTAAAAACCTACATGGGTGAACATTTAGACTTGGGTGGGAATGGCAGCATAGGCTATGAAACTCCAACTTTCCTAACCATAAATGCTGCCGGTAGTCGTCCACAACACTTCAGGCAAAGCTTACTACCTCAACTCCAAATCAAATAAAATGCCTCATTTCCGTCCATCGGTTTCCTGCCACGTCCTGCCCTCGTGGGCCGGAAGTAAGGAGGAATACAGGCTTTTGTAACTTCTATCAGATACAGTGTATTTTATTTGTTATTTAACATCCACCAAAGTTTAGCAAATCTTCGGGTATAGCTTATAGTAAAAGTGTAACTAATGGTCAAAAGGTGATGGACGCAGTCTGGGGATCAAAGAAAATGCTATTTATGATGCTTTCTGAGCGCAATCAAATTCATCCGCGTTAACAATAGAGGACCTGCTGACTCTATCATGAGAAAAGGGAAAAAATTAATCACACGAATTTTTGACATACATGGGGCACTTATTAACAAAATAAGCCAGTTTGGAAACTTAGAATGTTGGGATCCAGCAATCTGGGAGGAAGACTTGTTGGCCCTCAACTACTGGCATTTTAAGTTTGGCCGGGAGAAAAGGTTCTGACAAATGTGCCTTGAAAGGGAAATCTTTGGGAACTGAATGCGGCAGGGATATGAACCTTACACCCAATTTTGATGACAACCCATTCAGTCCGCGCTTTCTGCCAGCTAAAATACTTAACTGACTCAAATCATGGAGCAGTGGTTATTCATACAGTCAAGACATATCTGTTGGTGGGTCGAACTTGAACAGTCAGCTATCGCAGCCCAGCACGTTTATGCTACTTTCCAAGATGTTCTAGACTGCCCAGCCTCTGCACTGCGTTCGTTCTGTTCTTTTGAAAGTAAGTCTTGAGTAAATGTTGAAACACCGGAAAACCATGAATTATTCCAACCTCCCAACACTTCATCGAACTCTGGGTCTTCAGTCGATACATGGTCAATCAAACTATTGCTGCCTTAGGCATCCATTTATTTTTTGTAAGACATGCCATGTAGATATTCGAAATTTTGCTCTTTTAAAGAACAAATCTGTACCATTTCTCAAAAACTACCGTTCTGCAGCAGCAACTTTCCAAGTTGAGACATGGTAGATTCCTGGAACTTTCGTTTCTAATCTTTTCTGAAGTAGATTCTGCCCAACACTCGTCCACATTACCTCGTAATTGCGTGTTATTTATTTTCGTTCGCCTCCAGAACATGGAGTTCTTCGGGGTCGTACGGTTCTACTTCCACGGACCAGACGACAAGTATCATTCGAAATGCGTGCGTATATCGAGTCTGGCCACGGCGCGACACTTGGTTAACGTCCTTGTTGAGAAGTTCCATCCCGACCTCCGTCTGCTCAAAGCGGGCAAGTACGCCCTTTACGAATATCATCCCAGCAGTGGAGGCAAGTTTACCCTGCCGTTTCGTTTGTGACTTTAGTCTGAACTCAGTTCTGACTTTGAAGTAGACACAGATAATTGTAAAAAGGAGTCCTTATTTGAGTGCTCACTGTTTGTAACCCTTTGTAGGCCTTACGATCGAGAACCAAGCTGTTTACCTGCCCGATCAGATCGTATTTTAAATTAGTCGAGCGAGATTTTCCCATTCTATAGGCCATGTGTACGTAGTGTAAAATTCGATTTCTCAAAAGGCTTTTTGTTTTTCTCGAGCTTAACTCTGGAACTATATGATGACTTTGTAGCCGGGAGGAAATGGTTACACAGGAAACCTGATTTCGCTAGTTTCTTCTTGTCCAGATGCGTGTCCTGATCATATTGTTGTCCCCAAGCCTGTACATATTCGGCCGACAGTTTTACTCGACCGAAACTCGGCTTTTGATCAACTTTAGGGTGATGAATTCGTTATACCTCAGGCCCGGAGAGGTTTGAAAAAAAGGGTAAGGCAGCCTCGGATGCCGTATGTAGTCTCAAACACCCCGAACTGCGTTTAACTAACAGGTTTCCTTCATTTGAAAAGGGGATATGAATGGCTGATGGCAACTAACGGACCATCATCGTCTTTGCTGGTGTACTCGTTTCGGTTATTACATTATTCTGTTTTCCACGTCATAAAGAGCGCTTGCCGCCCAGGTAATCATCATGGGTGCGGCAAATCCGCCTAGGCTAACGCCGAACGTTCGGGCAGACAGTACTTGCTAATCGAATATTTAAGTACTTACTGGGTCTGTATTGTTCCATGGTTAGCGAATAAACTGCAACATCCGCTCTCACTACTCAATCGCATTCCAAAAGTTGTTAAACCACAGAAGGAGAAGCAGGTGCAGGAATGATTGGGTAAAATTTCCTCACTCAGCCTGACACTCTGACACAAAATGGCAATAATGAGGATGGTAGTGGTTCTACTGTGTGGAAATCCACTGAAAACTGTCAGAGGACAAACAAAGTAAATGAATCGTTTGTCCCTCAGAAGAACTGTATCATGAACCAGTACACGTCATCTCACAGGCATTTTCTGGAATGACCATAACCTGACGCATTGAGAAAATTTTTGATCGAGTAGCAAAATTGCTAACATTTGGTAGTCTTCTTGGATCTGTGGATCTCCGAATCCCTGTCGCGTTGAGCTTGCTGGAACTGACTAGGTCACAAGGTCTGAGAACTTCAATCGCACTCTTCTACTTCTACTCCTTCAACTTTTTCTTGATAACTTGGAATAGGGAAGTGCTACAGGCTTTCTGATTATCCATTAGTCCTTTGGGCTATGGGCACCATCCTGTGATAGCGTCTCTTCCTCTTTAGCATTGATTTTCAGTTATAGCTATTTTCGCTAGATAAAATTTACGACCGCTCTTTAATTCGGAGAAAATGAAGTGATATTTGGTAATCTCAATTAAAAATGTCTGCGAAAAGTTGCTCATGCCTTTCCACATACTCTTACTAGGATCTGCGGTTGAGTCCGGTTAATCGGGCTGTTGTTTACTTTGATCGGCCGGTTATTTGAGTCAAACATTTACGAACAAAAAAGTATTACTACGATTTTGCTGTGCTTATTATGGCTATCACTCTTCCTTATTGGATCGTTGGTTATTCCAAAATTGGCTGTAATGCTAGGCAGAATTTCGGACGACTAAGGAGGTTTTTTGCTGATACGAATCGCGACCAGGGTGTCCGAATAGACCTGAAGTCGACGCGTAACTGCAAAGGGTTAAGCGAGCTCATCTGGAAAGTGCCGATGATAGGTGTGACTCTTGACCCTGTGGGGTAGGCAGGTAGCCGAAAATGGTTAAAGTAGGGGAGGGCAGTACGACGTCTGTCGCTTGGGGTGAAGAATGAGATAAACCTGTCTTTTTGGGTGTCCCCTTACTGGTCATAGTTAACCTGGTGGATTATGCACCCCACTTACCGGGAAAAAAATAAGATGCCAAGTGAATATTCAACATCATCTGGCACAATTTCCATACTACACTGTATGAGAAACTGATAGTTCAACACTGATCATCGTCATCTGGTAGGAAACATCTGATCGCTACAAGATGGCATGAAGAGTATGACTTCAGGGCAAATCTTAGAAACTGAGTCTATAATGCGGAACCCAGGCGTGAGACAGTCTTCAGTCGATGGGTCTCTATTTTAATCCCGGATATTTGGGTCAGTTATTCAGTCAGTCCAGCACATTTAGGTTCAGTGCGGATTGAGTAACCAGAATGCATTGTATTCTTAGGTAAAAATACAGTGTATATGCACAGCTATCACAAGAGCTCCGCAGGCTCACTCTTTTCACATGGACCCTTGTTAGAGCACTCGAAATGTCAAAAAGTTCATTGATGAGAAGGCCCTTGTTATTGTTGGCCGTAACCGTCTTCACTATGTTTCACCACTGCTCGACTAACAGTGTAACTCTTGTACATGCTGTTTGGCTTACCCTACGCGGCTGTGCTAAAAGAAGATGCAGGTACTTATGAATGGTAGTCCGCTGTGTTGTGGGGTTTACAGGTGTGCACCTTGGTGGAAGCGGTCAGCAACTCACCTGCAGATTTACCGTTCGGCCTCCCTTGCGTCACTGAGTGACGTTATCCTTTGACCGCCCGCGCTCTGGCCGTCTCTGCAACCGATGACTCATAGGTAGACGCACTCAGGTACCTGATTAGGATTCAGAAAGAGAAGTTCTGACTCACTCTACATGATGTGATATGTATGCATCTCTTCGGCCTGTGGCAACTGGCCCGCCTATGGTTTTCGTAGCTTATAACCAAAAGTGTTTCTTTGACGAACGGCAACGGCGCTCCGCAGAAATGGGCTGTTACTAACATGAAACCGTGCCCTGTATTAAGCTTTTCTCTGCTCGTTATGGAATACGCCCAAGTCCCCTGATGAGTGGATAATACTGAAGCGATTGTAGGTACGCATAGAAAATTGTAATAGGATTTGAATTCCACAAATCGGCGGTCACGGCCAAATAAGACAAATCATCCACTCTTACCTTAAATAGATGTATTTCCATACGTAGCCCCTCTCTGGGTTAGCAATGCAACTACTTTTAGCTCGCAACAATCTCGTTAGACCAATTCGTTAGCGAAATTACAATGAGTTCATAATTGCAGACTCCTTGTGTTCTTTCCTGCAAAACAGGTAGGCACAGCCCTAAAACTGTTAACACGCTAAAAGAAAATGAAGGCAAACCTTATTTACTGTCCCTACAGAAAGACGCCTCACAGCGGACGAACGCCCACTAGTGAATCAGCTTTACTGGAGCGGAGACTCACGCGAGGGTCAATTCCTTCTGCGTGATGAGGCTAGGTCCCTGCCTACTCCTGGCGTGGTGAGTGCTTTTTGTTCTGACTTCGTACCCACCGAGTGATAGACTTCTTTTAATTTATATTGTCCAATGCTTGGTAAGAAAGAAACTCGACCACTGGAATAATGTTTTTATCACATGTTGATTTGGATTCACTCTCGAACCGTTCATCTGAGATGATAGTAGGTGAAGTTAACGCACCTATCAGGGGTTCGATATTCACAGAATCTAGCCGTTACACAAGCATTCACAGTTTATGACTGGCATCGCTCTCATTCATTTAAGACTTCGGTACTTGGCATGATGCTTATTTGGTCGCTAGGATTTTAGTAGTTAAAAGCTGCGATTTCATTCTCGGTGTCGATGGTTAACGCTGCAATGACTCCGCACTCTGTCTTATTCACACAGCATTGGAAGAGATGTTTATTGGCATGCCTTCCGCCCACCCAGGAAAAGTCTTCGCATTTTTCGATGGATTGTAGGCCGGAGTGCCATGGTTAATGTTGCTAGCGACTTGTGCGGTCGTCAACTCTCTCAGGAATTTCGACCTGGCGAGTCCTAGGAAGCAGTTCGGAAGAAAAAAATGCGACCACTGGAGCGGGAATCTTATTGGCCTGACGTTTCGGATTCTCACTCGAACTCATCTTCAGATACAGTCGCAGATAGGGATCCCACGGCAGCTACGTACTATAAATATTGCGGTCTTTAGACCTTCTCTACCCTTATCTGCGATTGTCTCTAATGATGGGTTCGAGTGAGAATCCGAAATGTCAAGCCAATAAACTTCTTGTTCCAGTGATCGCATCTTCTTCTTCTGCATTTAAACTTCGCAACCGGGTTCCATCGATTGGGCCGCAACTCGAGGAGTGATGTCGTCTCTCCTTGCTCATGACGCGGACTCACACATTAGGCGCCGAAGTGGTCTTCCGGCTTCTAGTCATGGCCGTTTTGCTCGTAACTGTGACGGACCTGTCGTGACAGCGGTTCCTTCTGCTCCACCATTTGACGTCTGGTCGGTACCTCTAGCTTGTCCGCAACCTCAAATTCGAGTGACTTGGAACGGCGATCGGCGGCTTCCAATAGGTCCTTTACGTACGAAGGAACCCGTAAGATCTCGTTGTGTTATGGTCTCGCATCTTGTCCTTTCGTGCACCATTGACGAAGTTAGGGGAGTAGCCATTCGACTCAAGCATTCGTCAAAGGTGTTCTAATTTAACACCCCTGTCTTATGATTCGCTGCTGGGCGTTTCAACGCGCCAATAGATCGATTTTGCAAAACTGTTATTATGACTTATTAGTTAGTTGTAGACGTTCAGTAATTGTGTCGTTTGGGTTGCTTTCTTGAAATTTCAGGTTTTTAGGCCACTTCAATTATTGCTACAGATAAGGACAGCCAAGAGGGTCATCTGATTGTTCCCGTCCGCTCCCGTGTTGAAATTCATGTCCGGTAAGGCGGTGTTCAGATGTTCATTGAATATTCACGTCCGGTCGCACTCAATGGCGACTTAAGTATCATTCGTAATTTGGGCTGAGAATTTCGGTCTGTGATTTTGGAAGACCAGTGACTATAACCATTACAGGGCCGCCTCGGCGATTAGTCGAGAAATCGACGAACCAATTGCTATTATCTCCACCTACCGTTAGATTGTTTCATCAAACACGAAATATGTTTTGAAATGACCTAAGGAATTGAAAATTTGCGCACATACGAGGGGATGCGACGCTTTATCCCCTTGACCCCCAGCCTTGCTTTGATTGTCTCGGCTGCCAGATCCTGAGGAATAAAAGTAATGAGCGACGTGATATCGGAGTAAACATGACATCATTTTTCTAAAAACTTATCCTTTATAAGTTTCTCCGAGAACGTGTTGACGAAATGACTATACTGTCCGAATAAGCGGTCAGAAATTCCAGATGCTGAAATAGCTAATTTTTCATTTCGAAGGTTTGATAACCTTTGAGTGACAATGTGGACCGAAGAAGGGTGCCTTCTTTGAACACTTTTGGCAGTTCCCAGAATCGAACCAGAGTCCCCTCTGTTGATCCCATAACGCGCTGTTCGATCTGCAACTTTGCGTATGAATTCCCGTTATCAGTTCAATCAGTACGCCGATCGTCATAAATGACGACGGTACCCGATAAGGCGTAGCAGCGACGGGCACAGGAATTTATTCGCGCTACATGCGCAGCATCTATTCCATCGACCAGTCAGGCACACACAGTATTTTGGTGGTGGGGCATTTTAGGACGACAAGAATTTAGCGGCTGGACGATTCGTCCACACGGACCGTACATGAACCGGTCCCTGATTCCACACACACACACCAACAAGCTTTCAATCAGGTTGTCTAGGATTTCACAGCACTTACAACTTTCATGAAAGCCACATTCAGAAGCAGGTGGTGAAGTATTAGCCTAGGTTCCGAGGGCAGTACAGTCTAACCGTCCGCCGTAATTCTCCCAAATCACATTCAATGGCGCATCGTCATGTTATCGAGAACTTTATATTCACTGGGAGGATTGGGACGTGCTCAATCAAAAGCGGGATTCACAGCAGTTGCACAATACCGGCTCACTGTATACATAGGCCTGCGTAGGTCCTCAACCAGTACGATGCATGTGTGTGATTTTCGCTGAGTAGAGGCAGACACGACTCAATTTAAAACAGATTGAAGCTTCTGTCAGCACCAGTCGGACTGAAGGCTCAGACAGACTACTGCTGTATGGCAGAAGGAGAGGACAGTGAGGTCGACCCAGCTCGAAACCAGCGCCTAATTCCTTAATAATAAACAAACACGCGCGCGATTTGAGTAGGGTATGACGCGTTCAGATGGTGGAAAAGTGACGAAATAACCCGGTATTAATTGGTCTGAGGACCAGACTGCAGCTTTTATGACAACCCCTGTCTATGTCAAATTCGAAACACCCCTTGAACGAGAACTGCTGCGTATGGAGTTGAGGACCACGTCGTGCGTGGCACGCCTATACGGGATGCCGAACTCTGTCGGCCACTGCGCCAACTCCCGGTCGCCTTGACTCCGTCTTGCCATCGAAGGTGTGGGAATAGAAATTGAAACAGGTACGGCGCAAGTCTGTTTCATTATGAACAAATTCAGGCGCAAGTCGCGGCTGTGTTGATTGCGTGAGGCAAGGGTGGTTTAAACTATCGGTTGAACTATCGTTAATTATGCATCCCCACAGGTGCCGCGAGGCGGGGTACCTCGGTTCCGACTACACTAGTTCTCTCTCCTCTTCCATTTACCAGTGCTCTGTCCGAGTCAATCTGACTGGGGATAAAACAAGTCTCGGTGTCTGGCGTGACGTGAAGCTTTCACCATAGGTGTACCACAGGAGAGAACACGCATACACACACATGATGGTACATTCATCATTGAAGACACTGGTAACCTTCATAGAAGCACTGCTGAACAAATGATGAGGGGCTCTAGTGTTGTGCCTAAATATACGGAGGCAGTGTGAGTGTGAGCAATGAATGATATTTTAGTGATGTTTGTCAGGCATCCGCATCTGACCAGACAGGTTCACGCAGCGGTTGAATGTGCAGACACAGCGTTGACAGATAAGAGTATCATAAGGGGAGTTTGTCGGATCTCCACGCATAAGGTCTACAGTCGTGTTGTGATGGAATCGCCGGTGCCCAGTCAGACTGACATGCTATTGGGAGGCGTGTTATAGGGACTAGCTGACTTTGCCAGCACTACTGGTGGGTTCTCTCTGCGTCAAAATTGTGGTGGAAGGAAAGATGTCCTAAAAAGACAAATCGGTACGGTTGTGTAGCGCTGTAATGAGTCCTTGTAAGAAGTGGGCCACTTCACTGATTATGCTGCCTTAATTAGCAGCGGTGGGCGGGTTGTACTGATGTCCCAGCGAATTCAAAAGTATCCAAAGAAACCAATTAGTTGACCATGCGGACATGTTGACAAGGGATCAGTTGCATCGACATTGATCTGCAACGTTCTAGTTTTACGCTCTCGAGGTTTCCTCTAGGCCCCACTATTCGGTGGACTCGGATATTAATCCGGAATCTCAGACATAAAAGTCTTGCTTCAGCTACTGTGTCTCCCTCTTCTCAGCTGTTTTCTGGTTGCCTAGTCTAATTTCATCCGAATCCGACAGTGATTTATTTTATTCTCCAGCCCTGACCCCCTTTTGACGTGCAAATGTTTGTTCCATCCCTACATAGTGCACTAGCAGGAGTGTGATGATAGTTATGCTGGTATAGCGTGCTTAATGTTCCTAATGATCGGTGTTACCCACAAAAATCCCTGAGAATTGCTATCTATCTGTTTCCGGACAAGCATGCTTTCCGAGTATGAAGAACGAGCGCATTTGTATGCAAATGATCTCCTAAAAGAACAATCATACAAGTTTTGCACCTGAATTTGATCACCCTCAATGCTTGCACTTTCTGCCTGTCATCTGAGCAAAGCTAAAAATGCACACATAGGTGCATTCATAGTCGAGGATGGTTCAACTGGAGGCAACTCCTGATCAGATTGATTATTTACGGTGTTAGCGATGGCACGGGTAAACAAGAGAGTTAATCTCCCTTGTGGCTCTCATCTCACAGTCAGCTCATCAACTGACGTCAGCGAGTCTCCGAGCAACATGCATTCGGACGAAACACACGTACTCTGGATTCATTTAACTGTCTAGGTATATTGGCGTCTGAATTTCAGCCATCACTTTTGAATTGATCTGTCACCATATCAGCGTGAAACAATGCACCATCCGTTGTAATTCTCCTGAAAGTCCTTTTTTCTTCTCCAGGCTCAATCGAGCGTATGGGTGCGGTTACAATGGAGGTGCCGTTTGTTGCTTTGAAACAGTGTATCGGTTCAGAGCAGAGGACGTTCACATACTGCGGGGTTGACAACATGTTGATGGGAATTTACTATCTTGTCCGAATATGGTAGTTTGGTTTGCACTGGAGATCTGCTTTAAAGCTCTTGTCTCTGGCGCTTACATAGTGGTGATCAATCAGTAAGCGGAAGTGTCTTCATCAAATAGTACTTCTAAAGCTGAGTTTGCTACAAATGTTTGGGAATCAGCGCAAAATGAGAACAATAAGTCGATATGATAACGGAAGGACAGGTATGGGGGTTCCACTCGGTAAAGACACGTATGCTGACTAATATAATCCAAATGAGTATCTGAATATCCTTATCTGTAACTATAAGAGAGAACCTGGTAAATGGGCAGTGTTTCCAAGCTCAAACATGCAAGTAAGATGACTTTGATTGCTCTGTGCAGGGTCGTAAAGGGCATCTGTAGCGGCCGAGAACGTCAAGAAGAGCACACACCAAAGTAAGAGAACGCTGATAAGAGATCTTGACCGGGGTAGACCTGAACGGAACTGTTAGCATTCCTTGATACACATCCATACACACGAGAAGAAGGCATGTCGAATAAGGGGTAACGTATAATATGACGAGATTGCACTGGGAAAACGTATAATAATCGTAATTGTACAGGAAGAATGGTTACTTCTGTAGAATGACCTGTCTCGGTGGAGAGGCGATGCCAACATGCAGCTAGTAAACCGGTGGTGAGCGCAGCGCTGGGGGCAACTGCGGGGAGGGGCCGAGGGAGTGTCGATGTAGCGAGGAGGCGAGCGGTACGGACGATGCGTTACGTTACGGTACGATGAGGGGGAAAGGGATCGGCAGAAGAGAGAGGGAGGGACACCGGCTATCTTCACCGACACGCGACTACGCCATCTCCACCCTAGGTCCTCGCGCCAAAAGTGTCACGACATTCAAACAACTCTGTTTTTGCCAAGGGGCGTTACACATCGAACTTAGCTTCGGATTCATTTCTTTGTTTAAATGCCTGTCGCTCTTCCGGTTGCTCTCAGTGCAACTAGATCACTTCTTTCTGTGAGTATGAGAGCGAGACCAGAGTCAACTTCAACCCTTCATAGTGCTTGTATCGCATTGTCTTCATCGAATCCCCTAGGTCATCACAGCTGGGGATCAGAGAGAGACACAGTTTGTCCATTAGGGTTTAAATAAAATTTCACCAGTACAATTTAAATGACGGTCACTCATTTCACACATAGTTCTTTGCCTTTTTGGCAGGCAGTGACTTTCCATTCGAGTCTGATATTGCGTTAATACGAGTTTAAACGTAGTGTTCTTAAAAATATAAAGTAGGAAAACCCATACGTGCGCTGCACGCTTGTTTTAATTCGAGAAAAAACACTATGTAAGGAGACTGTTAGGGGAGGGGGCCCAGCATCTCTGTTCTCACCTCTATGAGAGCTGCATTAATATCCTTAGGGGTAAAAAAACGATAACAATCCGAAATTTTACCCTAGAAGGGGTGTGCTCTGGGACTGGACTATAAAGAAAATTGACCTTTTCCCAAAACTCAGTCGATTTAATTAAATTTTAAAGATTTTTCTGTGGAAAACGGCCTAGGATTTTGAAAAATTTTGATTAATGAAGGTGATTAAGACTAGTCAGGATGCGTGTAGAAGTTGTCTGCCTTCTATTGCGATTCCCCCCATTCTTACCCTAGTAAAAGTGCATTAATTTTAAATGACCTTGACCATGCTTTTTCTGTCTTTCATAAGCGTTTCGCAAAAATTAGACCAACACGGAAAAATCTCCCGCCTCAGTTCTTTTAGAATCTATTCACCTGTAAGGCACTCGGCGCCCTCGTAGAAGGTTAGAGCACGTGTCAGTGAGTTATTGCGGACATTTTTAAAAAATATGCTGTTTTGGAATTCGCTGCACCCTTAGAGCGCCAGTATTGTGCCCTATTTACATGCGTTGCCATGACAGACTGGTCTGGTAACAGGTTACGCGGTTTAGTGGCGCCAGGTGAAGCAGAAATTTGAGGAAATAGAAGAATGAAGGCAAACTGGCCAATCATCTTACAACGAGAGCGCTAGAGTGTGTCAGACCGAATCTATTCGAAATGGTCCGCTTGCCAGCAAGGTCGGGTAGCCAGAACGTTGCTTTCTCAGTTTGGGCTATGTTTTCACTTCCAAATACATTAGCAAAATTTTGGGTTTTCCTGCTTAATTATATCGACTTCGGATGTCTTTTTGGCAGTTATACCACTTAACCGAATGTGAAAATTCATATGCTAAGGGACAGTTAGTAAAATACAAAAAAATTGGGCTACTGCGGTCTTTGTGGCACGAATATGCTAGGTGAGACTACTTAATTTGATCGCTGGCATAGAATGCATCGTATGGAGGAGGTCAAACTTACGTTTAAGGTCCAAATGTCATCATTTGGTCTTCTGTTTGTCTTAGGTAGCAGAAGAGCTCCCTGCCTCAAAGCCCTGTAATTGCTTTTCAGAGGTACTTTAGTTTACTTTCTAAAACGTATGACGTTTAGTTTTCTCAATGGACCTAAAACATAAATGACTTATGCAGTGCTTAGAAAAGCGAGCCATTTTGATATTTCTGCATAGGACGAATAGTCGTTGTCGTCTGTTTTTCTTTCTATAAGTTATAGTTTTTTACCTTCCAATTTTGCAGACTAATTTCTCGTTACCGTTGCAGACAGACTTTTCATTCGATAGTTTTCACAGTGTGAAAGTTATCGTTAACGGATTTAAAGTTCCTTTCTTGGCAGGAGTTCATGGGTTCGGTGCCCATTTGCGATGACTTAGGAGAGTCCATAAAGAAGTTGGCTTGTTCGATGAAGTCTAGGCGAAGGTCGTGTGGTATCGTATAAATTTAATTTTAATCTTAAGTTTTCATTGTTCATCAGAGAAAATGTTGCAAACCGGTTAGGAGTGAACCTTCATTAGAAAAACCTTTTGCATTTGTCTTTTTTATGTAATTTTGAGTTATTCTAACGTAGTTCACTGCTGCGTCTGACAGGTGAATATCAGCGAATCGTCATAATCTCATTGTTCTTAAATCAGACCGTTGTTCTAAATCCCTAGATCTCAGGGAAACTGGAAGACTAGTTAAAAAATATGGCTGTTCGTATAGTAATCAGGGCCGTATTGGCCATGTGCTTCGGGTATTTAGCTCGCCCATCACCCTTTCGGAAGGCACATAGTTGTAACTTTCATGCGGGCTTTCGTAGCTTCTCCTTACTACTTTCTAGGCGCCTACATTGTTCTGACGGTGGAAGGTCAAGAAAGCCGAGAGTGTATGTAGGCGCAGTGATTGACAAGTCTAACCGACAGCAGTTCGACCGACGTGGGCAACCATGTCCACCGTGCGCTCTACAACAGGGTGAGCGCAGGGACGGGGACTAGTGTGTGAATAAATTTATAGTGATAGTGGACTTGCGTAGCATCTACCACACTCCCTCCTCCTCTTCCACTTGGATCCAGTGTCAAGACAGAGTCAAGAAAACCGAAGACAGGAGAGAACGCAGGTGGTTGGCTCCACGCGAACCGGCGCCTAGGCGCGCCGCCACACCCCTGACCCACAATTACACTGACCAGGATTTTGTCCGACAACAAAAGTAGTGGGCTGTACGATCCCAGTAGACGCGGAGTCAGGCTGCATGTGGACCTGCCTCCACACCTCCAACGCTAGCATCGGTTATGGGAGTGCATTCCCGAGAACGCCTACCGGAGTCTGATCTACCACCTGTTTTTGGGATAGCGCATCTAACCACTTCGTCCTCCGCGCCAATCACGATATGGTATTAAAATGTGCTTTGTTAGGGTAATTAGTCCTTCGGGGAAGGGGAGGGTGAGCATTGCATCGGATGACAAAGCTTGTGAGTCAGAATACTGCGGCAATTAACGCATCGGATGCGACCGCGGAGCATGCCCCACTTCTAATACAAATACTGATAATCGAGGTAGGCGTGTAGTCGAGTAGCAAATTCATCCAAGGATCACTGATGTCCCCTTTATCTCCCTCTGCCTCTGGTGATGGGTATGAGATTACATCAGCCATGCATCGCGAATTAGGTTTGTAATCCAGCGATTGAGTCGTCCTTCATCTGAGTTGTTTCCCTGAACCCGATATGTTCCTTGTGCCTTTAACTGACAAATGTCTCTCTGCTATGCATTAGACCGTGCGTCGAGCATGATGAGAACTTCCACAACCTGGGCAGATATGAGTTACCTCCTCCCAGAAGGCTTCTGTACCTGTGTCTATCGGTCTCCGCTAAGTCTATTTGAGCCCTCAATAGCTGCCATGCAGGCGTGTGGAATATGTCAAAGCGAGACAGGTGCCGTGTCAGGCTCTGATCTCAATCTTAGCTTTAACCGGACTAAGCGTCCGGGGGGGGGGGCGCTGCTGCGTGGAAGACTGGGAAAACAACGAGGTCGATCCAGCACGAATTTAGCGCTTTATGCTTACTATAAACAAATGCATGCGCTCTTTATCCATTATAACGCATTAATGGTCGTAGTTCGGCGCAAGTCTGTTTCATTATGAACAAATGCACGCGCAAGTCGCGGCTGTGTTCATCGCGGGAGGCAAGGGTGGACCACGTGGCCTTCAACGGTTGAACTATCGTTAATTATGGATCCCTAGAATTGCCGCAAGGCGGGGTACCTCGGTTCCGACTACACCATTCCTCTCTCCTCTCCAGTACACCAGTGGCCTGTCTGAATTCAGCGACTGGTGGTTAAATTGTTTTTAACGCCTAGCGTTGCGCGTGGCCTCCGTCTTGTGCATTTCACGGGACACACACTAGAGGTAGTTTGCTCATCATAACCGACTCTTTTAACCTTGGTAGTAGGTTCGATGCAGATGAGTGGATCAAAGGTGTGCGCATATGGTCGGAAAGACCTATACTGCGAATGAGACGCTTCAGCAGGTGAATACTAGCCATCCTGACAATCTATTGAAAATGAATCTGATTCGACAGGTCAAAAGAATACAGGATCGGAAATCCCGACTCATTTCCCGCCACATGCCAGTCAATATCTTTTGCAGGCAACATAGATGGAGGTGGTCTAGTTCTCGCACTTTACTTTGGTAAATTGTTCAGATCTCTGTGCTGTAGATGAACCTTGTCAGAGTGAGAACCCGGAACATTATGAGCTTCCCGTTGAGAAAGATCCCATGGCAGTTTCGGGGTCAGTGCTGTGTTTTGCCGAGAATCTGACTGGCTTTTAAGATCTGGGATGCGATTTAGTCGTCGAGTGCGATTGTTTATGAGATGGTGGCATCTATGTATGCGAAATGATCCACTGCCGCGTGGTAATCATCACTGATATTTACCATGGCCTCGGTGTACTTAACAGTTGGCACCGTCTTGTGCATGGCGGCTTTTTCTATCTGTTAATGGCTAGTCGGAAGTGGGCGCATCCAGAGACATGTTCGCCTTAGTCGTCATCAAAGAGGAGGACGTTTTCTCGCAATCTGCACATAATGGAGGCTGAGTAGCTTCCCATCGGCTCGGTGCCGTCAGAATGACTCTGCCCAATTTCACGTGACAAGGGTGTCTATCCGCCCTGTGCCGCACGTTTACACGTAAACATTCTAATTGTTCATTGGCCATCTCTTAGTTGGCAAATATCATTCTAATGTTGTGTGAGTGGTAGACAAACCTGAAGTCCGCGCATATGTCCCAATAGGTGCATTCGGTGGCTGAACGCGTGGGTGCGGTGTGGGTATAAAAGATGAAGGTGACAGATGTTGGCCGAGGCTCCAGAACCTGGTTCTTCAAACATGCGGAACCATAATTTTCATCCTCAGTGTTATGCGTAGCTGCTTAAATGCGTGTACATACAAATATTAACGAATATGAGTAGTTCATGATTGCTGTGTTAGCTTTTCTGACGCCTTTTGAGTTGCCTGTTTAATCCACGCAAGCCCATTTGAGCTCATTTGCATCTCCACACCTCTGAGCGAACGCAGCATGTGCCCTCGTGTCCTTTCTCTCATCGATCGCTGCGTCATTCGCATGCCTTTGAGGCGGTTCCGTTCGGACACGCTTACTCACACACGCGATCGGCCGTCAATATGCGCGTGACGTTGAAACGCGCGCCAAGGCGACGCAGTGGGAGACAATCTGATGACGCGTTGGCTATGGGCGTAACCTCAGCCGTCCTCAAAGTGTTTCGTCACATGCAGACTGGTGACTGTTGACCCACTACGACCCACCGCAACAGGCCTGGAAAGAGGCGATCAAATGATTGCTATGACTGGCCGCAGTAAGTTAGAGACCAGGGGATGCGGGAAACCGAAGTGCGCGCCTGTAACTCCTCTGCGCTAATCTGAGGGAGCATTCAAATTGATGAATTAGCACAGGACCCAGCAGAGGCTTCATAAAACAGTGTGTGCTTCAGTGGCCACGCAAACTGTTGGTCAGTCGTTTATTAAAAGGGGGAGTGGGGACTAGCCACCAAGGGATCAACTAACCTGATGGTTTTGGCCTGATATCGGGTGATGAAAGTTAAAAAGGGCATGTAAACCGGAAATGCATCATCACTTTTATTTATTTTAACCGTGAAGCTGTCGATGCATGACCCAAATGGCAGTTTTGCAAAAGACGACATACCCAAAAGCTCACGAACCATGAAAAAAATCTATGTGACAACTAAACTAAGTCATAAGTTGTTCCAATTTCGTTTGCCAAAATAGGAAATTACCAAATAAGTTTAGAGCTACGGGCGGAGAATGTTTGGAAAATATTTGAAGAATTTTATCGACAAAAACGAGATTGTCAGAAATGACCATTTACAGTTTATCGTTCGTCATCGGCCAGACATACTTCCAAACCTCGATCCGGTAAGATAGTCAGTAAGAATTCTAATCAATTTCCCACGCCTAGGTAATTACTGTCTAAAATATTTAGTCATGCGATGATGGCGTTTGCAGAGTTATATTGATCGTATAATGAAGTGCAGATGTCTCTCGAATGCTGTTTATTCACCTTTAGAGCGAAAACGCAAATTTTAAATAATATCCTGGCGATGGTACGTAAGTATTATTGGAGACTACAACTGAATTCCGACGTTGAGTTTATCAAACAAAGGAGAGTTTAAGTTTGGCCGAGAACTCGTATTCGAACTTATTTTCTATATGATTCGATTCCTTTCCAAAGTTATGTTGCTTTTACGTTGCCGTCCCAGTTGAGAACAGAACATTTCGAGAAGATAAATGTCAACAGCATCTACAACGATAAAATATTTCGGAGTAAAGGAGAAGGAATTGATCGTCGTCTTAAGAAAACTTCATCAAATGATAAATCGAACTCGAACGCAGTCGACCTTCTAATTATGAAAATGGGCCTTAGCTGTGAAATTCCTCCATTTTTTGATGGCAGTTGCTGATTTAAAAAAATCCTCCTAAAATTGCATACAAGCACGCTGCCGCTTTTGATGTTCGTCGTGGGGAGTTCTCTTGGTTTGATGGCCGGCCAACCCAGCAACTAATGATACTTCTGTAGGGCTCCTACGACTTCATAAGCTCTGTGCAGCATTTCCGTCAGTCTATCAAGAGCAAAAACCCAGTGGTAAGTGAATTTCCAAAACAATGGATGCAGAAAAATATGCTGTTGAGCAAACGGAAGCGTTTTTTACGAGTCTTCCAATAAAAATGTTTTTTCCTGCGCTGCCGTCCTAACTAGAGTCAGAAAAATCGTTGCTGAAATTTCCCTATAAATGTGTCCGTCGGACTTATAACAAGAATTTTTAACATCGAGCAAAAAATCCATGAAATAACGAAATATAAGGCATTTCTGTTTTGAGTCATTACGATTTTCAGTAGAAAATTCTCAAGAAACCATGGTCGAAGGCAGAAGAAAAATTGGCATTTTATAATTTCGGATTAGACAGTTCACATGACATCTCGTTTTCCTGGCAGGACAGGCGGATGTAGTTGGGCGCCGAGTTTTTCACAGTTGAGTCAATATGAAGAAATTTATTTTTGTTGAATAAATAATGAATTTCCTTCGTAAAAGCTGAGAAATGCCCATGATAAGCGAAGAAGGAAGAGTAGCCGTTCATATTAAAAAGCACATCTGCAGCCTATTTCCTGGCGGTTTTCTTCGTCGCCTGGTTGTGCGCGTTGTTTGTAATTTGCAATTTAGTTGCTGATGCGACACCTTCTTCTAATCCACATCCTTTATGCATTCGGATTTGTTGTCGGGGAACCTTTAAATAGCTCTGGTAAACGACATAGGACAGGGAACATTCTGGGTGTCATAGGCATCCGCCGTATATTCAGTTAGTCAGAATGTCAAAGACATGGGAAGGTTGAAATGGCCATTTCTGGCTTATTAGCCGTCGTCAGCCAGTCACACTGAACCCCGAAGTGTGGAACACCTGGGTCACGATCCCGCGACTTGTTAGTTAGAGGTCCAACGCCTCTAACCACTGAGCCACGGGCTCTTTGTCCTATCGGTTGCGATCGGTAATGTACAATGATAGAGGGGTGCTCACCGATCGTTTAATTGTTTAATCGCAGGACGCGTCAGTGGGATCAACCATTGCCTATGTACGTAATTTGTTCTTTCATGGTTTACTTGAAAAAAATCAACAAGCGTACAATTTCGGATTGTAATTCACGGAAGACGTCTGTCTTTTTGAAAACTAATACCAAAATTCAGTAGGATATTACATGACCATGCCTTTGTATCACGTAATCGGATGCCCACAAGTAGCTCACAACCATGCAGAAATACGCTGTCAGTCCTCAATGAAAATAGCACGAATGTTGGACAAAATCCATAGGTTAAGCCTAGACAAGGGCGAAAACCTCAAGAAGCTTACATTTAGAATTTGGAAAAAAGTGGTGCACAAATTTGAGAATTTGTACTAGGTTTGAACTTAGGAAGATGCTCGTGCTTTGGTTCTATTAGATTTTGGCTGTCATTACTATCTGCGTGATCCGTACATTAGAAGTTCACATTACCTGTTACTTTCTTACGCCTGGAACTGCACGTTATACAGTTTAACTGTGCAAATGAGGCCTAGGGTATCCGATCATGTGTTGTTCGCTTCTGATTTGTTGCAGTGTCTCTCAAGTTAATATCACCTCACGTCATAGATCTCGTTTGTGAATTCGGACTTCGTTTTACCAGCAGACACCCGGCATATAGGTTCGATGAAGAGTGACTCGGGGGTAAAATGTGATGATATAGACTAACGCAGCACCGGCCTATCTCTCGCCTCTCCTCCTAATCCAATCACAACCCGTTGGCACGGAGGAGATAGAACCACCTGGCATGTAGTTATGTCTGCACGCGTAACCTGCGACTATCCCCTGGTCCACAACCCAACAAGTCTTGACACACAAAATCATCGACGTTAGCGGGGCTACGTCGACCACCCTATTTATAGTTCGCCCATTAACCTGAGCAGTTACTGGGGCATAGCTAAGCCACCTAACCCTAATTCGTGGAGACACAGATAAGAGCTGCGTGTCACGTGACCCGAGCGGCCGCCACATGTAGCGAGGCCTTTGGCGTGGCTTCCCATACGTCAAAGTGACTTTCTATCCCTGAGCAGTCCATACATCTGAAAAAATAATACGTCATGGGAACACGATGAGACCTTCCTAATTAGGCTTGCGTGACGCGTTAGAAATGACTACGGGGTGGGTTTATGGCTGCATGCATTTTGCCTTCAAGTTCAGGCCAAGTAGGTGGTTGTCTAGCACGCTTTGAAAATCAGGTCGGATAAATTCACTGTCCAGGGGCATGACACGCAACCATGACGTGCAACCGGTCAACGTAATTAAAAGCCAGCAGTCTTGGGACATAGAAGAGATTAAAAATACTCCTTCTTATGTCTGTTTCTGTGCGTGGCATGAGGCAGTTTGTGCAAGTTATATGCCAGTTGGGTGAGTCCGTGGCTAGTTTTCCCCCTAAGGATTCCGCATGATGGGTCCGTTGTCTGGCCTTCCATCAATTAGTCACTGGCGTTTTTAGCTGGTCGCTATACGGGTTGCAAGATAGGTCGATGAAACCGATCAAATTCACAAGTATGTGTGAATTGTCTGAGGCATACTTTGTACGTACATGCACACTGGATCAGCCATTGGTCAAGGCGTAGACTGGAATTGTCGGTTCTTGAAATGGGGTCAGCAACCATCGCGTCCGAGTGGGTTCTCGGTTGCGGGAAAGTCATAGACGTCAGTCAAGGCCCCTAAAGTCAAACCACCAAATCCTAGGTCTTGGGATTCAGGCTGCCGTGGCTTGAGAAGACTGTTTTTGCCCGGCAATAACCTTTGAGTGCATATCAGCATTCACCTTTTTCAGCGCATTTGCTCTCTGGCAAGTAGTGTGCGATAGTGCCATTACACTTTTGAAGTAAAATTCCCCGGGAGAAGCCGAAAATTAGTCATATCCCCATAGTTTGAATGAATAGCTTCCCAGGAGCCGGGTCTTGAGTGCCGTGTTTCATTGAACTGATCAGAAGCGGCCTCAAGGACAGTGATTCAGTGAAGCACGTGGAGGCAGAAGTAACCGAGGGCCGGCTAGTAATCGCCGAATATTCACCTAGTCGTCAGTATCGACTAACGCATAGCCCTGAGTTCATTGCTCCTGCGGTTGCTTCAGCCGTAGGCGCCCACTCGGGTTCGCGTATGCAAATGAGAATTATACGGGGGAAGGAGACGACTGTGGATGCATGAGAAGCGGCAACACCTGCTTCACTTGCTGAATTGTAATCTTCGGTCCTCGGCAACCGGCACAGTAACTACAAGCATGTACTCACAATAACAGTGATTTGGGGGAAAGCATGATGCAAATGAGTCGTTCGCATGACACTTTCTGCCTCGGAATAAAGACATGCTGGAGTATAGCAATGAACAGCCGCAATTATATTGTCCTCTTCAGTTACAACGGGGTGTTAATTTGTACCTCAATCGTCAGAACTTCTAGGTACAACAATTTGTCCGAACTGGAAAGGATTTTTGTCACCTGACTAATGCCATAAGGACATAGTTGATTTCGGATTGGAAATATTCATCATGAAGTTAGATAATCGTGCCAGAAGAGATCATTGATGCAGTAGCAGCCCAACCTGTAGTTTTTTTTGCAATGAGCAGTTGGCGATGTACCTCCGGAAACATAAACAGAAACTCCGACCAATGATCGCGGTTAGAAGGTCTTACTTACGTGACTATCATGCAGTATTATTCCAAGATATTTAGGTCAGGCCAGGATGTCAGCTTTTAAATGCACGCCTTCCCGTTCACCAGCAAAAAATATTCGCGAAAAACGACCCCTTGTGTAGTATAATTTTGTGTGGATTTTCGATGCCTGGATAAATTTAACCGTAGTTTATAGAAGGCGTACGCGAAAACATCCTCCCCTATGCCTCTATTTCTGTGGCTTATGTCCTTTTTCAAGTGTTCTGCTCGGTAAAAAAAAAGATATCATTCAGTTTCTTTAAGTTTAAATTGGAAGTTTTTAAGACCGCAAAGCGTTAAATCTGAGACTCGGCAAGTTGAGCAATGGGCTCAAGTACGACGCGTTGAGACTAGGAATAGTCTGCTTAATGCAAGAGTAGTGTCATTCTATTCAGTTTGATGGTCAGTCGCTGAGGCAAGGATGCGTAGAAGCACTGAAACGAGTGTCACTAAAATCCAACGCTTGAATACAACCAACTGACAAAAAAACAGAATCATTGTCTGTCCAGTTTCACTTCAACACAATAATAAAAGTGCCTAAGAAGTCGGATGGTATGTAACATAAGACGAACAAAAATAACATTACGTATGCCTCATTCTGACACCTCTGACGTGCTCTATTCGGAAGTCCTAATGTCGTATTGGTACAATGTATCCCAAAGCCTGTTGCAAAATACGAACAATTTAAGCGCTGCATTTTTGCGAAAGACTAAGTTCATTTGCATTGTCCTTCGAATTAACATATTTCTGCAACCGAAAGTTAGCCCGTACATTTATTATAGGTCACCACCACGCATTGTTTCCTGTGCGGATTGTGCACCTTCTTAATGCACCACGGCAGATGCATGTATGTTATTCGACCTTCAATTTTCACAGGGTTAACTAGGTGATTCTCACTTCACGACTAATTCTGATAATTATTTTAAATTACTCTGGTCGTATGAGGCATTCGTAATTGTGGTTTCTGCCGTATCAGCCGCTGTTTTCACAGTCACCTTCACTTTGATTTGCTGTTAGCAACTGCTAGGGATGGAGAGACACAGTGCGATGAAAGCCGTGCAAGTTGCCCCCATTTTAAGCCAACCCAAGAACGTCCAAACAGATTGTACACAGTCAACTTATTTGAAACATTACCTCCCGAGACGTGGGAACCCGGTCGGGGAGTTCAAGTACTTTAAATGGCAATTCCAGTTTTTGCCTCAAAAAAGTCTCTTTGATAGACACTTTCCTTCGATTAATTGCAGTGAGTTCGAATGTACCTCACTATATAGCTGATGTGCACTCCGGCTCAGTTCCTGCATGGTCTACGGCGAAAGGGTTGCCCTGTTGCATTTTTCTAAAGCAAGTTTGCCTCTCAACAACGCTACATGAAGGAAGTACGGTAGTTTGTACGGAATGTGCATTCAAACGCCTTTTAGCTGTGGTGGCTATTCCGAGGCACCTTTACCGGAAGTATGAGACAACAGTTAGTTCGCAGTTGAGGAAACTGTCAGTTCTAGAATCTTCTCTCTATAGACACTCTGCCTGTCTTCCATCCCCAAATCTTCGTGCTCGAATCTCTAGAAACTAGAGACAGTTATCTTAGGTCTCTCCGCTAATAACATTTCCTGAGCAGTGAGAGCTATTTAATGTCAGATTATGTTATTAAGCTTAAGGACGACAAATTCATTGTTCAGGCAACTCAGTCAAGAGTTTGTTCTAAGTATTCTTCTTCTAACGTTGGCGAGGCAAATGGGTCTCATAGAGCGTACTGACTTTCCAATTCATGGTTAATGTAACTAACCAGTGACTTTGTAACAATATTGAAGGTGAAAAAACACGCAGGTTTACGGCATACTTTCTATAAGCGTCCAGCTACGTGCCAATAGATGACCCGTGTATTGTTATGAAAGCAAGTAATGCAGTTTAATTGTTTCACACTCATGTGTAAATTCTGAATCTACCGGTAACCCATTCTTTTGTTTACATCAGCTATTAAACCTACCATAGCAATATTATTGAAATTAATTCATTCGAGCACACGAACAAAAACTGAAAAACCTATTTGAGACTGAGAATGTTAGTGAGATGACACTTCTTGTATCATGTTAGTAAATTCTTTCTCTATTATCAGGCTAATTCAATTAGATAGCCCTAAACAGGAGCTCCTACGTGTACCACAAAACGAAGAAAAATTGCTTGCAGTTTATGGAGCTACCGGATGTATGAGACAACAGTTTCTAAAGTTTCAGAGTGACTTTTGAGGGACTGTGGCCAGAGGTGATCCGAAACGCGGCGAAACGGGTGTAAAGCAAGAGCCAAACTGCTGCTCCTCAGCACAAAACGTTTTCTCACAATTTAGCCCCAACAGAGAGTCATAAAAACTTACAATTTCTATTCTATAAATCGCGTGCTACCTGAATTCGTGGTCTGCCTACCACGCATGTCCGAGAATGGACAAGTTGCATAACTGAGGCTTTGAGAGCGCTCTCTTCTGGAGTTCGCAGATTCGGTGACCTTTGGTGAACTGGAGACTGCAGTGCGCAAAATGTGCAATGAGGTTCGGTCCATCTGCTGTTTTGTGGGTGTCGTCTGTTTTGCAGTCATGCTAATGGCTTTACATGAACATGCATGCACCTCAGGGTGGTATAAGGTCAAAAATGAGGGTTTTTCGTCGAGCCGGCTCGGCTGCTTCATCTGCGCCGTTAATAAACACTGCTCATAGGTTTTCTGAGGACACTTCTTTAGCATTTTTCGCAAACGGCCTATGTTCCCTGCGTATTTTAATTCGTTCACGGTGGAAACAGACTCGATGGCGTGTTGATAGGCGGCGTCTGACTTGTAAAGATACATTTCGGTTTGAACACCGGTAATAAAACGACTGTTTCGAACTTCTGCCATCCATGTCCCGAATGGGAGCTTCTGAAAAACCGAATAAACCTAAACTGAAATGTTGTTTCATTATCCACACTACTCTGGCGCCTTTGCTATAGCTTATTTTGTCGCTTTTCGACCTTCTAGGCGATCGTTTTTTCCTAATCCTCTTCGATAGAAAGTAGGACTAGTCAGATTAGTCTGCATTCATTCGATTGCAAGCACTCAAGTTTCTTATACGTTACCTCATAAGGGACTTTAGAGGAATCTTGAGTGGTGTCTCTATGATTGTTCAGACTTCGAGAACTTGTACTCGTTTTTGTAGGTTTATATTGCTGTCAATAGGGTCGTGAATGCTTCTGTCCGATTCACTTATGATTTTTTGTTTTTTTACCGAAAAAAGTAAATGTACTGGACAATATCCTGAAGGGATTTTGGTGGACTTTTTAATGACACTAGGGCTCACAAATTCACCAGTTTTGATGGCGTATCAATCATCCCATGAAAATGTATATCCTACTTGGTGGAGGCGAAATATTTTAAGACACTTCTAGAGTCGTATTAAATACCAATACCGAGGAATCGATTTTATTTCCGGGAATAAAAACAACTGCGTATCATACCCTAACCGGACTTTAGTAAGTTGCTCTTAAGGGTAGTAGTTTGAGTGGTTTTTTAGTTAAGAATGACGGCAATACCAAGTTCTCAAAGGACAGCTCTTAGTCATTTAGATGAGATTTAGGTGGATCGTCATGGAACAGTAATCAGGGTGATGCCTTCCAAGAGCATTAATGACGAGAAATCTCACAAGCAGTAAGACGCCGTTCTTTTCATCCCACGATCGCTAAACAGTTTGACAAGCGTAAAATATTATTTATTGCCGGTTTCATCTACCGTCCAGGAGAGGAGCGCCTCAGTAGTCAAACAGATGTGTCAAACCACTTTTTTGAACATGTTCAAAAGATCTCCTTTTAATACAAGGGAACAGATATGTATCCTAAACTAAAATTAAACTGTTGCATCTACGCAGACAGAAAGAACTGGCAGGACTTATGAACTGACTGGGATGTCGAGTTTCCGGATGAATTGGACCTGCGTCAGCTCAGAGTCTCATTTACCAGTCACAACAATCACGAATTTACTTTAGTAACCAAGCTCCCGCCATCACATGCAGCCGTGCTGGCGGATGGAGTCAGATGATAGCTAACCGACTAAAGGCTGCTGGAAAACAGACACCAAATTTTTGACAACGCTTGCCTTGTAAGGGTGATGGTAAGAAAGTAGATTGATGAATGTGAAACGTCAGCAATGATGGACATGCACCCGATGGCTGTCAACCAAAAGTTTCTCCCGAAAGAGGTGACAGACACTTTCTAAAACTGACCAAATCTCACACGTAGGATTTCGTCAGGAACGGAGCCAGCTGAGCAAATATGTAATTCCAGAATGCTGGAAACTGTGTGAGTTATACGCCATCGGGTTAGGAGCAAGACTTTTACTGAAAATGTTCTTAGGTTAGTTTACAACCAGAATAGTACGGATGCACTGACGGGTCTTACTCACAGATAATTTGATTCTAACTGACAAATTCCCATTGCACTTTCGAAAACGGCATAAAATGCCCAGAGGTAGTTTTCAGTTAGCTCGTGTGTTTTGAAAGGAGTGGGAACCAGCGACAGGAGTCCCTTAAAGGAGCATCTTAGTGTAGATAATTATGCTCACTGACCGGAGACGTTTCGCAGCTAATCCTTCGGAACGGTACTACCTCTATTCATCGACTGTGCTGCGCCATACACTTAGTGAAGTTAACATCTGGAGCTGTTTGGGGTCTGTGCCGCTCCCTATTTTTGCTGTGGTATTAAATCCTGGTCAGTGTCCGTTGGGGACCAGTACGTCTAGGTGCGGGTTTTCTCCGTGCCAGCCATCCGCGCCCTCTACAGCCTCCGGTCTTCCTGACTTTGTCTTTCCGCCGGGTGGAGGAGGGAGTGAGATAGATGCAGCGCAAGTCACAGTCCCTATTTTTTAACCAGTGGGTCTCGTCGCAGACGGTCGAATAGTTATTTTAATATTGCCTCTATAGTGGAATCGGTCTAAGATCCGTTCATTATTATTTCTAAACTTCAGTCCATTCGTTTGTGTCGGTTTGCGAGTGCTTAACAATATTTCGTAAACTTCGACACATTTCACGGGTGAGGTCACATACTGTATTTGAGCCCCGTTACAGAGGCGATTTAAAAATTCTTAATATAGTGCCTTATGTACGAACTAACTGACTTCCTGCTAAATCAGCATTAAGGATCTCGTATCTACCAGAGTATACGCATATTCCCATATCCATTTTAACATTACGGAAGTGGTATTTATGAAAATGACATTTTTCGACATAATTACTTAAAATGAGTTTTCCGTCGCGCTACTGGAGAACAGTAATACGGTCTGTAAAAAAGGATGCCAAATATACCAGGGTATTTGGAGTGCTTTGAGATTAGGTTTCATTTTGTTTAGTACGTAGTCGACCCTGGTCGATAGCTTTTATAGATCTTAAATGAGCTTTCAGTTAAATACTTTTCTAAAAATAGTGCAAAAAACCACTTATTGTTGTTATCAACAGAGACAACAACAGCCCGAACTAGGCGGAATCGCAAAATGGCGCAGTGCTGGAAACCTGCTCGGAGAAAGCTCTCGCGCTGCATCCCTCCAACCCAACCAAATTCGTACTAAGGACTCAGTGGTCAGCAGTTCCGACGAGCTCTTTTTTCCCACTGATACCAAGTCAAAACCCATTAAAGGCAAAAAGTCCAGACAGAAGAACAAGGGCAGTGCGGACGAAGGCGGTAGTTCGTCTCGACGCTGGACCGCGAAAAAGTCTAAAAAGGAGGTGAAAGGTGTCACTAATGGTAAAGGTCGCTCGGACGTTGCAGAGCAGGCTGTTATTCGAACTGCGTCACTGCCCGACTTTCTCGAGAATGAGCCATTTTCAGCTGCCCACCAAAGAGCGGACGCCGGTAAGTTATCATTTTTATTTTGTCTGCGATTTAAAATGTTACAGTCTGTGCAATGCGAGCCCAGAGCTTGAGGTGTGTTCAGTCGTGTCCAGTCGTACTCATAGCTGCATGTCTTCAAGCAGTTCTGTTCTGCCATCTTACAATGAGACCATGGCTTGTGCTGTTGATACGATTTCTTTCCATGCGCTAATATGGAGTCGGAATCCCACTCACATAGATTCCACTCCACAGTTTCGCACACAGCTCACTGACCGCAATGCAGAATGGTCTACGCGGAGCTCAAAATGAAAAAGCCGATGTTCGAGGTGTAATTCCATGTCGGCGGATTACCATTTCTGGAACGGAAAGCGATTGGCCCATGAGGTCCCAAAGTAACCGTGACACTATCTCATGCGTATTCCTTTTCGTGTCGAGTTTTTCGTCTGTACGACAGCGTGAACTCGCAGTCGGTGACGACAGTATGCGGGGCATTTTTTGAAACTGACCAGTGAGTTGGAGAACACACATGGTGATCGCTTCGAAGCAAAACATCCATGCAAATTTGGAAGGTTCGCGATTGGGAACGGTCTTAGAGCAGGTTTTTCAGACTGTGTTTGCTTTCTTTTTCTCCTTTACTGCGCTAATGAGTGTTCAGATTATTAGTGTTACGGACTATTGCAACTGCCTATTGAAGTTATTCGCCTCCTGTGTGTATGAGGTTTCCCTGCATCCAGCGGGTGGGGGCTGCAGCAAATGGGTCGTAGATTACACAGAACGAAGTCTTGAGCTCGACTGTTCTATTTCGCCTTCGTGTATGCGTTGATCCGCTTTGCAAATTCCCCATATGCCTATGTCTTAGGAAATGTTACTCCCTATAACAATCGTAGACCGAAGGATGTGGGTAAATTAGACTCTAGCTCTTGTAGAATTGTGTATTCCATATAAACCAACGAGGTGCCGTGAAAAATCAGAAACGAAATACACTTATATATATGCCTATCTTTTACGTGTTCGCCATTCATTACGCACTGACGTCGACGCACAGTAAATAAATTGATGAAAGGGGCAACAACCAGATGGTTTTTATGGCATAAGTACCCAATTTCTATCGCCGGCTTGCCTGTATGAAGGTGTAATTTGGAGTCAAAGCATTTCGCATGTGAGGATAGAAGAATTTAGCAGGCGGGATCAGCATTCCGAAGTGTGCAACCTCTGATGTTCCCTTTTTGAGCAACCCGAATATATTTTTAATAGAAGAAAGCTGTAGCTTTATGTGATTTGACTCCAGTTTTTTATGGCATGAACAAAACTCTCAACTCCAACCACATAGGTGGAACACTGACGATCTTCCTGGGTGACTGCGGTCTGCCAGATGCCTACCGACAGTTGAAATCCTCGCCCTCAGAAAGCGCGCGACAGCTGATTAACCGACTGTTGGCAATTTACGGCCTTAACACTCAGGCCGTTGCGAACAACTCCTATTGTCTGCAGCAGATTAATATACCGCCCAAGCACGAGCGTCTCCCGTAAGTAGTGTTCTCTCTATGACTTTGGCTTTCTTCTTCCATTCTATTCCCTTTCTCTTCTTTCTCTTTCGCGTCTACTATTTCTTCATCTGCGTCCCAGTATTCTCAACTTCTCTCCTTCCTCGTAACTTCGTTTCTGCCGCCTCGTCCTCCTCCGCCTCCCCCTCCATTGTCTCTAACCCCTACCTAGTTCTTGCCCTCCGTGCCTCTTTGAATTCAAATTGTCCTCTTTTGCTCCTTCATATTTTCCTCTCGCTTCATTGCGCTATTGCATCAACTTTTCCTTTTCCCCATTTTTATTTGCCTCATTCTTCTAATTCTTGATAGGATCCCTCCTCGTGGCCCTCTCCTTGCCTTTATCATTGTCAGCCTCCCTTCCTATTCCAAACTCTTCTTCCTCGCCATCTCCCTGCTTCCTCTTCTTCCAATTCTCGGGCACTTCCTTTACCTCCTATCCTTTTACTCCTGTTCTTCTTCCGCCTCTCTTGCTTCGTTAATTATTTAATTTCTTGTTTCTCTCTCTGCTACACCCGCATTCTTTGCATGTTTTTCGCTTTCATTCCCCATTATGACCTTTCTTCTTTCTTTACTGCTTTCGAAGTTTGTTTTCATGAAGCCCTCCTTTCATTTCTCCACTCTCATTCCGTTTTTACTTTTATCTTTCCCTGTTTTCCTCTGCCATCAATTTTTCCTTTCTCATTTCTGTTACCATTTTGCTATTCCTTTTCTTTCCTCTCTCTAACTCCTGATTTTCTAATATTTATTTCTATTTTCGGTTTCTTTTATATTTCTCTAGCTTGCTATACCCTTGTGCCAATACATTTTCAATCTGATCGCATTTTCTTCACCCTCATCTTATTCTGCGCTGTTTTCTCGTTATTCTGGCTTTCCTCTGAAATAATCCCGCAAAATCAATTATGATTAGACAGTAGGAGCAAGATTTTTTCCCGCAATTTTTCTTTTTCTCAACTCCTTTCTTCAGGATTTTTCTCCCTCCCTATGTACTGTACGTTCACACTATCGCTCCCGGCTGTCACGACCACTAAAGTCATCACCATTGCCATCCCCGACAAAATCCCGTTTGCGAATCGCTGGGTTTATTTCTACTGAGTTATGGACTATCTCTTTCTCTAGACTGGATGTCCCGGCACAGGTCTACCTTCGTCCTGACGACAGACCTCTCCAGATAATGCGTAGGTCTATGGCTCTTTACCCGAACATACGAACAGAGCTACATCTGATGAATGCTGAAGATGTCGGGGCGATGGGCGACGACTACTCCTCGCAACAGTACGTTAATCTCCCTCAACAGCGCAATGCTAACGACACTGATGACGACGAAGCCATCACCCAAACGGGGCTTAGAATGCAAGGCAACCGACCGAAGACCACGCCGTCACCGCAGCCAGCCTCAAGGCATCATGGGCCACCCTGCCTGGTCGAAGTCAATGAGGACGGAAGCTTCAAGCAAAACAAGGGCTTACAATTTGTGCTGCTTGGGCTTGTGCAGCCGAAAGAGGCGTCAAGTCGGGGCGGGACACCTATTAAGATTGGTTCCTCAAGAAATGCTGTCGGGCCGACCCCGAACATTCTCATTGATTCTGTAAGTCTTCCTTTTTATTGCGATAAATGATGCCTATTTTGGTTATAATAGTAGGCAGTTGTTTTCATTTGACCACCTGACTGAGAAACACCACAAGGTGTCAGACTGAGTAGACGAAGCATCACAAATGCCTGCTGTAAACAGAAATTCGCCTCTTATGTCGACATCTCAGAAATATTTTAAAAGACTGATTTAGGTCGGAATTGAAATATAGGGCATTCGGAGGAGTTCATTCGCCATCTGCTGACTCAGGAGTTTGAGTATTGGAAGCTCACTGGCCATCCAACATAAAACCTTAAAAATGGGTATCACTCCAGTCTCTCTATGGGGAACTTTTCAATGAGGAATGTACCTCATCCGTCAGTTTTCCCCGAGTGTCCTCTTTAAACGTCTCATAACCGGTTCATTGGGTTGGATTCTGAATAATTCAGCAAATAATTGTTTTGCGTGAGCCCGTGACTAATCGAAACTGAGTTCAGCTGACTCTAGTAGCCACCTACATAATTGATTTTAGTTTATCATAACTGAAATTGCACCGCTTGCTGACCTCCCACGGAGCAACTTTCGCAACAAGTAATCTGTAGTTTTCATATGGTTTCTGAAAATTTTTTCGTTCTTTTTGGACTCAATGTGCCTCCCGAATAGAGTTAGATAAATAAATCTGCACCTTTTATGAGCAAAACGAGCTCATAGTGGTCCGGACAGGTACGGTGTTCGGAAGAGTTAATGGTTAAAATGGTGGTTTATCTGAAGAAAAATAAATACGACAAAGTATTCGTTACTCACAAGAATAATGAGGAGAAATGGAATTGCTGAAATGAAGGGAGATTAGTCGTCAGAACTGACACTGTTTTTTTAGGCTTTGTGAAAATTGCCTGAGATCATTGTCAGAGACAGAGAGCGAGCAGCGGCAAATGGACTGCTCTTACGTTCCCCATGGCGTATCGGCCATCTATATCCTCTGCTCAGAAAAGAGCCTTCATCGTCTCACAGCAAAATCACAACAAATAGACAGGAGCCAAATTGATGTGCTGGTTTATAGGATTGGCAACAGACGTACCGGTCTCCAGTAGTTATCGCAATATATTTGTGTAATATATTATTGCCGACAAAGACAGCGGAGACCGGAATGTCCATTTCTGGCTTATTAGCCGTCGTCAGCCAGTCATACTCAACCCCGAAGTGTGGAACACCCGAAGTTCGAACTCGCAACCTGTTAGGTAGAAGTCCACGCCTCTAACCACCGGGCCACGAGCCCCTTGTCCTGTCCGTTTCGACCGGGAATATATAACGTTAGGGGGCGCTACCGATCGTTCTTACGGAACTCACTCGTTCCGTTGTGCCTTGCGGGCTCTCTCTCGAGCCCAACTAGCAGCCGCGCAGCGGCGCATGATATGGGCAGTATTTTATTACCGACAAAGAGAAGGGAGACTGATTGGGCTGCTGGTCGGGCTCTAGAGAGAGCCCGTAAAGCACAACGGAACGAGTGAGTTCCGTAAGAAAGATCGGTGAGCGCCCTCTACCACATTTATGTAATTTTCTTTCTGTTCATAAAGTCGTATCTGACAGCCTTCAGAGCATAGGCAGCGATTTTGGACAGTCGGCCAACCCATCCACAGCGCCAATTTACTTTTCTATATTCTTGAGCCCAGTGGTCTTGCGGCTAGGCTACAGAATCTTAAAGAAGAACGAAGTTTTCGATAAATTCTCATCAGGTCAATACATTTATATTGCTGTCGAAATGATTAAAAAGAAAATGCGGGCAAACAGAAGTTTTTCTGTAGCTGGGGTTTGGGGGGGAGGATCTGGGTGGGTGAGGTGAAAAACAAAATTACCGTCAATGTCAGGGGGGAGAAGAGGATGGCGGGCACTGGGACGGGTAATTATACGAGGTGGTTGGCATGGTGTCTTTGCCCCATGGTAACCGCAGGGACTGTACGAAGTTCTTTTGTGCGCATAGAACTGGTTTGTATAGCCTGATTGCAGCCACCTCTGCTGTTGTCAACAGACGTTGGCCAATTTATTTTGGTTAGCTTGACTGGACCTTGTCAATCACTCGGAATGCCTGGCCGGTATCTACATAGTGATCTGTGTCTACCATGTGGACGAGGAGAGAGTTGTTGACGTTCTTCATTTGGCCCTTTCCTAACCATGTTGGAAGGTGTTCCCTTATTCTTTTGGACAGACGCCGGCTCGTGCGACCAACATATTCTGCCCCACAGGAGCAGGTGAAGGAGTAAATACACATAGAAGTTGTCTGGGCTGGCAGTTTGTTCTTGCCTTCTCCGTGTAGGATGGGGCAGGTGGAGAAGAGTACACGGGCGTCAGCTGCTGGAAAGGTGCGTGATACAGCTTGAGTTAGGCGCCTTCTTAGAAGTTCGCTTGACGCGTTCCCTTGAAATGGGACCCCGACGAAAAGCTTCTTCTTTTCTGCTATCAGCATTGGGAGTTTTGGTGGTCCTTCGGTCATCTACTTGGCAATGAATCGATCGAAGTACCCGTCCTGGCGAAAGAGATTTTCGACAATTTTAAGTTCTTCTGCAAAACTATCAGCCGAGCAGATCCTCCTTACTCTTTGTCTTAAACAACAGTCTAAATTGCTCTTCGTGTCTAACGGTACGAAACTCCCGAAATTGGTGTGTTGCCCGGACCACGTCTTCTTACGATAGACGCTACGTCGAATACTGCCGTCAGGCCTTCTACTTCTACTTACTTCGACAGCAATATAAATGAATAGGCCTGATGATAATTTATCGGACGCTTACGTATGCTCACCAAATTGTCTTTTGAATTCATCGATGGGAATTTTCGCAAATCTGATAAACGAAGCATTGAATCAGATAAGTCACTTAGCTACGATCACTTTAGCCCTGATCCACATGAGCATTTTGTACATGGTAGCCCGCAGAAAGGACATGGGGCTCCATCATCCGATGATCCGACGACATTTAAAAGCAAGAATAAATATTGTTGGCACTCAGACGAACATTACAAAGTTGCTATATCCATAATGACCTTGCATTGTCCCTGTTAGTAGGCTCATGGTCTAAGTACAGGAATTATGACAAATAAAATGACTTGCGCGCTCAACTTCTCTCCCTCATTCTAACAAGCACCCGGAACTTTATCTCAGACCTCCTCCTCCATAAACAGTTATTTTACTATGTTAGGGGGCGCTCACCGATCGTCCTTACGGAACTCACTCGTTCCGTTGTGCCTTACGGGCTCTCTCTTTCTCCAGCCCGACCAGCAGCCGCACAGCGGCGCATGATATAGGCAGTATGGAATCACCAACAAAGAGAAGGGTGACTGGAATGGCCATTTCTGACTTATTGGCCGCCGTCAGCCAGTCTCTGTCAGTAATACCATACTTCCTATATCATGCGCCGCTGTGCGGCTGCTGGCCGGGCTCGAGAGAGAGAGAGCCCGTAAGACACGACGGCACGAGTGAGTTTCGTAAGAACGATCGGTGAGCGCCCCCTACCATTGTATATTCCCGATCAAAGCCGACAGGGCAACGGGCTCGTGGCCCAGTGGTTAGAGGCGTGGCCTTCTAACGAACAGGTCGCCAGTTCGAGCCTCGGGTGTTCCACACTTTGGGGTTCGGTATGACTGGCTGACGACAGCTAGTAAGCCAGAAATGGCCATTCCAGTCTCCCTTTTTTGTGGGTAATTCCATACTGCCTAAATTATTTTCCTCGCTAAATTCCACGTCGCCTCTTACATATTTATTTCAGTCCAGATACCCAGACATTCGGCCAGTGCACTGTTCCCTCCTGCCAAACACTGCTGCTACGCGCAATGGCGACCGCTCCGCCGTCCTGATCTCGCCAGCACTAGACATCTCGTCTAGACCACCGGGACTGGCACCAGTCTTTCTGAACGGTAGGAAGGTCACCGGTCCGACTCCATTATTCGAAGGAGCAGTCATCCGCCTTGGACGAAATCTCAACCTGCGTTACATAGAGCAGGCGCCCAATGAGGCGGAAGCTAATAGGCAGCGAACTCCCCACTCTGGTGGAACTGCTTTCAGTGGATCAACACCAGCACTGGCTGCCAGGGTTCCGGGCGATGTACACCAGCGCTCTGCTACTCTTGAGCCGCGACTCAATTCTGCGGCAGTTGTGGGGCCGGCCAAGGGTTCTGCCAAGGAGTACAAACAACGGGCAGCAACTGTAAGTGACGAAAAAGCGAAAGGACTGAAATGGCTATTTCTGGCATACAGTGTGTGATCGATCTCATGAAATGTTGGCCAAATTCAGGACTGCGTCTCCGATTAGGAAGGATTAATTAAATAGGGTTATCATACTGATTGGCATGCAGCATAACCCTATAACATTTCGGACTCGCCAGGATAGCGGCTTTTGAATGCCCTTCTTTTTGACCTCCTGCGTATACCACACTCGGTAAAAAATGACAACTTAATTAGCATGCACTTTTCCAATTGATTTTCGATGGTCTTATAAATGCAAATATATTTTACAGAACACATGAACAAAAATATGCTTTTCTGCTCATTTGGTAGGAAATCACATTGACTTTATATTTTATGTCCGAGGAAAGTGTATATTAAGGTTCTCAACTCCCGAATAACTTTGAGTCAGATCAGCCGTTGCATTAGCGATTAGAGGTTTCAGTCTGCAAGGTGCATGCTTTTCGCTTATAGAAAATCATATATTCCTCTATGTCTTTAAGAAGATACTACATAGAATTCATGAAATTTTGCAATGGATCCGGGCTGTTTTGTACATTTCATGAGGAGCATAAGTAAACGGCCATGTGCGATCTTGCATGCATGGACATCGCACGGTCTTAAAAATCTCATAATTAAAAACTTCTTTAAAACCTAAACATACACTTTCTTCGGGCATTAACTATAAATAAAATGTGATCTCCTACCAAATGAGCAAAAAGGCATATTTTTGTTCACGTTTTTTGCAAAATACATTTGAATTTATAAGATCATCGAAAATCAATTGGAAAAATGAATGCCACTTAAGTAGTCATTTTCTACCGAGTGTGATGTCCGCAGGAGGTCAAAAAGAAGTGCATTCAAAAGCCGTTATCCTGGCGAGTCCGAACTGTTATAGGGTTATGTTGCATTATAATCAGTATAACAACCCCACTTAAGTAATCCTTCCTAATCGGTAAGGTATTCCAGAATTTTAGCCAACATTTCATGAGATCGGTCGCGCACCGTATTTGTCGTTATTGGCCAGTCCTACTTCCGGAAGTACGTGGGGCAAATGTAGGGTGAAGGACTCCACTTAACTGTCGGTAGACTGTGGATCGTGTCATATGGGGTTTTATCTTGGCCTCCGTTTCGGGGCTGTTGCAGCCAGGGTCCTTCATCCAGCCGTTGCCAAACTTAGGTTTGAATCCGTGTTCAGCTGCCCATTTAGCCTAATGATCTAAAAGTTAAATCATATGTCCATACGCTATCTGATTGCGATAGGAATTTCGAACGTCATGCACGTTTTTTATGTTCAATGGTCGGATCAAGTAATAGAGTGCAAAATGGGAATTCTTTCTCGTCTTGGAGGTCCGATATGTGGCCTTTACGAGCAGCTGAACAGCAGATTCAGATATAAAGCTATCGCGGTCGGGCTTTATAGTATAATTAACCGATGACTAGAAAGAGTGCAGTCTTGTAGAAATATGCGCGATTTTGCTTATTCCATCGGGTTGTCGGTGAGCTGTCGGCACGGTTACATGCGCCAGGGCAAACCACGTATTGGTTCACGAGATTCAATTGTTGATTAGCCTTGCATTTCTGGGTGGAATACAGCCATTGGTCAAAATTTGTTCCACTTGAAATGTACAGTGGACAATCGGATTTATGAAACATCGACCGAAATTTTCCATTGCCCTCTCAAATAAAGAGCAGTACGCACGCGAGATTGTAAGACTGATGAGATTGAAAAGTAGTCAGAGGTTTATCTAGCGTAGCACTTGGTCTATTCACCGGGACTTTTTCAGTTATCCAATGGCACTCCTACCTAAGACATGCTGCTCAGGTAGTGCGTGCTTTCCATCGATTTGTGCTTTAGTAAGTCATGTGATTTTTCTAAGAATGTACAAATGACATCTCTAATTATCGTTTTTACGCAATTTGCCCCCACTTCTGGCAAAACACCTGAAAGTATTTATAATTTTGACTTCTCAAAATTTTAGGAAAGTGTGTAATTTCAAAAAACGATCTCCGTTTTTAGATAAATTTATACGCCTGTTCTGCACCTAAGACAAAAAGAGAACCTCTCTTCCTTGTGACATTGCATATTCTCAGTCACAAGCGACAATATATTGATTCGTAGCTGTTGTGCCAGGGCAACTAACGGACGGGTTCGAATTTCACATGCCCATCGGGATTGGGATATGCCCTGGAAATAAACTGGGAAAGACCACTAATGTCTCCTTATCTTCGTCGGTAGTACTTCAAGACTCCCCATTTACTTGGCTTGCACCAAAATTGGTTTTGTGTTATTGGACAGGAAGCTCCCTGATTCCAGAAAATATTGGAAAAAACGGTGTGCACTTAAACTCACGTAATATTCGCTCACCAAAATTTTCAGTTATGCATTTGAACAGGTAAACTTATCTGTGACCAGGGGATTAATCGGGGTTAAGGTAACTGGCCTGTGGTCGACTGGTGGTCATTGGTAAAAGGAATTGCAAAAGTTACACGCGTGGGGGCTCTAAGTGATCCAAACGCAACCTCAAATGTCGCTGAAGCAGTAATGTCATGTAAGCGGCAGTGTTTGTTTAAGAAAACAATGTGTTGATGAAACTGCACCATACTGTACGTAATGAGGCAATGAGAACGCCTTAGCAATCCTGTGTGAAAAGAGCGACCGCCATTACCGATACCGAGCCAATAATACAGTAATGAACCATCCCTTAGCGCAATAGTTGCTTGTTATGCGAGTTAGTGAAGGATATGTAAGTATTTGTGACGCAATCGTCGACAGTGCATAGCTGCGGGTACAACACGCAACACGTCTGTCGGTTCCGGTCTTAACAAACACAGGACAAGCATTAGATTAAGGGGTTTAAGCAAGCTATACGGTTACTTAAACCTAAGTCAGCCCCAGCCGACAACACTATCGCCAATAAAGGGGCAATCTATCCGAGCGATCTAATCGACTTATGTAGCAAGGAATGCGTACTTTGTGCAACAAAGTGTAGCGATAGCTAATCTTGCACTAGTAAGTAATCTAAAGCAGCATCCCAAAACAGTTTAGACGTCAGTGAAAGCTGACTTCTAGTTAAAAATGTTTGCAGTAGTCTATGTAACTGACGCTCGCGTACCAACACTACTTAAGTTAGGTGTTCCCATTAATTTTCGGTTTTTGGATGAGTTCCAGGAAAAGATTTATACGAGGTTCACTTGTTTTGTGAGAACGTTCGAGCGACCAGAAGAAGTACAAACGTAAGGCCATGTGTTCGAGTGAGTGATTCAAAATAAATACTGCAACTATCTGTGCATAGATCACCCGTTTCTGTCATTGCCTCTAAGGATGGGTTCAAGTGAATTCGAAAAGTCAGGCAAATAAAGTCCTTGTTCCAGCAATCGCTTTTACTTCTTTTCAACTAGTTCCTGGAACTCGCATCTTCGCTTGTATCGGCAATTCAAAATATGCCTTGTTTAATTTCAGAGGAAATTAATGCGTGCGTTGCGACGCGTTCTTGGTCACTGACGACATCCCCTTCCCTCTGTGACTGAAACTAACTGTTCTGCCCCTAAAGCTTTACCTTGAATACTCCCGATTATAGTTGATAGAATGTGAGACGTGATGCAATTATCGGGGCACTAGGCCCTCTGAAATCCTGAGCGTGGGTTCAAATCTCAGGTATTCCTCGTCTGGGCTGAGGTTAATTGACGAAAGTGGCTAAGTCAAGACTGGTTATTTCGGTTCCATTTACCTTCCCCAATAAAATATCTCGATGTTCCTCTTTTTGCGTTATCTCTAATTCGTACGAGATTGGTAGTCTTTTTCCAGTCAGAAATATACGCAAAGCAATGTTTAGAATTATTATTACTCAAAAGGCAATTTGGCAAGCATACGTCTGCTTTCGATAAATTATCCTCAGGCCTGGCTATTGAAGTAATGAATTAAAAGATACGGGCAAGTAGATAATTAAGCTGTAGCTCGGGTTTGGAGAGGGGAGGGGAGGGGAGGGAGAGAGTGAAACACCACAATTCCAGTCAGCGCCAGGGAGAAGGTGGGTCCCGGCGAAGATAATTACATGCGGGTGGCTGGCTTGGTCGCTTTACATCATGGCAACTGTGGGACCTGTATGAAGTTCTTCAGTAAGCATAGGACGGTTCCGCATAGCCTGATTGCAGCCGCCTCTGCCGTAGCCAACAAGCACTGCCCAAGCAGTTTTGGATAGCTTGATGGGACCTTGTAAATCACTCTGAAGGCCTCTCTAGCGTCTACACGGTGGTCTGTGTCTAACATGTGCGCGAGGATTGAGCTGTTGATGTTCTTTTGGATAAACGCCGGCTCGTGCGACCAATATATTCTGTCCCACAGGAGCAGGTGAAATAGTAAATACACATAGAGGTGGTCTGACCTGGTAGTTTGTCCTTGCCCTCTCCGTATAGGATGGGACTGGTGGAGAACAGTACACGTGTGTCAGCTGCTGAAAAGGTCTGTGATACAGCTTGAGTCAGGCGTCTTTTTCAAAGTTCACTTGGTGCATACCCTAGAAATGGGACCCTGATGATCCTGGAGCATATAATGATTAAATGGTCGCAACTCCTGCATTTCTAAGGTGTAACTCTGATCAAAACGGCAAAGTAGTCGGGCGAATACTCATGGAGATAAGGGGTTCAGAAACAGAAAATGCGTAATCCGGCTGTTAATGGTGCCTTGCGTGACCGCCAGCAACCTAGAAATACTCGTTAGCCTGGCGGCTCAAAACCAAAGTTCCCTGGTGTAGCAGTTTGGTAGTATTTGATAATATGCAGGCTTGTTTTGCTTAAGGTGGTTGCACACGATTATCTGGAGTTCTCTGTAAATACTCAAATGTGGAACAAGTATATGTAATCGAGTCTATTGAGACCAACAGATGTTCCGACTGATTTTTGCTGCTTCCCGACGTCTAACAATATGAATAACGAATATCGGATACAAGACCCTACGTATGCACACAAACTTGAACGATGGCATTTATTTATTCATCTCTGCCCTTAAATGCAAGCGTAAAGGTGACTAACAGCCAGGCCAGCTGAGCACTAGTGCAAATGACGCTTAAAGTCAAAAAAACAACATTCCTTACTCTGCCGATACATGCGAATATGCGAGTGCCAGGAACTAACTGATAAGAAGTAGAAGCGCTCGCTAAAACAAGAGCCTTATTCGCCTGAAGTTCCTGATTTTCGCTCGAACCCATCATCAGAGACAGCCATAGACAGACTCGTTTTTGTCACTGTCTCTGATGATGGGTTCTAGCGGGAATCCGAAAAGTCAGGCGAATGAAACTCTTGTTCCAGCGGTCTCTTCTACTTCTTATTCCTTACTCTTTCACCGCGCGGCTTCCGCTAGACAGCAGATATTGCTTTAAGTCAAAAATATTCCTTCGAATTCATATTGATACGCGAACGGCTTGGATATTTATGTTTGGAAGTGATCTACAAACGGAGAGAAGACCTGGCCGTGCAAACGCCTAGACCACATGGTAAGCTGGACATCACCCTTTTCGCCCCCCCCCTTCCCCAATACTTTTAATTTGTACACCCCTTTTGCGTTATCCTCCTTTTTCTTCTATTTATATCACATGTATTACGCCTCTTTTATTGGTTAGACTGTATATACCGGACTGTGGATCTGTGCTTTTTCCTACCCATTTTCCGAGCAAATTCAAGCTGCCACGTATTTGTTACTCGTTTATCATGTTATGGGACGACTGGAATAATCTAGAGCGCAGTTGCGACGTTTGTTAGCGCCAATAGCTTCACCTACCCATTCCTATTCTACATATATCAGGATCAGAGTGCCTTACATTCTGCCATTGGACGTATAATCTTTCACAAAAAAATCGATTCGCTATATTAAAACGAGCTTCGACAAGGCAAGCTTTCTCGAACCTGTGAAATGTCTACACATGAATGTTTAAGTATAGAGCTACAGGCAAAAAGATTTCCGCCGAAGTTTGCGGTCTTAATCTTAACGCTTGTTTTGCATAAACTTAAAGACAAGGCGTTTGAAAAATGGACTCCTATGGATAAATCAACGTTGTATAGGAATCTTCAGTCACTCAGATTCTCCTAGGTACCGGAATATGCAAGATCCCGGACTAATAAACCCTTTGGTTATGCCGACTTGCTTACTACTATCCTTTAAAATTATCTATACAGAGTATTCATTAGGTCGTTTCAATTCAATTAGGCTTCTTCTTAGTTGGTGTCTCGCCTCTTGTGTCGCAGAACACAAACTGTTTATTTCCACACTAGGTTTCCTCTGACGGAGTGATCGGTGGAACAAAGGTAACGCAACTCTGGACTGACCAATTGCCAATCTGTGTGGATATTATCCTGCCCGATACGGCCAGCTACCAACGGACCTCAAAGTCCGAGTTTGCTGCGGAGTTTCACGAGGCCTGCTGTGATGTCATCGACGCTATTCTGGAAGTGGCTAGGAACCTGGCAGAAAAGTCGGCCATTTCGGCGGGTGGAGCCGACACTCGACTACCAGCCAGACGTCCGCCCCTCTTTGTGCTCACTCCAGCCTTTATGCTCTATGCTGTACTTCGAAGTTGCCTCCGCCGCTGGCGGGCTGTCAAGCTGCCAGACGACCATCGTGAGCACTACCTGACCGGTGTACTTAATCACATAGGCAGTCAGGTGTTTCAGGTTTGTATGCACAATTTTATCTACTCAAATGCATATTAGTAAAAAATATATATGTCAAATTTACCAACCACGCTTGTTGTGTTGTTCAGTCCTCACAGACACTTCCGGAGGCTGTTGCCGGGACCCGGGCCACACGGGCCGCCATCAGCCACATGATGTTTTGGTTGGCCAACGCTAGTGAGCTGCTGAACTTCATTAGAAATGATGAAGACATTGCGGTGCATGCAAACAACGGCACGAAAAAGAACTCCGTCACTTATCGACCAGATGGCCCATCGGTCTGCGACGGAGTGAGTCTTTTGGAGCGTTCTATCGACTTCACCTTTCACGAGCTCCAAAATTTGATGTTACAACATGTGGAACAACTGATGCCCTCCATTCTGTTCCCTGGGGACTATGATCTTCAAGATGATGTACGTTTGGATGACCGCCCTAGAACCTTCCTGTCAGACACAGTTGATATGCCTAATCAGGAGGCCAGCGTTCAGCGTCTTCTTCAAGCTCTTTCCTACTTGATGTTGAGTTTACGTCAGGCGTGCGTCAACGTATCTTTTGCCTTCCAACTATTTGCCGCCATTTTCCATGCACTTGGAGCCTGGATCTTCAATGCCATCATCGCCGCCGGGGAGGGGAAGCAGTCTGCTCGTGGTCGTCCACCTCCCGGAGGGGCTTTGTGGTTAACAAGACTTGGAGCTGGTCGCCTGATGCGGCGACTTCAACGCATGAAACAATGGGCTGACAGGCACGGTCTAGAGCAGACCTTTGAAGGACACTTTCAGTTGCCCATTCAGACCTGTCTTCTGATAACATGCGATCGCTCTAGATTCCAGCCCTTCCAGCGACGGATCCTCGAATTACGTGCTTTAAATAGTAAACGCATTGAGTGGCTGTTAGGCCATCTTGGCGATCCACCAGCACTACCGCAAGAATGGCTTAACAGCATCCTGAAATCTGCCCGGGAGGTAAGGAAATGCTAAGTACATTTTCTCCTAAGAAGTTCACTCGACCTTTGAGACAAGACCTTTATTAGCCTTCCTTTTCGGATTCATAATCGAATTCGTGAGCAGAGCCGGAAACAGCGAGCAACTGAAAGGCGCAGAGTTTTCAACTGTTGTGTTGGCGCGCGTCTATTGATCCTTAAATGCGTTAGAGTCACTGACGGCCGATTCTCATCGCAGGTGCTCATAAATAACGCTATTATTGTCTGGTCGACCATGTATGAGTCGCTTATACCAGCATCGTCATACCTATTCTAATAATTTATGTGTTAATGACTTTGGAATTTGGACTTTTCGATGCCATCTACCTCAACAGTGTGCAGTTGCGCATTTCCCTTGTGCGTACTTATTCTCAAAGATAGGCTCGTAAGCTTGCATCTGCGGACGGATGTGGGATGTTTTCTGATAAAATGTGGTCAGTAGCTCAAAACAGCCCATGGATCACGCAGAAGTCACCTATTTAAGGATTTCGGCCGGACCAAATAGGAAGATGTAGCAAAGTTGTTTCGACCGAACCGCAACCTGAGCCTTATCGTAATCCCCTTTATTGTAAATTCGGTAGGATCGCAGTTGGTAGTCAGATATTATACGCTGATACTGTCGACGCACTTACTTGTTATCAGTAGGTGTGCTTCTACTGAGTTAGGCAGGTCGACCGTTTCGGTCAGGCTGTTGGGTTTTAGTGAGGGTTAGGGTTAGGCTTAGGTTAACTTTCAGGATTAGGGTTTGAATTTTCGGGTCAGGTTTCAGTGTTAGGGTTAGAATTTAGGTTTCCGATTACGGTTTGGCTTTAGGGTTGGGGTTCGGCTTTAGGGTTCGGTTTATGGTTTTCTTGGTTAGGTTTAGAACATTTGGCCTTCGTTTTAGGGTTAAGGTTAGGATAAGGGTTCACGTTTTCGGTTTTCCGATTTTCGAGTTAGGGTTAGGGCTTCAGGGTTAGATTGCGGGTTAAAGTTGAGGTTAAACTTTACGATTAGGTTTCAGTATTAAGGTTGCGATTTGGTTTAGAGTTAGTTCTATGCTTACGGGCTACGGTTAAGGTTCCCGTTAGGGTTGCGGTGAAAGTTAAGGTTAGGGTTAGGCTTTGGGTGAGGGTTAAGGTTAGGGTTAAGGTTGAGGTTAAGGTTAGGGCTAGGTTTAGGGTTGCGTTTAGGCTTAGGACTAAGGTTAGGACTACGTTTAAGGTCAGGGCTAGAGTTAAGGTTAGGGTTAGTTTTGAGGTTAGGGTTAGGGTTAGGGTTGGTGGTAAGGTTAGGGTTAAGGTTAGGGCTAGGTTTGAGGTTATGGTTAAGGTTAGGGTTAGGGTTATGGCTAGGGGAAGGCTTAGGTTTATGTCTAGGCGTTGGGTTTCATGATTTCTGTTATTTTTCGCTTATACACTCCTGGCTATCAACTGCGATCTAACCGTAAATCCATGTTCGTTCAACAGCATTAGGAGTTTTCTCCCCGTTTTCTGAAGTTGTTGCTTTACAAACAGCTGAACTAGATCCGCTAATCGACTCCAACTATGGAGTGCACTTTGTCATGTTTGTTTACAGAAACGTAACGTTTTAATTATAGCTATTTGCTCGTCCAAATTCATGGTTCGTTTATTTCCTTTTCAAGGAATTAGACACAGAACAAGTTCATGCGAAACGATCTTCCCGAGGTCGGGAAATCCTGACCGTCAGAGAGGACGCAGAACTGAAATTACCTCTCCTGATCCCACCAAGCGGTTATGCAGCCACGTCAGGTCTCACCGGAATACCAGATGGCTTCATGGAAGCCATCGATCCGTTGGTACAGGATGGCTACATTCGGGTTCGTCGAAATGAGGCCGCATATGTCGCGCCGCTAAATGGCAAATGGACCGGCCACTTGGTGATTCAGGTAGAAATTAAGGCGATTCAAATTTATGAGTCTCGAAGTTCATTGTTTCGTATGCGGTAACTTTAGAATTGGGTTTCCAGGACATGTTATTCGTTATTTGACGTGCTTGCTTTTTAAATAATGCCCCCATAAGTCTATAGAAACATATATAACTACAGTAAGTACTATATGCACACGGACTCATAAAAGTAGCCTGGGCCTTTAAACTCGTTTTTAAAACTCAAAATACAACTTGAGTGAGGTTGCAATACTGCTTTCTTAGAGACGCGATTTCAAGTTAATTCGTATAGGTTACCTTCAGGCTCTTCCTTTATTAGCTTTCCAGTCCAATCAGAAAGGAAAACTCGAGAAAAAATCATTTTGATGCTTACATTTATACCAACTTATAGTGTAAAACAAGATTCGCATACTTTGGAAATATGTTGTTATCAGAAAAGCCCTCTCCATATGGACGAGTAGAGATGTATGAATTCGCTTTAGAGATACTAAATTCCCGGCCCTCGGCAATATCACGAACATGATAATTTCAAAATTAAATGTCTAGTTAGTATTCACAGTCATAGACTCGACGGCTATTCTGACGCCCACATGACCATCGATAATGGTAGTTATCAAAAAATGAAGGGGCGTTCATCTGGAGGGGTTTATCTGAGGTCCGACGTCTCGAGTAGTTTATTCGTCTACCCATCTTCAGAGACTGGGAAGTTCTGTGCACAGCTCCCCTTATAATGGCGTCCTTTGTTCAATGCGTGATCCGCCAATGCCGCCTGTGTGGCTGCATCCAACCCACAGGTCACCGCGGGCATTCATTGAACGGAGCCGGAGGCAGCCAAAGAAACGGAGCGAAGAGCATAGTCAGTCAAACTCGTGGCAGAGAATTCCGTACATTAAAGGGGTCTCCGAAGCCGTGGCTAGATCACTCGCGCCACTCGGAATAGGTGTTGCCCACAGGCCTGACTCAACAATCCGCGGGCAAGTGATGCGACCAAAAGATCCGATCCCTAAGCAGGAGATGTTGGCCGTTGTCTACAGACTTCAGTGCAGCTGCGGAAGGTGCGACTACGTTGGGGAAACCGGCCGACGGCTGCAACCGCGAATGCACGAGCATAAGTTGGCCGTGCGAAGGTTGGGTCCAAAGTCGGAGGTAGCAACCCATGCTGCGCAAATGAGACACATCTTAAACGTTGACGTCGTTGAGATTGTGGGCCGGGGCAGCGATCACACAGTAAGGCAAGTGCAAGAAGCCTGGATGTCCACCGACCGCTCTGTCAACCGCCACATCAATTTGCCTTCCCCCCCCCCCTATCTGACTTTACGAACCTTCTTAGCGGGGGACAGTCACGGCGCGGGACAATCGGGGCCGTCAGTCATCTCCACGGCCGACGGGGGCGATTCAGGTCACGGTGACATGCGGGTTGGATGCAGCCACACAGGCGGCATTGGCGGATCACACATTGAACAAAGGACGCCATTATAAGGGGAGCTGTGCACAGGACTTCCCAGTCTCTGAAGATGGGTAGACGAATAAACTACTCGAAAAGTCGGACCTCAAATAAACCCCTCCCGGTGAACGCCCCTTCTTCTTTTGATATGCCACCTGGGAATCGCATTTTCACTACTATTGAAATGGTAGTTATCCCTAAATACAGTGTTTCGAGACAGGCATGATGCGATCAGTGACTCACGTGAGACAATGACGCCAGGTCGCAGAAAGTACTTTTCGGACGTTATAGTGGCGCTCCTAGTTCCCCTCATGCAGTGGATATTTCCATACCTTTGAAGGGCGTGATGACACTTCGTGAAGTAGACCGTATTTTAGGTATTGTATCTTGTCAAGCGCATGTAGGTGAATTGTCGCAAATGAAACTCGACCAGTGATTCAAAAAGGCCAACGTAACTTCAAGGCTAGTTATGGTAAGGTTAACAGACCAATCAGCAGAAAGTAAACTTGTATTTATTCGTCTATTGTAACATTATAACACCAAACAGGCAGTATAACTTGTCGCATTTATCCACCGATTAATAAGGACATATCATTCTGTACTGTCAAGTCTAAGGGGTACCAATAGTCCCCTCAGAATTGCATTAGGATATAAACATTTAATACTACCCGACGGAACTAGACAGATTTTACTTTATGCTTTTTTACGTCAGTAAGATCAGGCAGTTACTACTTAAGTTGAAAAAGTTAGAGATTTAGTGCTCTTCTCGGGGAATATTTTTGTTGGTTTCTTCACCCAAGATTTCCTCGTCGTGCTCTAAGAGGGCATTAATTTCCCAGCCAAGAGACGGTGGAGTTCGTAGGATCTGGGCTTATATGTGGAAGCCCTACGTACAATCGACTTCATTTTTTTCTCATACTATCTTGTTTCAAGGGTAAGATTGGGTCAAAATGACTGGGGAGGAGTGGGAGCGCAGGTACCGAAATAAAACCCCATGTACATGTTGTTAAACCCCTTCACACCAACTGACGTTCACTAACTCGGATCTCACGACAGTGGGAGTTGCGGTAAGGTTGTATTAAAAAAGCCCTCGCAACCTGACGAACAGTCCAGAGGACCAAGTTATCTTGTCGGTGAAGACCTTCCGTAACAACTTTAGAGTCTCGGAGTAAACCAAATTCAGGAAGATATTGTACTGGATAGATCTCTGTCATACTTCCCTTCCATTGTGTGACCGACGGCGGATGCAAGACAGGTCAGTTGGATATGAGGTCTGGTACTGCAACCAACGCTCAGAAAATCGGCCTCTCACATATTATGAACATATTTGGTGCATATGCATGCCTGATGCGACAGTGAACTTCCGTTTAGAGATAGTTTTATAGAAGGACAGACTTTTATAACTTTAAATTGTACTCTTTACGTGACCATCCTAACATCAAAAGTATACAATTTCATAATTTTCATAGTGAATTGAAAATTTAAAAAGGTTGCAGCATGTCTGATATCCACACTACGGGTCTGCAAGAAGTACGCTAGCCTAGCTTTGTTTTCGTTGTTATACGTGTGTCTATAAGGACGTGCGGACAGTACCTCGTAATTTAATTTTAGAAAAAATCTACATAATGTATTCAAAACTACTTTTAGCCTATTCATTTTTCTTATATCTGCCTTAGGATCCTCAGGACCACTCAAAGACAGTTGGGTTCGGGTCTCCATTGGAAAGAGGGGCATCTCAACAGAGCATTGCTGCCATCTCGAAAGGTCCCAGCATGGGGAATCTGAAACATGAGAAGCTCAACATTGAAAAGCTGGCGCGCAGAGTCGGTGTAAAGCTAAGCTCCGTCGTGGAAATGGTATTAAAAAAGGCCAACACTGGTCTCGGCCTCAGCATCGTAGCGGCCAAGGTACTGGCTGTTTTTTAATCCTCCACATGAATAGTTACTGACACATTTTATTCAATTTTCCTCTCGTGGACTTTAATTTTTGTGACTATCTCCCTGGGTAAACCAGATTCACGTCATATCTACTATCCTTGGTAACTGGCGTAGGGTAGCCTGGTCAGAGATGACGTCTGAAATCCCAGCTTAGGGCAATTGAGGAAAGGAAAACTGAGCATGGGCACACTTAGATACTGTCCCCTGTTTTGCGGGAATCGTTAACGAGGTCAGATACGAGCAGAAAAAGAGGACGTTTTAGTATCTGCATTTACAGGTTACGGTTAAATCGAATAGAGGACGTGCTGGGAGGAACATTCTAGAATAGCTTATAATAAGTCAGCAACGTAAAGCAAACGCTGGACAAATGTATCCGACCGATAATTGTCACCATATCTAAAACTCGACACACGGGAATGGGACAATTAACAAAAAGTAAAGAAGTAAAACCCTGGCGGAAAAGCCGTGTATCATGTTCTGGTAAATTCGGGCCACGAGCATTTCGTAGATCGGGAGGAGGCGATAGCCAAAATGAGCAACTGAACTATCTCACGATTTTTTATTTATAAACTCAACTGAAAACTATTGCTGAGTTGACGAATTGTCAGGGAGTGCGTTATGTTGTTTGATGAAAACAAATTAGCGGATATTTTCCCAGTGTCTTCGGAAGCTTTGCTATTTGCAGGACCTACGACTATCCGGGCACCATACGTCTTGCTCTCACGAGAACCAGTAGTACGAAAATCAAAAGACCAACGAATGACCTGTTCGCGCATGCTATCTCAAATTTTATTTATAAGTTTGCAAGCACTTCCAAATGCTACTTATCTGAATGAAATCGAAGGCGCTAGCGAATGTAGTAGTCAAGAAAATCGTCTACTAGCTTCTAAAATATTATGGGTGTCGCCAGAGATGCTAGTTTATTGATATAGCACTGTCTCGAACCTCTTCGGCTTCAATCAACAACTATTCACTCAAGTTACCACCCGAAAATAGAAGGATAAACAAGGTCCGCACACAGCGAGGACCATGAGGATACCATAGCACGGCCGAACTCGACTTGGCAGCTGTTTGCCTGTTCGAAAGCCCTGCCACCCATCCAGAGTTCGCTTGCTTCGATGCATGTTCACTACCGTATGAGCTTCCACAGTTGTAGAAACAAAATCCTTATTTTCTCAACTACAAGGCTCTCGATGGGTAGTCGAGCAACCTGACGACTCCAAACTAGCTTTCCAGGTCCTTTTTTGCACTCAAAATGTTTAGAGACCGTGTTGCTGCGAGGTCATTAACCTGGCCTTGCCATAGTAACACGTGGTCCTTTGACTCACACTGCCTATTCACTTATCACAGGCTATCTATTTGCGTTATTTTTCCTCTTACACCTTTACCATTCTTCATGTTCTCCTACTTCATTACACTGTTGAGAAGGAGATTCGAGCGTTAGAGGATGCATTTTATTTGTCTAGCATTTCGGATTCCTTATCGAACCTGTAATTCAGGCTAACAACATGCAGCGATAACGGACCGCCAGGGGCTACCATACTTATGTGATCCAGCTGTCACGCATCCACGCATTTACTAAAGTTAGCGGCTTGCACAATAGGTGTAGATTTCCGTGCTTGGTGCGATGCTTGCTCGATCGCCTGCATCCAGGTTGTTATTGGCCGCGATCATTACTCGATTTGATAATTGGGACAATAACGGTTCAGTAATCTGGCACACCCCTACTGCCATCGGAAGCACTGTTCACCCTCGGGCTGTCCCCGTGACAAATTACTCTAGTCATAAAGTCTCAGCATTAAATATAGATTGGGAAGGCCATTGTGTTGTCGATGAACAAATGGCCAGAGAGTCATGACTCAAACATCTCGCGAGCCATGCAGTCGTCACCTTCTGTAGGTATTTTGGTTTCCCAGACTTTAGAGTGTAAACGGATCCTGCCGATTAGCCCGTGACTTCAGGGGCGGCATCGTTCCTCCTCGTGTTCAGACATCTGTTTACTGTTTCTCCGATCTATTCGAATGAGTGCAAATTGCAAGTAGGCCTCATTTACCCCAATACTAACACGTATCCCACATTCGAGTTCCAAGTGGCCTCCTTGTTCCTCCGACTCTGTCACTTTGCCCACAACTGCGGCAGATCCGGTAAAAGATTTTGGACGTTCTGTGTCGCGGCAGGGGTTTCTTTTGCGCCACCACTTAACGCCTAATTGCTACATGCAGTCTATTTTCGACCCCAATTCCAAGTGACGGGGAAGGTGACCAAAGGATTCCGATGTGTCTATAACGTAAGGACGAATTCTAAAAGACGAGTGCGTTGTGGTTTAACCTCTCATTTTGTCCTTTGCATAAGTTAACGAAGTTGTGACAGTAGTTATTCACTTTGAGCATCCTTTTGAGATGTTCTTATTTATTACTCTTGTCCTCGGTTTCGTTGCAGTGCGTTTCAATGCACCGATAGAATGCCTTCGTAAGGCTGCGTTTCTGGCTTACTGGGCAGTCGCGTTTCTGGCTCTCCTTAACACTCGGGTTTTTAAGATATCACAATCTTTGCGACAGAAAAATACAGAAATAAAGGTCATTTGGTTGTCTCCTGCCTCTTCCATGGGTAATGCTTGCCCGGTAAAGTGGCGTTGAGGCGTTCTTGAAATGTCAACATCCGACCCGCTTCATGACGGCGCAGGCAGCATCTGCATACCAAGACCAGAATTTCGCTCTGTGGTAGTGGAAGAACTGTGACTATTACCGTTAAAGATAGCTGTAGCTATGAGTCCAGAGATCGATAACCCCAATGATATACCATCAACCTGCTCTTAGATTGTCCCGTCAGGCTTAATGTTCGTTTATAGACAGAATCTGAGAAGTTGGAAGAGTTGGACGCATCCGAGGTGATTCTGTGTTTTATTGCCTTCGCCTCCTACCTAACTGTGGTTCCGACTGCCACAGTTTGAGAAATAGAATAAGGGACGTGATGTCGGTATAACCATGACATCATTTTGCAGGTTATTCACCTTTTTAAGTTTCTTTGAGAATCATTTTGATGAACCGACCAGACTGTTTCGTTCAGCATCCCGAAATCCGCATGACGAAGCAATTATTCTGTCATTTCCTGAGGTGTACTGTTTTTGAATAAAAATAATACTAGCCGGAGGTAGCACCTCTGGAAGTCCCTAAAATCGGTCCAAAATCGTCTTTGTTATTCAATCTTCAATGTTGCGTGTGAGTTCTCAATCCTCCATGAATTGGCATTAGTTTCGCTTGTCAGTATCATGGAGGGTTACGACTTTTACGTCACATGCGAGTTAAATCCCCTAAAACCGCTGACTCGAGAAATTATTAAGTCGTTGTTGGTGATGGACAATTCAAGTGCAATATTGCGGATAGATTAATGTACAACAAGAACCCAAGAAACCGCCCTGGTTCCATGCTATTTTTATCTCATCAAACCTTGTCTACATCCAAATGGTCGTTTTCTTTAGATGTGGATTGTGTTCAAATTACATCTTAAATAGATTCTTGATTAATCCTAGCAAAATTATTATACGTTTCGTGGAATATCATAATAAAGACATGCTTTTAAATACACCTTGCGTCGGGCAAAGCTTTCCGACACCTGACAGCCTCCTTTATACGAAAAATGCGCTACTTCACTGCTTATGCCTACATCATTCAAATGAATTGACTACTGTACCCCGGTTCAGATCTGCGGTCCCCGTTACCTACGACTAGTTCATAGCAACTACAGTGCGTGACCGATCTCATGAAATGTTAACCGAAATTTTGAAATGCGTTTTCGATTAGGACGGATTACTTAGGTGAATTTGTAGTATTGATTAGCATGCAGCATAATCCCATAGTATTTCTGACTCATCAGAATGTCGGCTTTTGAATGCACTTCATTTTGGCCTTCTGCAGAAACCACACTCGGTAAAAAAATGACTGCTTTCTTTTGCTCATTTGGAAGGAAATCACATGGACTTTGTATTTTATATCCGATGAAAGTGCATATTTAGGTTTTAAAAAAGTTTCCCAATGCCCGAACAATTTTGAGCCCGATCTGCCATTGCACTAGCGTTTAGCGATTTCGGTCTACAAGGTGCATGCCTCCCGCGTAAGGAAAATCATATATTCCTCTATGTCTTTAGGAAGATATCATATAGAATTCATAAAATTTCGCAATGGGTCTGGACTGTGTTTTACATTTCATGTGGAGCCTTGGTAAACGGAAATGTGCGGCCCTGTATTCATGGACGTCGCATGGTCACAAAAATCTCATAATTAGAAACTTTTTTAAAACCCAATCATACTCCTTCTTCGGGCATAAAATATGAAGACAATAAGATTTCCTGCCAAATGAGCAAAAAAGCGTATTTTGTGCATGTTTTCTATAAAATATATTCGAATTTATATGACCACCGAAAATGAACAGGAAAAATGCACGATATTTAAGCAGTCATTTTTTACCGAGTGTGGTTTCTGCTGGAGGCCAACATGAAGTGCATTCAAAAGCCGACATCCTGATGAGTCCGAAATACTATAGGATTATGCTGCATGCTATTCAATATTGCAACCGCCTCTAAGTAATCCTTCCTAATCGAAAATCTATTTCAGAATTTCGGCTAGCATTTCATGAGATCGGTCACGCACTCTATATACGGCAAAAATGCCAGAAGAGGTCATTCTCGTCCCCATTACCTTGACCGGTAATACTTTTGGATTGTTATTTAAACACTGTCACTTTTTGTTTTAGCCGGAAGGCAATGCCCCGTATGGAATCTACGTTCGTCAAGTAGTCGTGGGTGGAGCAGCAGAGCGTGACGGACGCCTGGAGACGGGTGACCAAATCTTAGCCATCCAGAACTGCCCCCTCATCGACTGCGACCAGTCTGAAGCTGTAAAAATGCTGGCCCACAATTCAAGTGATCAGACCGGAGTTCATATGGTTGTTGCCAAGCGTGCCGCTCAGGCACGTGGGATTCTTAGCCTGATAAATTCGGGGAATGATCAGTCGCCTGTTTCCGCTCGACGGAGGCTGCATGCCAAAGGTGCCCTGACAGGATCACGTGGTGCTGCCTTCGGGGCCATGACCCGCTCCACACCCTGCCTCAATCTTGCAAGCGATCACCTAGGTCACAGTGTTAGCGAGGAGGATGACAGCGATGACTCGGAAGACAGTGGGCCACGTTTTGGATCTCGAATACTACCCAGAGGAGCTCCACAGACAAGGCGCGTTGCACAGCAGAGCATGCAGTCGGTACGCAAAACCATCCCCATAACAGTCCCATAGCCAATATTTCATTAGGAGACTTTCTGGTGGAAATTTCCCAATCTCACTCTCCGGTAACATAATTTGTTCCATCTTCAAGGTTTCGAGACACAAAAGTCTGGAGATGCTATCTTCGCGTCCAGTTGCTGCCCGCAATGGCCCACAAAGAGTTTCAACTCGGGAGTCGGAACCATCGACTGATGATCTATCAGACGAAGGAAGTGATCATGTATGGAGACAATCGGGTTCAGTGGAATCTCTGCTGAACCAAGACCACGTAGATAGTGCTAAACAGAGAACAGAGAGCCTGAAGAAAGTTGGGGTGGAACTACCAGTTACTAAAAGCCAACTGCAACAATTTGTAAGTTCTGCCAATCTAGCAGCTTAAAAATGCTCGGACTGTATTTCAAAGCTAAGCTCATGATTAGCCGAATCTGATCGCTCGATCCTAATAACGCTGAGAGTTGAAGTGGCTAATTCTCTGCTTTTTAACAATAATGGTGTTTGCTTGCTCGCAAAAATTAAACAAGTCCCTCTCTTTTCTTGGAAGCCTACTTGGTCAACTGTTAAATAAACCGTATGCTTTTCGGGTGTTCAAATATTGGCTTTGGAAATCACTCAAGTTGACGAAATCCAAACAGGTTTCCGGATGCTTGAAAAGAAGTATCGGTAAGATCGCAGTTGTTTGTCAGACATTATACGTTGATAGTGTCGACGTACGTCCTTGTTATTAGTAGATGTGCTTACCTTGTCTAGGAAACTTGTTATCAGTAGGTGTGCTTCTACTGATTTAAGCAGGTCGCCTGTTTCGGTCAGGTTGTTGGGTTTAATGAGGGTTAGGGTTAGGCGTAGGTTAAGTTTTAGGATTAGGGCCTGCGTTTTAGGGTCAGGTTTCAGTGTTAGGGTTAGGGTTTAGGTTCCCGTTAGGGTTACGGTTAAGGTTAGGGTAACATTTAGGGTTGGGGTTAGGCTTAAGGTTGGGGTCAACGTTAGGGTTAGGGTTATGGCTAGGTTTTGTGTTAGCGTTGGGTTTTAGGATTTTGGTTACGTTTCGCTTTTGAGGCTTAGGGTTAGACTTTACGGTTGCGGTCAGGGTTGGATTTTAGAGTTAAGTGTATGGTTTACATTTCTGCCACTATTCCACCTACTTAGAACTTCGTAGCGTTTTCCATGGTAACTTTACCTTTAGCCAGAAACTCCAGCATTTTTTTAACAGCCCTTCCATTTACCTCACCCACATAACCCCCTTCCCCACCATTCCCGTACGACAGCGACCTGGCTGTCCGCCTCCCCATTCCTGGCCACCAACTGCGATCCAACCGAAATATCTCTCCTAAAATAGCAATCTATTTACACCAACTACAACTGGACCGTGATAGCTTCAAGCGCGTCAGGTTGTTTATAGTGAGCAAAATGCGCTGAGTCGTCGACCGCCCCCCCCTTTCCATTCTCACACCTCAGCCCCTGTCCGAGCCGGTCAGATGACTGGATCGGGGAATAGCGCGGTGGCTGACATGGTCTGGTGACCTTGACTGCGCGCGCCACCACATGAACGACCTGACCCTCCAAACACAAACACCAGGATTTCACACAATGGGGTTTGGGCGGCGTATCTCTCACTTGCGTGAGAGAGCCGTGGAAGGAGCTGTATCGGACCGGCCCCAAGCCCACCAGTCCGCCACGCCACAAAAAAACACAACTGGACTGACTGCGTAGACCGAGTTGGGGCGTCAATCAGCAGCATTCCTATCCAGGACGCTTGGCGCGTCGGGATAATCTCAGGCTTGAGTCACCAGTGCAATAGGAGCCGCATAGAGACCGAGTCGAGACGCACACATCCCACTTACGTGGGAGGTGGCAGTTGGGTGATTGCGGTAGGCGATGTTACTGAGCGGTGAGGTGGCGGTGAGGGAGGATGTGGTGGCGTGGTGCAACCGGCGGTTGTCTTCTGTAGGTTTTCGTGGATGCGCATGTGGCCGAATAGACCCATGCGGTGCATGAATGTGCGAGGACAATGTTGACAGTGGAGGCGGATGTGGCGGGTGTAGGTGGGTGCTTCAGGCACTGGTTCGCCAGTATCTGTGCAATGGATTCGCAAGTGACCGATCAGGCCGATGAGTGAGGTGAATGTGCCTGGACAGTGTGGACATGAGAGGTCGGTGGTGTGGGTGTCGGTTACGGAGGTGGTGGTGGTGGTGGTGGTGGTGGTGGTGGTGGTGGTGGTCTCTGAAGATGGGTAGAAGAAACGACTACCCGAAACGTCAGACCTCAAATACACCTCTCCCGGTGAACGCCTCCTCTTCTTTTGACCAACTACTTTATTTTCCAGGCATATAATTTACCATTTTTGTAATTTAAACTGCCCTAAATGTTTGTTCCACGTAGAACCGGCGAAGGCAGCAGAAAAACAACAGTGGCCCTGAGAGAACAGATCAGATGCCAGACGATTCAAGTCCTCACCAAAGGCCAGGACATAACGGCTGGCAAAATCAGAGTCCAACTGGCGTAGCCGGGAGTCGTAAGGAGAAAGAGAATGAGGAATCTAGTTCGCCAGACTGGAGCGACTTCGCCAGGCAGAATGCTGAGGCCAAATCTCGAGTATCCAATAAGAGCAGTGAGAAGGAGGAGGACTCACCAAGTCCCTCTGGTAGCGTTGGCGGCGGTGAAGGTAGCGGCAGTGGGGGAAGCAAAGCAGTGGAGACCATCTCCAATACCTCAGAAGACTCCTTTATAGCGCGCAAATCACCAGGTATTCCTGTAAACTATTTTGTTGCCATATGCTAGCTGATATGTTTTAATTGCTGACATGTCGTCTTCTATATGAGGAGGGCCCTTTCATGCAGTACTTTCGTATGTTTCACCTCTTCCTGAAGGACGTAAACAACCATAGACAGTGTTATCGCATGAAATTTTGACTGAAATTCCGAAATGTGTTTTCGATTCGAAAAGATTATTTAAGTGGGGTTGCAATACTAATTATCGTGCATCATAATCCTAAGATATTTCAGTCCCCCCAGGATGTCGGCTCTCGAAGGTACTTCTTCTCTAGTGGCTGCATGAACCACGCTCTGTAAAAATGGTTGCTTGAATAGCATGAATTTTCCCGATTATCCTCGCCGTCCCTTTAAATCCAAATATGTCTTATGAAGAACATTTATAAAAATATTGAATTTTGTAACAACTTTGTATAGAAGTACATCTTCCTTAAAAATTAGGCTTGAAGAAAGAGTATGTATTGGCTTTAAGAAGTCCCTAATTATGCGTTTTTTTAAGACTGTGTAATGTTATATTATGAAACATCACATTATCACGGTTATTAGTGCTGTTTACAAAGTGGGCAACATGCTCCACATCCATTGCAAAATTTCATGAACCCTATTTGACGTATCCTTGCTGGCATATAGAAAAGTACCTTTTTCCTTAAATGAAAATTATGTAGCTTATGGTTTGGAAACCCTGAGTACAAGTATAACGACAGGTCAAATTCAAAATTATTCACGAATTGAGGAAGTCTTTTAAAACCGAATAGAAATTTGAAGGAGGCGTAAGGTGCTACCAAAGGAATCCAAACGAGAATATTTTTGGCATGTTTTTTTATAAAATACATTTGAATTTATAAAGACATCGGAATTCAATGGAGAACCGGGAAGTCCAGGAAGTCATTCTTACAGGGTCACAAGAAATGCACTCAAAGCCAACAGTCTGGAGTGACTGAAATATCCCCGAATCACCCTGTATGGTAATCAATGTTGCAACTCTACTTAGGCAAACTTTTTGGATTAAAAAAGCATTTCAGAATTGCAGTCGACATTTCATAAGATGGCACATCTACGTAACGTAGCACAAGCAATAGTCCCAAACTCCTTAGGACCGCATTTGAGAATGCGTTAACTAAAGCAGAATTCGAGGGACACAGACTCGTACAACTGGGTGGGAAAAAACGTATCGCACATCCTTTGACGGGGTTCTGTCTTCAAAAAACCCTTACGCAGAACACTGCATTGGAACACAAGACGGACCATTGCCTCACATGCCTCCCCTTCTCTTCAGCACCGTGTCTGTCTCCATCATCAGCAGCAGCAACGACAAGGACAGCAACGCTTTTCTCTTCCTTGCTCTCTGCCATTCGCTATACAAAAATGAAGTCCTCTGCCCCCTTAACAATTATTAGCGCATTTTAAAGTAGCTTCATGGTGCGATTATGTAGAGAGAAGAAGTGTGAGGACTAGAAGAGGAAATATTCAGGGATCTAATGCCTCGTAATACTGCAATGCACGCCATTATTGAACAAAACTCATTGTGAGAATTTTCATATGATTTCTAAACTCTCTCTCTCAGACAAGAAGACTGAGGAAAATATTCTTTAAAGGATTCAAACCCTTCTGTCACGGCCGACTGTTCCTTGTCGTCCTCCTTCTCCATACTTTTCTTTTTTCCGAATCATCTTCTTTTCTCATTGGCGTCCTTCTGCTCATTTGTTCTGCTTTCCTTCTCTTTCTTTTTTGCCTTCTTGTCATCCGCCTTCTCTCCTTCATCATTGTTATTTTGGGCCTTCACAGCGACCATAAATACTACAGTTATCCCAGTCATCAGCTGAGAGTTTCAAACAGGGTCCGCCGATTACCCTATCTTCCTACTCCTCTTCTTCTCTGTTCTTAGCTCTCCCGTGTTATTTTACTCCAAGCCTTCTTTCTCTATGTAAGGATATTTTTTAGGCCTTCTTCACCTGTTTTCCCACTTCTTTACATCTCTCACTGCTTTCGTGCTGCTTCTCGCTGTCCTTATTTTTCCTTCGTGTTCATTATGTTTTCCCTCATTCTCGTAGTCGTCACTCTCTTATTTCCCTCTTTTTCTCCCTCCCCCTCCGCTCCCATCCTGCCACACCCTCTTAATTTTATTTTCGTACCTTTGCTCTTTACCCATCTCTCTCAGTCTATTTCTGTTCTTTTTTCCTAATGTTATTTGTCGCAATGAATGGGGGCATTCCTTCTAACGCTAAGTATATCCTAAATATACAGTTTCTCAGTCACACCGAACTACGCCGACTACACCCCCCAAGCCGATGGCGCGACGGTCGCGACAAAAGCAGCCCAACGAGAGCCAGAACAAGAGAGAAGATGACGTCTACAGCTTACCTTCCGATGAAGCCGTCTACGCAGGAGCGCAGGCGGAGGAGTCTAGCACTACAGAGAGTGAAGATCTGCATCACGCTCGCCAGCGCATCGTCTCGGGTGGACGGGGCGAAACCGAGAAACCCGTAGCGAGCGAGGCGAAAGCAGTTAATACTGTCTCAGTCTCCGACAAGGCGCTACAGACCAGCAACGAGTGAGTTTCAGTTCGCGTCCCTCCCATAAGACCTTCAATTATGCCAGTCCGTCTCAAGATCAGAGCTGGTCATTGGGTTCGATCACGGTACAGATGTCATTAAAGTGCTGTACCTAATGCCTTTGGACACACTTCCATCGAAGGTCTCCGCGCGAAAGAAGTGAAAATTAGCACTCATAGAACTAACATCTATTAAAGAGTTTAAAATGTTAAAGGGCAATTAATAATATTCGTTTTAGGAGGCTAGTGTGTCCGGCTCACAACGTCAATTAGACAGTCAGCCGTGCATGCATCATCATGCTTCTCACATCACACTACCAGTGTTGATGGCCAGCTGGTTATTCTTTCCGGGACAGTGCGTTCATTGCTAGCTGTGGTTGGCGTTTCCTGCGGCCTCGTCTGAAAAGGGAAAATCAGTGATTCGGAGAGTCACAGGCCAAACCGGCCTCTCTCGAGCGTTTTCTCGTTTGCTGGGTGGTGACGCAGAACCACAAAACCGTAGATAGCCTAGCGTGTCAGTTGACTGATTGGTTCCCGGCAGCCACGCCTCTTGCGGGGATTGATACATGCAATTATCACCGCCTGTGCGGCACTACCTGGGATATCATATTCAGCCTAATCATAGCAATTTGGTGCTCCCATATCCTCATTTGCAGTTTCTTGCCAGTTTCCACAACGCAGTTGCCGTCTTTTCAACTGCACCATAGTTGGTAGCGCACGGGTGATGTCTTCCACCGATCGGCTACACAGTTCACCTGCTATAAACGTGGCAATCCTGGGTAAACCGATTGACAACTTATGGACGTCCACTCCATCGAACGGTTTGCTCGACTTTATACTTGCAGATTACTTTCACTTAGTTTCCTTTTACAAAACCCCACAACCTCCTTAACTGGCAGTCTTGGGCACAGTAATAAAATACGTTTAATCTGGATAAGAACTTCGACGGTCCCAACTATGTAAATTTATCTGAAACAGTTCAGCAATGTCAGAGGAAGCCGGAATAATAGCCGTTTTGTGTATATCTATGCTCTGTTTGACTGACCATATTCCCCAAATAAATATCGATGCCTAGACAGAAATCGAATACGCACACAAAATCCTTACACTAAAGAGATCTCAGTCTCCCAGCTTTTGTTTAGCCACCTCTGATATCATTTGCATGGTGACTTTGCATTCCAGTGGATGGCTGCCTCTTAGAAACCTATCTGTCTCCGGGCTGGATTTATTTTGCTATGAAAGACAATCAAATTGATGCGGCCTATTCTAGTCTGACTACAAACTTGTTTTAGGGTTACAAAATACCGTGCTAGCATACTACCATACCAATAGCTAGTACATAGATGTTTTGGTAGATTTTGAATAATTCATACTGACCCAACTGTGAAAAACTCGGCGCCTCGGTGGGATTCGAACCCACGCAGTAAGGTGAAGGCTTTAGTACAGCCACCGCTCTAACCACTTAAGCTACGAGGCCCCGCTGGACGACGCGAGTTTAATCACATTTGGGTCAAGTTACCCGCCCAACCTACTGCAACGTGTGGAATCCACCAAATGTGATACAGTAATTTGACTGCCCAGTCAGGATTTCCTAAGTCATTCGCTTAGAATCCACCAGATGACTACCAGGCTTACGTAATTCATAGATGTTTTTTGTACTAAAGCCTTCCCCTTACTGCGTGGGTTCCAAACCCCACTAGACGCCGAGTTTTCCACAGTTGGGTCAATATGAATTACTAGCTAGTAGCCCAGACACGCGTGTTTCGTCGATATTCTGCCGCTGCACGGTACTTGTTTGTATGACCTGAGTAATCCTTACAATCCGATGTGTGATTTCTAATAGCTTCATAGCTCAGAGCCCCGAAAAGCTCAAACAAGCCGTCCAGACGGGGACAGTTCCAATGCTGAATTCCGCCGTTCAAACGGAGGCCGCATTGCAAGAGCCAGTTAGCAGCCCTTCGTTGGGACCGACATCAGCTCCATCGGAGGCGCCTGCTGCTCTTCCCTTCTATCGTCCACCACTGGACCGTCTGTCTACCTCGAGCCAGCCCACAGGAAATGTCTCTTTCATGCAACAGCCTCAAATAAGCGTCGAAACGGTATCTAATTCAGGCGGCGTGGCGGCTGTCTCCCCAGGACATGCCATGCAGTCAACGGCGGAACTAAAAACCGGCCGGTGAGTCCTGCAACTCCCTAACCCCTTCCAGTCTCTGTCCATTGTTTTGGTTCCAAGTACCTTCAGCTTAGCGCAATGTGAGGACTGCTTAACCCTGGCGATTAAATTTGAGCACTTGCGGCTGAGTACGCTGGTCGAGACTGCCTTATTTAACGGACAATTACATTGCAGATAAAAGCCAAAATTTTACTCCCAGGAAGCAGTTGAGAAGAAAGAGACGCGATCGTTGGATAAAGCATTTTACTCGCCTGACGCCTCGGACTCAGGCTTGAACCAACCACCAGAGGCGGGATCAGACGCGGATAATTCATGAACAAGGAGCTGCGGAATTTATAGGATAAAGTCACTATTCCATCGCGTAGCTATCAAAATTAACGGTTGTTCTCCCCCTTTAAAAAGGATGGTTGATATTGATGGGATAACTGCTTGATGGACGGCATTCCAATTGTTATGTCCCCTAATTTCATCAGCTAGGACGAAGATGGCCGAACCCGCAGCAGCAGTGAGAAGAAATGTCGTCATCTCCTAAGTCACAGTTCGTTCAACGAAACCAAAATTCTTGCGAAAGGTGACAGTCGCGTGAATTGCGGGCAGCCTGAGTAATGGTTCCCCGCCCTGCAGTCAACTGGCAAACGCGATGACCTTCTGTGCTTGAACTTGGCGCAGGCAAAGTAATCAGTCATACGGAGAGCGCGCAACATCCATCACAGGTATTACATGCATGGGTTACACGATATACCGCACTTGACAACAACTATCCCACCGAAGGATGTTAATTTTGATCAATATGTGGTGACACAGCGACTTCATCTTATAAATGCTACCAATCCTTATCCGTGAAGAGCCTGTAGCGGCTAAGCGGTGATGGTGTACGCTCAGTACGCCACAACTTCAGGTCATATCCCAAGTTGTTAGAAGCAGGACGCCATTTGGTTAGGACACTTTATTCTGTACAGAATTGCGAAGGGGAAAGTTGGCAACCGGGCGAGGATGCGTCCGGCGCCGCGGAGGCGGCGTCCGCGTGAGCAACGAGCCCTGTGACGCCGAAGGTCGCCGCTGCAAAAGTGTCGTTGCAGATTGTTTACTCTATTGTTCTGGACTGTTCCCGCCTATCTTACCAATCAGCGACAGGAGTTCCGTTGATTGGTTCCGAGCCCACGCGAAGGTAGTGACAAGCCTCGCGTAGTGCAGGCAGAGAATCGACCGAATGCGTGGTGCAGACCGTGAATTGCAACGAGAGAAATCGAAGCCGGGCAGACATGCGTGCCATAGCAGGCTGTCGCTAGGACGTGGGTGCAGGCGCTAGCGAGAGGCGCGACGTAGCCATTATGGCTGTCCACTACAAGCCCATATCTGATTCGGCCTCTGACGGTAAGTTCGAGCACGAATCCGTAGCATCAGGCGAATAAATCGCTTCATCCAGCGGTCGCGTCTACTCCTTCTCAGACAATTACACACAAGGGAGGGAACTGTACGTACTCACATATCTTTTATGGTGGACCATTCTTTTTATTTGCTGTCGTGGCGTTCAACGATGTGAGATAAACTTAAATCACGCACAATCAGTTCGTTTCGTCTAATGTCAGCAGTTAGGGAGCTGTGAGGAATAGTTTATTTTGTACACAGGGCGGTGTATAATTTACGCGGAAGCGTGTGTCAGTAGGTGGGGGTGACTAGCTGAGTGCTGGTCATGAGATTGGACGTATTAGGGGAATATTAGGGGAATGCATAATCACAGGGGCTCAAGGGTATCAAGTCAGGTCGTCCGACGCGCGTGAGGTGATAATCGTTTGTGAGCAGCATCCGGGAGCCACTGCAGCTGGGCAGAAGGGGCCCTAGTTCTAGCCGGCGGGGGTGGTCGTGTGTCAACGGTCTGTCAACGATTGTTGCGGCCATCGACCGACAAAACGGGGCCGGAGAAAAAGGGACTGGAACGGTTGCTACACTGTCTCGAAAGTAATCCGCAAGTAGCAATCTATGTTGCCGAAACGCGCTGATGTTTTCTTTTGAGGAGTCGACAGATGCTGTGAAATTCTGTCTAACAGTACACGACGTATTCTATCAGAGCCTCTGCGGTAAACTGGACGAGCTCTAAATAGTAACCCCAAAAACCCCGGCACGCCCACAGGAACTTTATACGTTTACCAACGGCAAAATGAGGAAGACAAATTCTCCTTGCCTTGTTTAATTTCCGAGGAAACTAATGCGCGAACTTGGAGTAAATCTTGCGAAACAGACCTTTTGAGGCACGGTCCGAAGTTTGATATGAATATTTGAGCTGCAGTCCATCAGCTACTGCGGAATAGCCGCTTAATATTCACAAACCGCCAACAGGCAGCCAATAGTATATAATTGTGCAATGATTTACCGTACTAACAACACAGGTATTAGCTAAAGGCCCAGACACGCGTGTTTCGCCGATCTTATGCCGTTGCTTGACGCAGCTGCGAGGGATTCGGCTCGTCAGTGGGTCCTTCAGCTGTCTCCGTGTGTTTTCTGGTATATGAACTCCAGTGTCAACTTGCCTTGTTTAATTTCCGGCAAAACTGATGCGCGAACTTGGAGTAACTCTTTCGAAACTAAATATAAATTAGTCCCAAGTGCAAGAACCCTGTCCGAACTCATTCAGTTGGCTTTTGCGGCAGAACTTCATGTTGACACCCTGGACTTGACGTAAGGCAGGACACTACAGTCATCGAAACTGCCACCTCTGTGTTTGAGAGTGCAAGGTGTGCCCTCTGTCAAATAAAACCAGACGAGCCTCCCAGGCTGATTATCGGGCAGTCATTCGCAGAGCCTGCTGGTCCGCTCGCGCCTCCAATAGTTATCATTGCAAACAAGTAGTTTGCCTTAGCAGTGGAAAACCGTCCTTCAGACCAACAGGTAAAAGGAGTATTCGAATGGCTGCGAACAGTTGTAGGCTCGAGAGCCTTCCCTACCCATGTTGCAAGGGAATACAAATTCTTGTGAAGAAAACTATAGTAACAAGGTCCGCACACTAAGCTGTTTCCAAAGCGACTCACTGTGAGAACAACCCTATCTTTCAAATCTGTCGACTGCTCTGGAGGCATGAACCAAATTCTAAGCGGCGGACTTGGACGTAGATATCGTATTCAAAGCTAAAAGTTAAGAGTTCTTATTTGTAACCCAAAATTAAGGCTTCTTGGATTAACTTGAGGCTCTGTGGGCCAAAGTCAGACTGCTGAACTGGATGAGAGTTTGTCGGTGACGAAGAATCGGAAGAGCTGAGTGCGACTGGTGCGGTTCCTCATGGGTAGATTCTGCGTCACTTATAATGCATCCCGTTCGTTAACGGCCGTTACACTAGGCTCGACCGCGATAGGACCGTATCCGCCAATTACTCTGGGCCCTTGCACGTCATTTGCAGTCTAGAATACCAACTAGGCCTTTAAAATAATTTGAGCCGATCGCAGAATTCGTGCGAACGGCGGACGTTTGTCTTCAGTTCAGAGGAATGCATGATTCTCCGTCTGCATATAGCAAATCATGATGGAGCCAGCAAAATGAAGCCGTACCTTCTGCAAGAAACTCAAATGCTTGTATTGATCGTAAAGAAAGACCTCCGTTTTTGGATACATTACAATATATAAACGGTTTAAGAATGTCAGGGGCTTACCATACGCGAACAAAAGGATGCTTGAAGCTCTCGTATTTTTGGTAAATTTGACGTATCACTTGTTCGTTCCAGCCTAGAACACAGTGTTCAGGCAATGAGACCCTGCTTGAAATGACAGAATCTTTGAAATTGTGCAGTATATCGGACCTGAACTAATGGGACAGTTGAATAACGATCACCCGGGTAGAAGAATGTCTTTGATGTTTTCAGTTTGTGTTACAAACGATAAAGGTCCTGTCGCATTCTAGTTTATAAAATATTTCGTGGCCTAAAAAGAACACCCCCTTGATGATTTGACGAAATAACGGCCCTTTCCCTGTCTCCGAATGCATCTGGTGGAACGGCCTTCGGTCTGAATTCTTCAGTCAGTGAATATTTTAACTGTAGAGTGCGCTCCATGGGACCATGATGAAGGCGATGCCACTGATAGTGGTCAAAAGCAACTGCATGTTTTATGTATTCCCCCTTTTCCCTGGAGTTGCTGTCTACCTGTTTGTAAACAACTGCTTGCCCACGTTCTGCACACTTGCATAACTGCTACTGAAAGCAAATCAACAACACGTTTATTGAATTGTGTCTTCTGTTAGTGTGCGTACTACCAGTGGACTTGCGAAGGTCGCATAGCAACAAAAGACCTTGGGTGCAGCACTACTCGTGTGATGATTGTTCGTTATTATGCAGCCGTCTGTGAAGACTGTAGAGTTTAGCTCCAAGGGAAAATGGAAAACCTGCATTCTCTTCTTCAACCAGGTCAGATCTGTGGACATTAGTCCGGCACAATACTGTCATGCTGAGTAAGGCTTTCCCTATTTACCCCTGTTCAATTTTATTGCTCTCCTTAGGCAATGGCGATTTTAACTGTGTACTTACTACTACATCTAAGTCGTGCATGCCTGCGGGGCTATTTTTCAGATCCGCATAACTCGCTTTGGCGAACTCGCGTTCTCTGTCAGGTGTTTGGCAATCCGGCTTTCGTTTTTTGACCAATTTTCCAGTCCTCCAACTGTTCATGCTACAACCATCGTAGTAATGCTAGCAATTACTTGATCTTCCATTGATTTACTAATATTTAGCACCTCCAAGCTTCCAGCGTGGACGGGTATGGTCATTGTTTGGGGCTAAGGGAGAAAGACATGGTTCTTTTCCGCAAGTTGGCGAGGTCTCGTTTTTGAGGGATTTTAAGAGGGGAAAATCTGAATAGATCTACCCAGCTCCCGACTTCTTGGACAGTCGGAAATTGTGGAGATTAATTATAGGGAGAACGAGAAAATGTGTTCAAAGTTTACTTTGCCATTTCCTGCCCCTCTCGTGTGTGGTTGTTCTTGTGTTGGCTATAGTTACCTATAAATGTACACTTGACTCATGCAAAAAACCGGCTCTCAAACGGGAACTGTGTGGCTTAAATGAGGCGACTAGGTGTCACGATGTCATAGTTCTTTTTGCTATGTTCAAACATCATCTGTCTTTTACAGTTTTTGATAACATTCCCCAGAATTCCATGTTTGATATTCACAAGAACTCTAAGCCTACAAGGAAAGTCGATATAACTTATTGAACGGCGTCATGCAAAAATCCATAGGTGCATAAAAAGGAAATTCGAGCCAACCCTGCCTCTAAAATCCCAGTTTTGCTTAAAATTTTTTAGCTTCCAGCAGCCAACAGCTTCAGGACCGGCAGAAATTGGACAGCTCAAGACTTCAGCCTCACCCGTGCCCAAAACGGAATTCAACCTCCCATGGGGTGGACCATATCCTTCGCCTGCTGAGGAGAGCCGTCTCCATGGTACCGCCAATGAGACAGCCCAGCGACATCAAGCTGGCCCACCCTACATGGGTTACCTTCGAAGCGTCATTGGTAGTGGAGGCGAGAGTGTGGCCTCTACCAGTTCGGGCAACGTACTTTATTGGACTCCTCAAGGTCAAGGTTGTGGTCGTAGCGGCCAACGTAGTCCATCACCACCCCCCGTACCCACAGCTGACTTCCCACAGTACCACCCTCCCGCCTACCTGGAGCCTGCTGAGTGGCCAAGACAGTCTCCCAGGCCAGCCTGGTCGCCCCCTATAAGCCCGGCTTCTAAATGGCCGGTTCTGAGAGCTCCTGCGTTCGAGCGGTCGGGGTCTAACATTTCGTACGCCTCCGACTCTGTGGCGGTTGTTCACGGTCCGCCGGCCAGCCACAGTCTCGCTGATCCCTCCAAACGGTTGTCTCCGAGCCGTGAGGTATCACCACGCCGACCAGAGGGCACGGATTATGGGCACTCGGTGTGTGTTCCTTTTTGTTGCTCTCCCACTGCAAGCTTCGCCGTTATCTTGCTACTGGCTGGAATTTCTTACTCATTATTAGGATATGATGATAATAGCTGTGAATTCCACCCGATTAAGCATTCGAATTGCAGAGTAAGGATGAAGGAAGACAGGAATTCAGGGGGGTCTACTGGATGAGTGAATCCTCCATTTCCCCTGGTCTACCTTGGCGAATGTTCCGCACAATATCGGTCAAAGACCGTTAGTGCGATGCAGCCTTCCAGAAAAGGAGCTTGCACCCCTCCCACTCACGATGGCATACCGGCGTCAAAAATTGTCTGGATCTTGTGAGCTTGTTCAGCGATAGATTTTGATAATTGCAGTCAGTGACCGATCTAATGAAAGGTTGACCGAAATTTGAAATGCGTTTTCAATCAGGAAAAACTACTTCGGCGGGATTTTAATATTGATTATCACGCGGCTTAATCCCAACATATTTCGGACTCGCCTACATAAAGTTGTGAGAGTGAGAAAGGAACCATCTTACACGGGAGTGCCTACGTATTTTGGTAAACTATGACTACCTCGGTCTGGCTGATATTGTAACTATTTTACTTTCTGCCCTCAAGAGGTACTTTGATGTGTATTCGGCCAAGCGATTTGACACTTATTTTTGCCTGCGTCTGGGCAGTTTGATGTTTGAGATGGTGTAGAAGGATAAGGCACTTTCAATTCATCTGACATCGATGTTGGCTACAAAGCTTAGGTTAATATTAGTGAGGACGAATGGTCGTTGAGTCCTGTTGCCCATTATTCGGTTGTTAGCGCTGGTAACCTAATTATTTTTTAATTGGAGCCAAATATTTACATGATTTTAGAATAACTGAATCTTTCTCTGAGTTCACTCCCCTAAAGTGACAATGTTTTACCAAACTCTAATAGGCTGTAGGAAGCCTTTGAGTGAATTATGCTTCGTTCCATTCATGTCAACGAAACAACTCGTTATGTTTCATTAAATAGAGGCACAGTTCTTTCAAACTAGTTTGGAGACAAATGTGTGTTTGAGGGAATTGCCATTCTCTTTTGTACACGAGAACATGTAATAAAGTTAATAACTCGTTTTCTTAATGTTATAATGTAAGTCTGATCCTTGTGTGTAACTTGTTCCTGCCGCTACTCCGTAGCTCTAAACGTCTTTTGGTATGTGTCAGACAAAAATAGCATCCCTACATGTTCTGTAAAATTTAATGTGACTTAGACTTTAGATAGACTCCGCGTAGATGTGGCTTGGTGGATTGCCTATTGCTAAACAGTCAATTTACCTATACACGTTTCGATTGGATATATTCGGATACCCGAAAGCAACGTCGCCATTTAAATAAATGACAAAAAGGTGTTTACCGGAAATGTTTTTTTACTTCATAACCGCCTTCGTCATCAATTACTGTTGCCCATCTTGAAGCTAAGTTTTTAATACCCTCTTTATAAAATAAAATTTATTTCGATGCAGAGTTCATAGTAAATGACCGCAGAAGTCCATGCAACTTGCTTTGATGCGAGTAATTCTCGGGTGTGTGCTAACATACTCTGTTCATTATTTTGTGCAATAACATATTATTGCATAGGTTCTGTATGTCCGTAGACAGTATACGCAAGTTTCGCAGGTTTAAATTCCTCAGACTCTCGAGGAAATTATGAATGTGGTTCGCTGTACATGCAACAGGACTATGACAAATCTGTTCCATTCGTCTAATCAGCCACTGTGCAAGATTGTTGTGAAGATAACATTAAAAACAGGCGAAAATTTTTTTTAGGAATTCAGTAAATCCTGCTTTTCAATATTTTGTGTGGTTCAAGTGTTTTGGGAGATGGAGTATCCATGGTACGGCCCACTTTCAAATCAGTTTCGATTTCTTTATCAGGGGGCACTCTGCTCAAGAGGATACGATAGTAGTGGTAGACGATAGGAAGTAGTGACCACTACTTACTGCTGTCGCTCTGTCAGTCTATCAATGCCTGTCATAAAAGTTCTAAGGCTAGCGTCGACCGATTGCACCCTATGCAACATCCAGGTCAAATTAAGGATTTCGTTGTCGACGTAAGCAAAGGGTGGTAGGTCAAGGAAATAACTACCGCCCCCCCCTCCCCCGTATTACAGGCGTCGTGGCGCTAAATTCCGGGGGGGGGGGGTTAGGGTGGGAGCAAAGGTTAGGGTTAGGGCTGAGGTTAGGCCTTAACTTAGGGTGAGCGTTCGGGCTAGTGTTAGGGTTAGGGCGCGGAAATAGGTGTCGCCCTCGAATTTAACGCAGAGCCACCGACCATGCAAGTGGCTCCATCCCCGTGTCCAAACCAAAAGTCCTCAGCTTCTATCTAGTGCCTGTGCTGTCGGTATGTAAGTCATACAGCATCTTTAATCCCCGCCAAGATGGTCACGGCTTGTTCTTCCTCCGTTAGAACCATGTACTTCGTTTCCCATCAAACCTACTTATCTTAGCTCTGATATACTTATTTGGTGCAGCTGCCAGACGATAGTAAAAAAGACACAAAGGTTCGTTTTACAGTCTGTCCTTGTATTTCTCTGATATATTTTGTGCGATATCTATCAAATTACTTTCCCCGTGTTATTTGTAAATGGGAGTTTAAAACCGTCTGCTGCACTACACCGCAGGCTGACAGGTTACCTTTCGACTAAAAGAAGGCTCTGTAATAAGAGAGCGACGTTTGCGTGTCCATTCTGATTCCAGAGAGAACTAGAGTCTTCAGTTTTATGTTGGAGTTCCGACCTACAGTGCGTGACCGATGTCGTGAAATGTTGGCCGAAATTCTGAAATGGGTTTTCGATTAGGAAGGATTTTTATTTGGAGTTGTAATATTGATTAGCATGCAGAATAATCCTATAGCATTTCGGACTCACCAGGATGTCGGCTTTTAGATAGATAATTTTGTATTAAAGACCCGTCGGGGTCCCATCAAAGCATCCCTTTCTGACCTTCTGTAGAAACCGCGATTTGCAAAAATGACTACTTAATTAGCGTGCATTTTTCGTATTTATTTTCAATGGTCTTACAAATTCAAACATATTTTATAGAAAACGTGCACAAAATATGCCTTCTTTTACTCGTTAGGTAGAAAATCACACTGTCTTCGTATTTTATACCCGAAGAAAGCGCATATTTAGGTTTTTGACAAGTTTTCCAATTCCCGAATGATTTTGAGTCAGATCTGCCATTTCATAAGCGCTTAACGATTTCAGTTTACAAGGTACATGCTTTCTGCGCACGGAAAATCATATATTCCTTTATGCCTTTAAGAAGATACCATAGTGAGTTCAGAAAATTGTGCCATGGATCTGGACTGTGTTGTACATTTCATGTGAAGCCTTGCACGATGTGGTTTACATGGACATCGCACGTTCTTGAAAGTCCCATAATTAGAAACTTTTTTAAACTACATATACACTTTCTTCGGGCATAAAATGCGAAGACAGTGTGATTTTCTACCTAAGGAGTAAAGGAAAGTATATTTTTGTGCACTTTTTCTAAAAAAATATATTTGAATTTGCAAGACCGTCAAAAATCAATACGAAAAATGCATGCTACTTAAGTAGTCATTTTTGCAAATCGCGGTTTCTGCAGACGGTCAGGAAGGAGGGCATCCAAAAGCCTACATCCTGGTGAGTCCGAAATGCTATAGGATTATGCTGCAAGCTAATCAGTATTACAACCCCACCCAAGTAATCTTTCCTAGTCGAAAACGCATTTCAGAATTTCGGCCAACATTTCATGAGGCCGGTCACGCAGTGTTAACTTTCGAAAAAGGTTGCGTAAATGTGACTATGGTTATTGATTAGGCTTGATGGTGTTGCACTTTTTGTGTGTTACGCAAATTTACCAAACCAATGAAAGCTTGCAAAAGGGATTGCTAGCTTTCCTGCAGTTCTTCTGTTTGTCATTTCTTTTTGTACCGGACTTCATGGTGCACAAACCCTGGCCTCCCCCCACTCCTGGCATCGAGCTGAGCTAAATATCCACTTAGAAAGGGCAGGTCATTAAACGACGAACTCAGACTGTCGTTTCTGCTATGTGGACTACGGCGTCCACTGGGCGCAGCGTGCCTTGGACTTTGAAGAAAATACCTTCGTAATAAGATGAGTCTTATTGCTTTCTCCTTTGCAGTCGCAACCACCAGCGGCCGCTACGCCACGGCTGCAGACAAAGGTTCAACCGAAACCGAAACCGAAGTCATGGATCAGGGCCGACGGGAGCCCCATGTTTACACCTTCGGCGGACATGTGAGTTTCTGTGGGCGAATCCATCAAGAGGCGTATGAGATATCTAGTCAGGGCTGATCAGCGTGCTAGATTGGTGACTTCCTCGTTGGCAGCAGTGCACAAGGTAGACTTTTCGCACTGTCCAAAACTGACAGAAATCGCATCTGATGTTCCAGGAAATTGTGATCAGATGGGCTGCGACCCCCCCCCCACCAATAGTTTCGGCCGGCGCGTTTAACCAGATTGGAATAATCGAAATGTATCTTCACCCTAGCAGTGGTGAACCAGCCTGTAATGACAGGTATAGAGAAGGGCTTCTTGCTTAACTCTTCACTGCACCCTATCTCGTCGACAGTGGTCGAGATGCACTCTTGCCACTGAAATATAATAATATTGGGAAGTCTTCCTCACTATAACTCATGTATGAGTATTCTTAATCATGCATTCGCCTTCGGCATCAGCCTCTTCCAATCCACATCTTAACCCAACAACATTCTATGCATTGGACTGCGTGCAATCTCATAGGTGGCACAGACTAATTCGTGTCATTTTGTCCTTAAACCAAGTTCGCCGCCCATTGTACAGTTCGGAACCATTGGAAATATCTAAAGAAACCTATCTAGAATTGACAGAATTTTCTCCTTCTGTTTGTCCCTAAGACAGGCGAACGGATTACTTGCTGTTGCTTCCAAGTTCGGGTTGAAACAAATCACGTCGCCTGAGAAAGGGCAAGCGAACGTTTAAAAGTTAGTAAATGAATCTCCAGCGAAATTCTTTTGCTGAGGATCTTTGCCGAACACAATCTCATAACAAATACTTGTTGCTGCCTTCTCAGCCACAAGAGGCTAAAATGGATGCCATTATGTCTGTATTGATGACAGTGATTAGGTTCCATACTACTACGAAAATGAGGTCACCGTGAAGTACTGGTGACGATAAGGGATAATATGTTTAACTGCTTTTCGCATTACTGAGGGATAATCCAAATAAAAAGAAGGCTCAAACCAAACTGTAAATATACTTTGGATAAGACTATCTCTGGAGGATAGTCCTAGAAAAGCAGAAACAACTTCACTTGGAAGAGACTTAACCAAGGTGTGAAAGGTGGTCTGTTCTGCCGCAAAATAAGGTTTGAACCCATACGCCGAGTGGATCGCGACTGGTTCGACGATAATGATGGGGAGCTCTAACACCTACTCGTCAAGTTAAACCACAATCATTGGGCCTATGAGAACAAAAGGATTTCTTCTGTATGCGAGCTTGCCGCAGCATCTATGTTCTTCTCTCCTTTCACATGCAGGGCATTTCAGTGATGAGAAAAAGCCAAGCAACTGGAGACGGCTATGGGCACAGTGACCGATCTGGCGAAATCCTTAATAATCTCTATACCCACACCCAATCGGGCACTATATTACGGAGAATTATCAGGGGCCGCAGCAGCGATGAGACATTGCAACCTGCCTCGTCCAGATGGTTCCAGATATCACACAATTTAGCAATCTTCTAGACTAGGACTAATAGGGCTCCAAGTTGGCTCAACACGCACCGCATCAACCCGTTCTACCAACAGCACCATCACCGTAATTACCATAAGTATATATAAAAAATTAATCAATATTCTACACATGTGCTAGCTTTGTGTGATTTAACAAATAGTTTTGAAGGAAGTAGTGAGGACACAGAATACGGGGGGAAATTGCCAGCAGAGGAATGCACGCCGACATCTAGTGCTTAATGATCCGAGGGAGTGGCTGCTATACGTTTTTTTTCAAATTTTTTGCATCGAAATAAGAGCCCTGAATTTCCATCTGGCACAGAGGTAAAATCAGTTCTAATATAACTGCTGTATTTCATGCTTCAGCATTGATGGATTTGAGAAGGAGCGATTGGAGATCATCCGCATGCAAGAACAAAGGGCCAGAATGCATGAGGAGCAGTTCAATTTAAGACCTGTAAGCTTTGGTGTTTTGCATTTATAAACGCACCTGGATATGTTTGTGGGGTCAGCTCGTAGAAAATGTACTCCAGAAGACCTCATTGCGTGCCGGGTTGACCAGCCGGTTCCTAATTTTACTAGGAGGACAGTTAACCTAAGACACACTGCACCCTAGTGATGGAGCATAATAACAAAAAACATGCTGACAAACGGTCGTCAGACTTTGGGTTTACCAAAATTTGAAAGTTAGACGGAGTTAATTACACTTACCTATATGGTGCGCAAATACTCTTACTAGGACTGGCGTCAGGCAGGTGAGTTAGTCTGATTTTTCAATGACTAAGTAGAGGGTGTATTACGAGGGACAGACTGAGCAGTTTCTGCGAGAATAGGAAACCCTGCTCAGCATTCGACGGGTAGAGGGACCATTCGATCATTTTCAGGATAGGCGTGGAGGGAGTGGAGATAGGCAACAGCCATGAGCGGTGTCAGGCGAACGTACACCGGATGGACATAACGCCTGGACAAGGGTCTTAATCGCAGATTAAGGATTTTTCGTTTCGGTGCTCACCGCTTCTGATATTGTCAGGAGAGAGTTTCATTAGCGCTGAATTCAGGTGGCATTTCTCTTTTCATTCATGATCATTGTTTTGCCTTTACACAGGAAATTCGCCATCTACCCTACAGAAGTAGAACATTCTTCATCGTTTAGTTGAATTAGTAGATAAAATGTTCCATTGACTAATACATGACGTCCCGCGTCAACTCTGCAGCTCGGCAATTAGGCAATTTGACCTTTCGACCACCTGGAAACATGGCGGTTTTCCTGAAAAAATCATCTGTTATTTGAAAAGGCTTTCCACCTTTTTCGGCCAAACACCCCAAAACTGCTATCATAGCTCCCATATGCAGTAGGTGTATTAACGCATGAATTGTTCAACGAAATTCTGAAATGCCTTTTCTGGCGCGGAAAGATTACTTAAGTAGGGTTGTAACATTAATCAACGTGCAGCATAACTCCAAGGAATTTCAGTTACTATGGGATGCCGGCTTTTGAATGAACTTCCTTCGGGCCGCCTGCGAAGTGTAAACTCTGAAAAAATGGCTACTTAATTAGTATAGTCTTTTTATCATTGATTTTCGATGTCCTTATAAATTCAGATATATTTCGTGGAAAACATGCATACAAATATCCTTTTTTACTCATTTGATAGAAAAATTACGTCTTCCTCGAGTTTTATGCTTGAAGTAAGGTTATGATTCGATTTTAAAAAAGTCTCTAATTATGGGATTGTTTAAGACTGTGAGATTCCCTTTTATAAAAAATCGTGTCTCTGCATTTGCTGGTGTTGCCAGCAAAGTTTATAATGTGACTCAAACCCACTGCTAAATTTTATGAACCCCGTATGGTCTCCTCTTAATACTGTATAGAAATTTATGATGTTCCGTGCACGGAAAATATACATCTTGTAATTTAGAAATCCTGAATGCAAGTGTAACGACAGGTCGGGTTCAAAATTATTCGGGCATTGTAAAGGTTTTCTTAAAACTAAATTATTCCCTTCCCTCAAGTATACAATTTGGAGAAGACGTAATTTCCTACCAAGTGAGTAAAAAATGAGTTTGTATGCATGATTTCTGTGAAATTTGCTTAAATTTATAAGCGTATCGAAAATCAAAAGGAAAAATTCCTACCCCAGAGTGTGGTTTTCGCGGGTGGCTGGAAAGAAGTTCGTTCGCAAGCCGGAATCCTGAGGTAACTGAAATATCTGGGAGTTAAAATACACAGTCCCTAAAAAAGTGATTTTGGCTGGGTAACAGACATTGGTCTATGGTGATTAACGCTTTCAGACAAGAAAGGTACAAATGCCTCCATCGTCAATGTATTAAACCAGACCCAGAGGTCCACGAGTAAGCATTATATATGAGTTGCTTCAATAAATACTATTTTTGCGGTATACTTACGAGAATTTTTCCTGGCATATTTTGAGTTCCTAACGAGAACCTGGAGGGGCAATAAACTACTTCGCTAGGGGGGTTTTATTCTAAACTTGCATAATTGTCGTTCCGGATCATAACATTTTCTCATTTTAGGCTGCGGAGCATAAACCAAGATCTGGAGGAACGAGCGATGTTCATCAGTTTAGTCGAATTTCTCCTCACGCGGACACTAGTAGGTCATTGGTTTTTTTTCTCCTCTGGTTAAATTAATGGACAACTGACATCTATTTTCCCGTTCTATGGCCATTTCTTTCGCTTTTTTCAGACCCAACCTACGAAAACTGTAGCGGGCTAAACAAATATTCCAGTCAGTCCTACGGAAGTAGAGAGCTGGTGAAATCCAGGGAGTCAGTTGCCCTCTCCGATCGATATTCGGGTCAGCTGGTTCGGGGAGGAGATCTGAGATGGAGCAAGAAGTCGGTCACCTTTGACGAACAGCCCGCAACGGTGTCTGTTTACACTCCTCCGGGTACACCACATGAGAGTCTGTCAGAGGGCGCACTAACCAACCGCGACTATGAGCAGGAGGAGAATAAAAGGAGTCAACTAGAAAACCGGCCGCTTAACGTCCGCCCCCAGCGACATCTACTGGACTCCCGTGCAGCCGACGAACGTACGCTAATTTACACCTTGACCGATCTCATGAAATCTTGGCTGAAATTCTGAAATGCGTTTTCGATTAGGAAGGATTTCTTAGGGGTGGCTGTAATACTTACTGTCTTACGGCTCGGTAGGATGTCAGCTTTTGAATACACTGCTTTCCAATCTCCTGTTGAAGCCGTACTCGGTAAAAAATGGCTACGTAAGTAGCATGCATTTTTCCCACTGATTTTCTATGGTCTTGCAAATTTAAATATATCTTATAGAAACCACAAATAAAAATATGCTTTCTTCCAGTCACTTAATAGAGAATCACGTCTTCTTTATATTTTATACTCATATAAGGAGTGAATGGACATTACACGGTCACAAAAAATCTCATAATCAGAAACTTTTTTAAAACCTAATTATACTCCTTCCATGAGTATAAAATATAAAGAAGACGTGATTCTCTATTAAGTGGCTGAAAGAAAGCATATTTTTATTTGTGGTTTCTATAAGATATATTTGAATTTGCATGAACGTTGAAAATCAATGAGAAAATGCATGCCACTTGAGTAGTCATTTTTTTACCGTGTATGGTTTCTACAGGCGATTGGAAAGCAGTGTATTCAAATGCTGACATCCTGCCGAGTCCGAAATATTATAGGATTATGCCGCAAGATAGTAAGTATTACAACCGCACTTAAGTAATCCTTCCTAATCGAAAACGCATTTCAGAAATTCAGCCAACATTTAATGAGATCGGTCACTCACTGTATATTTGGCCTATGAAACGCCTGTAAAGTAAACTTTTAAGCACTTCCAGTCATTACGGTTTTGAGGGCATAAATTTCCCTCGAAGTTGCTTATAAGATACAATACTAATTCGTTTTTTCAGTTGAATGAGGATTCAAGTCTGCTCACAGATGGAAAATCTGTCAGTGTTAAGTAATTGAAAACTAAGAAAAATCGAAAAGACGAGGGGTGAAGATGGAGCCGCTGTTTCCGATATACGCGGTTCAGCAGCCAATCCTCATTCTCAAATCATCTGATCTGGTTGCGTGAGGTTGTGTTTGACTGCAATATCTCGCAGAAGTGTAACCTGCTGAACTGTGCATGCGTAAGTGGGAAAAATTCCTTTTCTCACTTTGCTGATCTACCCCTGATATCGCATATATAGTCACTTCGCCGGCTCATAATCTTTGCCACCAACTGTCGAGGCCTGTTTGGTGACGAAATACAAACCGTAAAACATGTCTGTTTCATCAGAATACCTCTGCCTTTAGTAGTTTGACAGGGAACTTAGTTGCGGTCTATGGAATTTGGTCCGTGAAGCTAAGAGGGTGGGTGCACCCTGCATCCTTTATTCAGAAGCAAATCTCTTAAAGACCACGTGAAGAGAACAGAATTTGCATTTCGGTGGCTGACTGGGTTTATCATTGTCTTGGTTCTTTGAGGTTCCAGGGTTTTCCCAATAATAAAAAGAACTTTTACAATATTTCAGGTTTTCCCCGGAGTACAGCACAGGAGAATAACCACTCCAGGATAGATACTCAGGCACTTACTTCACAAACTCAGGTCATGGTAAGTCTTGTGTGATCTTATTGGCCTCTCTATTTAATCTTTTTTTATTCACGAGTGTTCATGTCAACCTTAGATAACGAGGGTGTAGATAATACATTAAAATGGCCTTTAGTTTAACGAAACAACATACGAGGTAGTATTAGGTGAGGCTGAGACAGTAAACGACAGCTTTCCTCATTCACGCACTGGTTGTTAACTGATGAGTTATCTAGCATTTTATGAGGAAATCTACATTGGTGTTACTGGAGCATAAGTCGAGTTTTCGCTGTAAAAACCATACTTTGTAGCGAAGTAAGCTTCTAAATTGTTCAGAAAAGCGTTTTAAAATCAGTCTATCACGAAACATTTAGAGTTCCGAAAATTTATTTAAATTAAACGTCATAATAGATTTTTTTGATACTCCTGCGCCCTTGTCTCTTCAGCGATCTGATTGCAACTCCACACTAGAGCCAACGGGTATTAAGTACCTAAGAAGAAATTTGATGTATACAGGAAAGAGATATGTCACCCATAGAAGAGAAGGTTTTTCAACCAGTTCTATGCGCAGTTTCGAAAAACATTCTGATTTGTTCTTCAGAACATCAATCATGTCCAGAATGCGGAGAATCTGCCCTTCAAGGAGAAAATGAAGCTTTTTGCCCAAGCGATTGGCGAGGAGGAACCAAAGAACCGAATAAAGGCCTCTAGTCGCGAACTCCACCTCCTAAAGACCGTTGTGCGCTGAGCTCAGAAATCGGTTTCTTTCCCTCTGAGTCTTTGGCACCTTTTATTCATTTCAACGACATCAAAGGTCGATAACCTGCGGCCTATGGCCACTGACGACCTACTTTGCACCCAAATATCATTGCATATGGCTTGTGAGGTGTTTCTCCCTCTCAAGCTACTGTACAAATGTCCTGGGAGTGCTTCCATGGTTTTTTTCAATCAGCATACTTTCGCCTAGACAGTTCCCCGGCCTCCACTTTCCTCACCTTTTCCTCCGTTCCCCTTATTTAAAATAATGCTATTTCGTACCTCTCCCTGACCTAATGTTTTTTTTCATCTTTGTTCAGCACCAGGCAGTAAGTTTGCATTTGTGCCGCATTTGAGTAGGTGGGTTTAAGTCTGCAGTGTTTTCACTTAACGCAAGATATTAGTCAAAATCCTCTTCCATAGATAGTTTGGCAGATTTTGAATAATTCATATTGACCCAACTGTGAAAAACTCGGCGCCTCGGTGGGGTTCGAACCCACACAGGAAGGGGAAGGCTTTGGTACAGCCAACGCTCTAACCACTTGAGCTACGAGGCCCCGCCGGACGGCGCGAGTTTGATCACATTTGGGTCACGTTACCCGCCAAAATATCTATGAATTACGTAAGCCTAGTGGTCATCTGGTGGATTCTAGGTGAATTACTTAGGAAATCCTGCTTGGGAAATCAACTTACTGTATCATATTTGGTGGATTCCAGACGTTGCAGTAGGTTGGGCGGGTAACTTGACCCAAATGTGATTAAACTCGAGTCGTCCATCGTGGCCTCGTAGCTGAAATGATTAGAGCGTTGGCTGTACTAAAGCCTTCCCCCTGCTGTGTGGGTCCGAATCACACTGAGGCGCCGAGTTTTTCACAGTTGGGTCAATATGAAAAATCCTCTTTATAAAAGATTGCTCAAGTGCACCTGCAATGCTTGGAGTTGTGGAGTACGTGGGGTGCCTACAGAGGAGAAGCTGCTCTAAGTGCCTGTTTTGCTTGTGAGCGAGGGCCTACATAAGCATGAAATGGAACCTTGTAACAAGTCAGCCATTGCTTCTAAACCAATCACCGACCTCCCCGATATTTTCATCCCACTGAGCGCGAAGGTGGAGAGTGAAGTACTGGGATCAGCGCTGCGTTAGTCTTATTTACCACGGTTCACTATACGCGCAAGGCGCTTTCGTCTGCTCTGGACGGTAGGGATAAGCATCGTATTCAATAGACGGAAAAAACGTTTTGGATATAACCTTACAGTAGTAAGCGCGCAACGGCATGCTGATTTGTAAAAGAGACTTGCCGACGAACCCTATTAATCTCCCTCAAGAACTGTTGTTAACCCTTTAGCTTGCATTTTTTCTGTTCTCATCTCCATTTATCTGTTTTCACAGAAGAGGGTGGACAAACTAAAAAGGTTTGCCCTGTTGATTTATGTTCTGCACATGTAGTCTTGAAAATTGTAATTTTCGACATCTATTTTGGCATGTCCATTGTCCTAAAAATCTTCAGGGTGTAAGGGTTGTGGGCTTACTAAAATATTTTGCGAACTGCAAGAATTCTTGCTGTGCCATAGGATAGTCCCCATATTTTCTTTGGAAGAGATACAAACGCGCCAATTTAAAACTCTTATGTACATGTATAAAATGGAGACTGCTGTCCAAACACTACGTAAGTTAAAAGGACCGTAAACGCTGAGAAAATGTCTTAAGTGGGATTGTTTTCAACTGTCACGCCAACTGGATATGAGACTGGACGCAGTGACCGATTCAGCACAAAGTCGCAGTCCAATGTGCGACACATGCAAACCTATGTACAGACTACGTCAGCCGTAATTACTGTTGGCCGACTTCTTGGTGTGCTTGGCTTACGAGTAACGAGTGATGGTTTAGGGGTTGTTTTCTTGTACGTGCTTATGACTAAATAAGTTTGCGTGGTGCCCGTATGCGCGGAAGGTCTGGCCAGGGCCTTTAGCATTGTTTCTGGAGTCACGCGGCAATGCGTTTGCTAGCGTCCTATCGGACCACCTTGGGCTAGGAATCTGAGGTCTTTGCTATGGTTGTCCTCTGTGTCTCGGCAACCCTCCTGTTGTGGTGATCACATCCACATTATTTTAATGATGAGGGGAGAGCTGACGGTTTTGCTGCCGGTTCTAACGCTGCTAACTGGCGAATAAACGTTACGGATGGACGTCGAGCAACTTGATTAGGTCCAGGGATGGAATTGAGGAAGGCGTGAAATAAGGACCCCTTGAACTATATTCCTAGAGTGTCTACTTGTTTGACGCAGGTAGCCTGATATACATTAGTAGTATCTGAGACCCACTGCCGCTAACGGTGCCTTATCCTTCCTTGTCTGATTGGTGTCCAGTTACTTTTGTTTACGTCTTATAAAACGTTTCCGATGGGCTTCCTTGTCCACTGTCAGTTTCGCAGTAGTCAATGACAAGATCACCGGAAATCGTCATTTGTTCCTTCCCTATGTTACCAGCTGCTTATTGACCAGTAGCTTAAAACTGTATATCGTAGGCCCTGTTGTTGACAGTGTCGGGGAAGCGTCTGTTGCCTCTTGAAAACATTGTTCCTTTCTGCGTTGGCTTCATTCCCTAGGTCTCTTTCTAATTTAATGAATGTTGCCAGTATCTCCCTTGTAAGTCCATGCATTTCTAACATCGTTTTTGCACTGGTTAGGTAGGACATCGTAGAAAGCACTCCATTTTCTACTGATGAACAACAAATTAAACGGTGTGAGCCAGGGAGTTTTCTAGTCTTTCACTGAGATTCTGTTAGCCATCCACCGGATCATGGGAAAGCGCCCTTTACCTCTTCTCCAATGTCGTCGATAATGTCGCAGACACTCGCTCTTCTTATACTTCCCACTGCTACCCCGTTTATCAGTTTCATGTCGCAAATAGTGAGGCCTGCAGCCTCTGTTTATGCCTTATTTTATCTCTACCGCTGGCTTCCTTGCCTTCGATCAGTTTTCCAGTTGTTACCTATTTGTCCATGTGGAAATGTTTGCGCTGGTACACCCGATTGGTGACTGCTTGTGCTTTACCTACACCAAATAATTAGTCACTCTATGAGAATATACTTTAGACGAGGGCTCTTATTCTCGTTCCCAACCTGGAATTTTTCTAGACGACGAAGCTAAGTTGCTGGCGTGTGCAGTAGCGTGTATGGGTGCAAACGTCCCAACCGCTACACAGAACGCTTCGTCCATTTGGTCTAGCCTTGGAATCACAAACATTAGAATGAGTGACCAGAGGGCATGTGAGGCGGATATGAAGGATTTTAAGCTCTTATCCAGGTGGTTATTCCCCAACTGAGTTGCAATGGATCCGTAGGTGACAGACCAGTCCGAAAGTGTTTGAATATCCTATCACAAGAGGAACAAATAGACACTGCCTCTGCTGTCTAACTAGTTTGAACTGACGCTGTGACATAAAGCTGTTGTTATGGAAGACGAGGAAGTTCTGACACCTGGGTGTCTCCTGGCTGCCACGCTAATCAAGCCAAGCTCTGTTTAGCAATGGAAGACGAAGACAGCATAAAGAGCCATTTGAGCGGTAGAAATGCCTCGCCGGAAGAGACTTATTCTGTTCCTGGCGTCTCGGAGGGTTTTGTCGGGTCTCAGTTGTCCAAGTAGTAAAAGCACATCGAACGGAAATAAAAATGACTTACCGCGTTATTTAATCCTCCCCCACTTTGCTACCTCGACCTTTCGGTGAATGTCTGGCGGGCTCGAGATCTATCTGCGTTGTTAATCATCGCCTCGAGGGAAGGCAGTTGGGGCCCTATGGATTTGCCTTATCTGAAGGTTGATCTGTTTCCCCATCGGGTTAGCTCATCATCATGCTGCGTCTGTTCATACTTCATACATCCACTGTGAACACCTTTTGTTGATCGTTGTTCAGATAACGGCGTAGGACATGGTAAATCGAAGAAAGGTCAACGTGCCTGTTAGTGAGATCAGCATCTGCAAACTATATCTCTAGTGAGATCTGTTCTATCTCTGATATATCTCTACCTGCAATAGTCGCTCATTGAAGGTCAAAGACCGGTCCGTTATTTTAACGTTCATGACAAACCGAGAAATGAGGTCAAATCTACGAACTTTTAATTTGCTGTCGAGTATGGAGCCATTCCGCTGCAAGAGGAATTCCAGGAAACCCGGACCCACTTTTACACTGCCTTGCTGGACATGACCAAAGCCTTCGACACGGTGAATCGCGAGGGATTGTGGAACATCATGCAGAAATTTTGCCTTCCTGATCGATCCACTCACACGGTATGTCAGCTCCACGACGGAATGATGTCATGCATCACAGACAATGGGACCGTCTTAGAAGCCTTTGCAGCAGCCAGCGGAGTGAAGCAGGGCTGCATATAAGCTCCCGTAATCCTTACCCTCGTGTTGTCTGTCCTGCTGACGGACGCCTAGTATGATGAGCGCCCCGGAATTTGTATCGTAACCACTGAATCGGAGACTAACTTCTCGGCGGCCGCCACATGCAGGCCCCGACGCGTTTATCTACGACTACTGTTCACGATCTGCTCTTTACGGACGATTGCACACTCAACACCACGACAGAAACAAGCATGCAACGGAGCATGGACATCTTCGCCTCCGGTTGCGCCAAATTAGGGTTGGCTATCAACGGGGTCATGCTTCAACCCCGCCCAACACTTCATAAAATGTTCCTCGCATCCATATGAAGACCGTGGACAGCTTCGTCAATTAAGGTATAACATTCTTAGACTGCATCAAAGTAGACGAGGAACTGGCTTGCAGGATCTCCGAAGTCAACCACGCATTCGTTCGACTACAGAACACAGTATGGCACCGCCATGACCTCCACCTCAATACCAAACTCAAGATGTGCAAAGCCGTCATCATGAAAACACGCCTATAAGGAAGGAGACATGGACAGTTTACAGAAAACAAGCGGAAAATCTCAATCACTTCCACCCCAGCTGTCTTCGGAGCATCCCAAAGCTAAAGTGGCAGGACAGGACCCCGGAAACGGAAGTTTTGGAACAAATTGGAGTCCTCCACATTCATGCCATGCTGCGCGAACTACAACTGCGATGGAACGGCCACGTCGTGAGGATGGGCGATGGTTGACTATCCAAACAACTCTTCTATGGAGATGTCCCCACGGGTGCTCGTCGACATGGGGTCAGACTCGGTGCTGCAGGGTTCTTTTCCAGGATCCCTTGGAGAGGCTGCAAATCAACCAAAAGACTTGGGAGGACCTCGCACCGGGTCGATCAAGAACAGCGAAGACTGGAACAGCAATATACGAGGCCAACCGGATAGCCGCTGTCAAAGTCGAAAGAGCGTCTGGTAAGTCTCAAGCACTCCGATCCACAACACCAACACCCGGCTTTTCCCAGCATGACCACACTGCCAACGAATATTCGGCGCGTATTAGTCTTGTCGGACATCTTAAGACGCAGTGCAGCAAAAACCCAATAACCCCATCTGCTGCCACCACAGCCGCCACCTTATCATCCCTGCAACAACAGCCACGGCATCCACAACGACAATCTCTCTCACCAGCTGTGACCACACTCCCGGTATTCTTCAGCCGTCGACCATCACCACTTACCTCATCCCGGCCACAAACCCCGCCATGACGGCAACATCTACCAGTTCACCCGCTCTCGCCACCGGTGAGAACAATCCCGACATCCTTTTAACCACTGCGTTCACTATAACCGCCCCCACCAGCAGCAATTTGGACTCGGTTCCAATCTGACCTCGTCGCGGTCGCACATTCATGCCACGCATCGGCCTAGTCGGTCGCTTGCGGATTCATCATATTGTGACCGGCACACTGGGGCCTAGAGCCCCACATACACACGCCGCATCCGCCTCTATTTTCCGCATTGCCCACACAATTTACTCATCGCATGGACCTATTCGGTCACATGCGTGTCCGTGAAGGCGGAATTCACAGCAATATTGACACGCCAAGAATACCTTGTACAGCCAACAACTTGCCAATCCGGAGCCCCACCAACCAGCGCGGCCATCGCTAACAGTATGGGAATCGCAACCGACTCAGCGCCTCGTAATCTATCCCGCCCATAGTGTCATCGCACATTCCTGTCACGCATCGGCCTGGTCGGTCATCCTTGAACCCATCGCATAAAGACTGACGAACCTCTGCCTGGAACACCAACATACACCCGTCGCCATCGCCTCAACTGCCCACATAACCTCCGTACATTAAACTGTCTAACGAACCTGTCCGCTCACATGCGTCCCCACGAAAATCCGCAATAAATAACCGCAGAATCGACTACACCAACACACGTTTCCCCATCAACCCACGCACCGCACTTAAACATTCCTGACATCACACAACGCGGGCATCTCTCACGTAAATAAGAAGTGTGTGCTTCGGTTAGTTCTCCCTTTGGCTCCTATGCTACATGTGAGATCTGTGCTGTGTACCTCTGTGTGAAGTCTTGACGTGCGTAGGCGTGTGGCACTCCCAGATGGGCTCTTTAACCCTGTTATTCACCGGGCCCACCCCGCTCATTAGAAAACTGACCTGCTCGGACAGCAAACTGTTGCCTGGGAGTGGGAAGGGAGTGTGGGGTAGATTCTCAGGGCACAGTCCCCAAGATAAAAACTGAAGCCCTTGTATTTCTCACTATGGACTAAAACCACGGTTTGGAAGGCTGCCAACTGACGGGTCAGCTCATTCATCCTCTAAGGCCTTTATGACACTCCCGTTAAGTTAGGATCCAAGCCTCTCTCTTTTCTTCTTGTGTGAAATCCTGTTTAATTGTATATGGTTGACCAGGGGGTGTGGGGCCATGCCAAGGTGCGATTTTCGCCCTGCCAACCACCTGCGTTCTCTCATGCCTCCGTTCTTCTTGACTCCGTCATGACACTGAACCCAGGTGGGGCAGGAGAGAGTGTGATAGACACTGCGCAAGTCACCCTCCTTGCTGGCATCCTGCTCTGGAGCACACGGTGGATATCGTCGGAGACGACGGTCGGACTGTCGAGAAGCTCATAGCGCAGTGTGGATACACTGCTACGAGTATGAAGTTAACTATTTGGCACGCCCCACTCCAATAAAAAAGAATTGACTTGCAACATCTTGTGTAAATTCAACACTCTCACCCTGACGCACGCTTTCGCAACAAACCGTTTCTGGCTGTGTGAAGTCCCTACTTAACATGGGCTCCCTAACAATGTTTTTTTTAATTCCCGAAGTTGCGCGGTTGTCTTGTCTTCTCCAAAACCTCCATGACTTTTCTGGCAAAATTTAGCATATTTCCTATCACCACCTTCTCTCACACTTGTCTGAAAAATCGTGTCCACGACCCCGCTTGTAATGCCTAAATATTATAACACTTTTCATTAGAACAGCTAAGAAAACGCAGTTGAATGCTAACTAAGTGCGGCAGTGTCTTTATTTTACTATGCTGATCAAACCGTGAAGATCACTGTTAGGTTAACCAGGGTTGAATTCCCAGGCTTCTCCTGCCTGGATTTGGACATGGCTGGCAGACGACGGCGGATGGATCCGAAATGATTGCTACACACTGTATGCTACACGATGTGTGAATACTTCACGGGAGGGGGTTCTAGGTTATAACTCTAATCCGAAATTAAACGCCCGATATCCATACTTTAGGGTAAGGTGATACCATACTAACAGCACAGATACTAGCCAAAAACTCATACACGCGTGTTTCGCTAATGTTTTGCCGCTGCATGGCGCATCCGTGAGGGATTCGGCTCGTCGGTGGGTCCCCCAGCATTCCCCGTGTGTTTTCTGGTAGATACTCCAATTTATAAATTGTCGCTTTTTAACTTTCTCAGAAATTATCTACGAATTTGGAGTAGATCAGTTTATTCAAGGTCTATAGGCAGTTCGGTGAACGCCTCTCACGTTACCCAGGAGCTTGTGTGTGTGGTCGATCGATAGTAGTTGAAGTTGGATAACAGAGACTCGGTCGAGCGCGCGCGACTGAAACGCGTGATTAGGGCCACATCTTGCCGATTCCCTCATTGCCACCTGCCGCAGCAACAAAAAGTGCAACAATGAGTGAGACGTCTGGTGACCCTGACTGCGTTCTTTACCTTTGGAAACTGCATACCTTCAACGAGTACAATGTCAGTTCTCTTCGTGAGTTGTCAAATATGTTGGCAAAGGATCCGGCCTTGGGTCAAACCCCACCAAAAATTCTGCATAACCGTACGACCAATATCTGGACCGAAAATCCACCATTCGCTAACAACACTCAGATGGTAAAAATGGTGATGTCCGGTTTCCTTTCCTTGGATTTTGTTCTTGCAGTGGCCATTCTCTCCAACTTCATACGGTTTCTGATGCCATGTCTGCGTTTCTGTTGGCGACCCACACAATTTCCCACTGAACCACGCACAAATAGACAAAGTAAGCAGGCTTTTATATAAAAAACACTGTCCTGTCTGATACTGGTCCCTCCTTTGACCGTTTTGCGTATAAGCACCGCCGTCATCCTATTCGTCCGAAATTTCACCCTACTCGTCCTCATTATTCATATAATTATTAGTATTATCAATATTCACTGAAACCACCAAGTAAATATAACAGTAGAACCACTAACTATGGCTCCGTACTGCGTAAGTCTTCTGGTTATGGAAGGCAATGGTTTCACTTTTCTCAGATAAGCTATTAATCATCGCGGATCTCATTCAACGTAAGATGTCGATTTTTGACAGTATGAACCATGTCCCTGTTATACCCCAGACTTACAACGGTTAATCAGGATTTTTGACGTTATCTTTTAAGCAAGTTCTAAAAGTTGAGAGCTGTCGTAAAGTGTCTGATCGTTAGGTAACCCTGCGGACCGCTGGATGCATTTAGGGAAATCTGTACGGTTTTGGAAATTAAAAATGACCATTGGATAATTCACTGGTGACCTAAAAGAAGTGAAGCTAAAGGAGGGGCGACAATCGAGGCACCGGATGACTGCATGCAAATACAAAATATGTAGCAATCAAAACAGTCTAAAAAATACAGACACGAAAGCCTAAGCAAAGGCATGCCGAAATGTGCCTATATGTGGTGACATTCTGTGAAAAATGTCTTTGGCACGCCCAAGTCCCGCCTGCCTAGGGTTATTTTCTTGCGATTCATTAAGAAAAATTCTATAACTTAACATTTAAATTTCACTGGACTTTAAGTCTGTCTTCTCTGTATGTCAGCGTGTGCAAACGCTCACAAAGCATGTTTGCTAACTTGCCCATTTAATTAAAACTAAATGCTTAGGTGGAGAGACTTCTCGGTGTTGGCCAGAATAACCGTCTAAAACTACCACGACTTAATATTCTGGAAAAAACTAGATACAAGTAGGAAAACAGAGGAAAAGGTTTTATATCATAGAAAGGCAACAATGTACATTGGGTCAAAGGTAAATATAAGTTACTGATTACAATCGGATGCAATCAGCTGAGATTGGGACATAGCCTCATCTGGTTACTGCAGCCACCTCTTGAATCAGCCCACAGTTCGTTTAGCCCGTGAGTAAACACTAACTTTATAGCTTATATGAATGCGCAAACCCTTGGGAGTCAGAAAACAGCGTCATCAATTAACACTATTTCATCATACGCCTTTTTTCTAAAAAGAGCATATCAGTAGTCCGTTGCACATGTACATCTACATAGTATTGGCATTTTAAGAAGGTTCTATGGTATCCTGCTCAGGCCTTGGACGATCCCCCGATATGTACAAACCTGTGGGGTGCATTTGGTAAGTCAGATCTTATTTGGAGTTAGTCTTCATATGACATTTTTGAGCAAATGGTTCTTCGGAATGAACCAATCGCAGAATGTCCATCCCTTGGAAATCCAATAAAGTTCGGAGTACCGACAAAGGCAAAGGACTGACATTTTTTATTTTTAGTCATCCTTAGTCCGCCATAGCTGACCCCCGGTTTGGGGATCTTAGATTCGAACTCGGAATCTCTGGCCATCGAAGATTAAGTTCGACGTTCTGCCATTAAGTCACGGTCCGTCTTCCGTTCGTTTTTGATTGGAAATATCCATCATCGTGAAAAGTGTGTTTGCCGATCGCTTTGCGAGACGTGCTCGTACCTTTGCACCCTTTAACTAAAACTAGAGCCTGCGTAGGCAGTCTGTAGTGACCAGTGATGTATTCAAGACTTTTCCGGACGTGGACGGTAAGTGCCCACGAAGGAGGGCGTATGACTTCCATAAGATCTCCTTGGATTAAAAGGAAACGACTGAGCTCCTAACATTACACGGCACAACAGCAACTACACCTAGGTTCAACGTGGACCCTCGGTGGCTAAGCGCTATAAGATGTTAGTATATGATCACCAAGCTAGTAAACGGAGTCCTACGTCGGATGAGTAGAACCTTCATGACAGTAAGAACGAAGACTGTTGATGAGTCGTGACAGCTATGAGGCAACCGTCTACGTACTTCTTAAAGGCTTCGGAATACCTCCTTCGTGTATGGGAAATGTTCTATGAATTTAACATCGGGAGAAATTGCGCGTACAAGAACTACGCCAACGAATTAAAGGACAGCAAGAACTATGTCTGTTCCAAGATTGCCCGCAAGTCCTCATTGATAAGGGTCCTTGCTAAATCGGGTTTGCAGAAACTTCTTTCTTGCAATTTCCGCCTTCAATACGGCGAGCAAAATGTACACTTTGAACTCTTATTTCGTCCACTCTTTACTTATTACTGGTTTTTTAATCTTCATCGACCAAAAACTCCG